CGTCACCATAGTGAAACGACCGTGGGGGTCGCAACATGATACAAAGATAAACACTTATGTTTTACTGAACTTAAATTAGTTTGAGCAATTTTAATGGTCAGAATTTGAGTTATCAACGAATTTGTACCTATTTTTCATTTTTAAACCTCTTAATCAAGACCAATCTCACCCAACTAATTTAGGTTCGGTAGTTTATAAGTAAAATTGGAAGGTTCTGACAAATTTTCTGACAAAAAATCAACGAATTTCGTCAAATAACGCGACTTTTACACCTAATTTTGCTTGCTAAAGCCGCGCACCATCAAATATGGCACATAGGCGAAACTCACTGATCTTTCCAAAAAAGGTATGACAAATTTGGTACTGTGAAAATTCTCGAAGTCTCTAGAATAAATTACAGAGGCACATATTAGGTGCGGTAAAAAAATCGAAATTATGCGGTACCGCACCCGACTATAAAGGTAAAATGTGCGGTAAGGTGCGGTAAATTTTAACCAATTATGCGGCAAATGTGCGGCGATTTTTTCGAAATTTGTGCAGGAATTGTGCGGTTTTCTTTTGCATTTTCTCAAGGACTTTGGAAATTCTAAACGTATAACCGCCGCTCTTATCAAAAATAGGTCTGTTTATGTGTTACTGAGGGTGTAGTTCTTTACTAAGACTATGATTGAACCTATATTGAGATTCAGTTATCTGAGAACAGTGACTTGATCTGGTAGAGATCAGGAGACAGTTATTTGAAGACGCCTCTTGATAGAGTCGATCAGATCCCATGCGTGATCGCAAATATGTGACACGCTTGTTGGCATTGATTGTCAGTACTTGTAAACCATTTGATCCAAGATCCATTGAGCCCACAATAAAGCCAACGCTACATTCTACAACGAATAGAGCTCATTACCCTTTACACCTACTTCTTCTATTATCACCTACTTTGGATCATGGAATCTACTCAACAACTTCAACCCCTGATATAGAGTAATCAGATGTGGTGAAGTTACGAATGATAACTGATACACTATAATCGAAGTACGGTAATGACGAGGGTTCCATAACGGCCTGGTTCACGGTCCCGAAAGGGCCTGGGTCACGGTCCCGAAAGGGCCTTGGTCACGGTCCCGAAAGGGCCTGGGTAACGGTCCCGAAAGGGCCTCGGTAACGTGGTAACCGGGTCACGTGGCCTAAGCATGAGTTCCAAAAGGGCCTGGGTCACGGTCCCGAAAGGGCCTGGGTCACGTGGCCTAAGCATGAGTTCCAAAAGGGCCTGGGTCACGGTCCCGAAAGGGCCTGGGTCAGGGTCCCGAAAGGGCCTGAGTCACGGTCCTATAAAAGGGCCCGACTTTTAACATATTTTGGTTTTTACACTCGAAAATCTTACCGCGAAAATTTTTGATACATGTTTCGTATCCAAATATCAGAGATATTATGGATACACCATGAAGGAACATCTCTGCGCGGCGTAAGTAAATTTACAAGTTCGCGCGAAAAATTGTCTTATTTTCCTGGCGCTTTGTTCTCGCGCCGGGAGTGAATCACTAATTAGCTAACTACTTCACTAGCATAATCTACATCTACAATACGAAGTAAGAGTTACCACGTTACTCTTTTATTTCTCCGTTAAGCCTACAATTCTAATAACTAACAATGGAGTATGAGGTCAATTAAATGTCCATAGATATGGATTATAGAAATTATATAAACACATAATTGAACAGCATGAGACAAGTGGAAAACTAACAAACGAATAGATTTCAAGCTCGTAAAGGATCGTTGCTGGATATTGGAGATTTCAAAACTGTAGTCCGACAGTCAAAGTTCTCTTGTCTAACTTTAGTGCGTATCGAACTTGACTCCAGATAGAGCACTTTAGTTCGACAGAGTCGAACCTCAGGGTTTGTCGAACTACATGGTAAGTGACGAACTAGAGTGCGTGTCGAACTTGGGTACGTGTACCGAATTTACCATGGTAAAAACATCTTCACACCGTAAAATGGGCAAAAGCTACAATAACGGTTCCTCCGACATTGTTTACAGCGGGCAATATCCTTTATTTCATTCAATTCTTCTGAAGTGTTCATGACCAAATTACGGTCTTTAGGATCGTCCATTAATAATTTAAGGAGGCTTTTGCCGGCACAACCTATACACCCTTTTAATTTTGACAGGGCAGCTCAGAAGTAGATGGTTCTAAAACAAAACATAAATAAATCTAATCCCTTTAAAATAAATATGCTACCTTCTAGCTTACTCATAGAACACAACTCGGAATGAGCTTTTATACTTCATATTCAAATCAAGCGGTAAGTAAATATTGATAATATAACTAACTCTACTGCATTATAATCCACCTTGCGTGGCTGAGAGGACCAATTCGTTCTCTCGACAGTTCAGGACTCAGAACCCCTTAAATTTGTTAATGGCAAGTCTATTCTGTGAAGGCACCAAATAAATCTTTGCAATTCCCATCCAAAATTCTTCTCTAAGAGGGCTATAATCCCATTGTGACGTCCGGTGTTGACGTCACAATGACGCCTTCGGCGGCGCGCGCTTCGCGCGCGAAAAGTGGCATGCAACGTATGTCAAGAAAATTTCAAAATTATGCAAAATTACGCGGAAAATGCTAGATTATGCGGAAATATGCAGATAATCACAAAATGTGCGGAAATGTGCGGAAAACAATAAATTATGCGGAAGTGTGCGGAAAACGGGAAATTGTGCGATCCCGCACCCATCGCACCTAATATGTGCCCATGGAATAAAATGGTACAAAAATTTTGAAAATCCGAGCAAGTTTATTTTTATCGTGCACCCCCTACGGCTACTAATATAAGTAGATGGCACCTTTGTACTTACACTATTTTACTAGGCGGCGCTCAGAGCTTCAGCCTGTCATTCCGCCGAATCTCTATTCTAGCTATATTTATGAACATTATAGCCTGGGGTCGGACCGGCCATAAACACTATTGTGCTTTTTACGCGTACGGAGATACTTTAGTGATAAACTAAAGTGTAGAGAATAGAGATAATATTTACTTGAAAAGAGACAAAAATAGTCATTATTCTATAAATATATATGCATCTATAAGGAAGAATTTAATCGGAAGGTATTTTAAATTTTGTGATTCTACGTTGATTCTGAAAATTTCATGTAAAAATATTGAAACCTTATTGAGTTCTATTGTTTTGAGCGAAATCAGTTTCGCAAATATCGCGAACTGAGATATGGGCGATTTTGTTCATTTTTTGCGATTATTTGAACACAGAATAGGTTAGATACAGTTAAGTAGATACTGAGCTGATAATCATAGATACACAATAAGAGAATGTGTAGTATAGGCTTATCTTTCATATATGAAGTTGGTTTCACTCAAAAATATTGATATTTGACCAATTTATGGGCCATAAACTTGGCTCATAACTCAGTCATTTTTTGTCCAATCTTGATGAAAATTCATATACGAGTTCAAGGGACTACTAGCTACAAGTAGAGCACCTAAAATCTGAGTTTTGGGCATGTTAAGGGTATTTGGCTAATTTGGGCCTAATTTGGACCGAATATGGGCGTGGCTGCCCCGCAGGCACCGTTTGGCGGTTGGGGTCCGGGACCCCCTCAAAAGTTCGGTCACCGATCCTAGTTTGTTGGTCAACTGCTATCTCGAAATCAAGTTTCACAACAAAATCAGGGTGAACCCCCCTCCCCCCTTAATGTTTTGTATCACGTGGTGACCCCCACTGTCGCTTCACTATGTCTATAGTATCGTCTTCGACGATACAGGGGGAGCCGCGCACTTCGTGCGCGGCGGATCATACAACGTATGACAATTAATGTTTGATTGACGATGTCAACCCATCGAGATCGTTGCTCTGTGAAGCAAGAATGCTAGTTTGCGCGGCGCGTCGAAGTCCTCCAAGATTAATATGGCTAATCTATGGCCAATCCTTCACGGTCACCTAGCTAACCAGTGAGTTGGACTTTCTACTATAAGTATACTACGTGTGAGTGTGAGTGTGTGACACGTACACGCTTGTTTCAGCATTCAGACCCAAATTTCACCGTTTTTACTGAATTTTTTTGAATGACCATCTTACAGGGTTGAGGGTCACTGAGGATGGCAGAAGACACGATTTAGGCACTCACAGTTCTATTCCTAAAAAAGCTTTGATAAACGGAAAATAATTAAAATATTAAAAGAGATTTTCGTGGTTTTGACGAAAATTTTGACCGGTGACCATGAGACCATCACCAATCAGTGAGGTCGTTGAGAGTGACACAAGTCGCCATCAAGGTACTGGAAGCAGTATATCCGGAAAAAACTTTGATGCAATGAAAATTTTGGATATGTCCTACCGGTAGGACATATTCCGTATTCGAATGCTCTCTGCTACCCAAATTTCACTGTTTTGACTGAATTTTTCTTGAATGACCATCACTGAGGATGGCACAAGACACGATTGAGGTACTCAAACTCAAAATTCTATTCCCAAAGAAAGCTTTGAAAACGGAAAATCATCAGAATATAAAAAGAGATTTTGGAAGATAATCGAAGAGGAGCTTTTCTGCCGTCCCCTTGACCGAAATGTCGCAGTTTTGACTAAAATTTTGACCAGTGACCAATCAGTGAGGTCGTTGAGAGTGACACAAGTCGCCATCAAGGTACTAGAAGCAGTATATCCGGAGAAAACTTTGATGCAATGCAAATTTTGAATATGTCCTACTATACCGGTACCAGGTGTGCGATATTTGTGACGAGTTCACTGCTGATTCGTCCAAATTTAAGTTTTTAAATTTAGTTGCTAGATAAGAACCATACTTTTAAATGTTTTACTGTTTTTAACGAGAATTATAGGCCTACGATACTCACCCTTTTTTAACGTAAATACAACTAGAATTTCAAACAAGTTTATTAAATTAACGAATTATGACTTAATATAATGATTGAAAAGTAATGATCGGTTGACTTCTGTTATCTAGATTGAGAATAAAACGCTCGATTCATGAATCATGGTGCTGATTTCTTGCGAACGCAACATTCACAAGATATACACATTTCCAAAATGAGTCACATCGTCTTCATGTCTTTGGTGGCATTAATAATGCCTAAATCATTCAAAATAAAACTTTAAAAGTTTAAATTCATCAAATGTTCAGCGGTGCTTGCAATTGCAAAAATATATAAGGACATTCTTGTTAAAGCCCGATTTATAAGTTAATTATAGCATCCACATTCCACATTCAAATATTAACAAAAATATTTACAAAAACAATTTGTTTCTATCGATTTCTCGAAGGTTTACTTCTGATCCATCTGATTTGATCGTCTAACCAGTCTCAGTAAGTCAAATAGTTTCTGAGCGATGGTAATTTCAGATCCAGTTAGGGGGGATATGTTTTGCTCATTCGTAGTAAACACCATATACAATGCCAACCGCAAATAGAGATTCGTTGTGGTATTCGTACTGCGCGAACCTGAGGAGTAACACAGATAATTAGTTATTTAAATAATAATTAGTTATTTTAAAGATAATTGGTTATTTTAATAATAATTAGTTATTTTAAAGATAATTAGTTATTTTAATAATAATTAGTTATTTTAATAATAATTAGTTATTTTAAAGATAATTAATTATTTTAATAATAATTAGTTATTTCAAAGATAATTAGTTATTTTAATAATAATTAGTTATTTTAAAGATAATTAGTTATTTTAATAATAATTAGTTATTTTAGTAATAATTAATTATTTTAATAATAATTAGTTATTTTAATAATAATTAGTTATTTTAAAGATAATTAGTTATTTCAATACGGTTTTATGGATTAAGAATTTGTCCAAGTTCAGTAGTGCTATAGAATCCAGTAGTCTATAAAACTATCAGACGGAAAGAAATTCTACGACTGGATACTGCTTTTCAGTAATTAAATAGATTTGGAGATTTCTTGGCTTATAAACGATGGTAAATACAATTTGTAATAAAAGAAAAGAAAGCACTACAAATCATTGAACCAAACATTGTCCTAACTGTTTAGTAGTTGCTGCAGCGTCTAACCTGTCATATTGAGGATACCAGAGGCACCGACTGGCTACTCGAGCACCCTGGCCGAAATTAGCTCCGATCATTACCAACACAACCACTTTAAATCTATTGTTACTTCCTAGTTCCGCTTTCACCTGAGGCATAACTCTATCAATTCCAAGAAACCGGTATTTTCAATGTTGTCCCTAAAATTACAAGTTTGATTTGGGAACACTAGAATTTTAAATCATCTCAACGAATTGTGAATGCAATAAACAGATTCCTAACAGATTCTGATCGAGATACAGATTCACTGATATAAGTTAAATGGAAAATTATAACTTGAGTAGTATAGTAATATTACTGATATATAGTAATATTACTGATATATAAATATTGAATATTTAACCTGTGTTTTAACCGTCTCAGTTATCTGAGTGGTTAGATTTTTACAAGTGTCGCTGCTGAACTTGGAATCTAACAAATGAGTGAGGAACACATTCTTCATGATATCCTCCGCTTTTTTGGTGGGGAATTTCTGGCTATCTTTTGGTGCTAACTGATATGTGTTCTCAAGAACTACTTGTGGTCCTTTCAGCCCCTCCTGCGGATTAGAATTTGATTAACAGGTGATTATATTAGTTGGTGATTAACAGGTGATAAGATAAGTTGGTGATTAGCAGATGATTATATTAGTTGGTGATTAACAGGTGATTATATTAGTTGGTAATTAACAGGTGATTATATAAGTTGGTGATTAACAGGTGATTATATTAGTTGGTGATTAACAGGTGATTATATTAGTTGGTGATTAGCGGTGGTCGGATAAGCGTGCTGTGCTATATCTGATAAGGTTTACTTAATGGTGAATAACTTTGTCACTGTTACTTGCGTTTCTAATTTTTTGTAACAAGATATTATTTCAAAATAGCACAACTTTAGCAACAAAATAACATTTAATCAGTAGATTTTAGCTAGCATTTTTCAGTATAAAAGAGGAATAAAGAATAGCTTGCCACTCCACCAACACACTTGAAAATAGGAATCATTGTAACATCCCTTATATAAGCAAGTGATCAATAACCACACAAAAACGAATATAATATTTTAGAGATACCAAGTAGCGCAAAAATCTCATGGTGGATGTTTTCACAAAACACAATGAAATGTTTAGTAAGTTAGTTGCAAATGGGAGAATGGGGTTGGGGTAATGTAAGGTTTGACCGCTGTTCCATTCCAAGGTACTTGAAGCAGGAGTAAAAGCGGGAGTTAACAATGCCAAGCTGAGAACGCTCACTTCAGCAACAGCAGAACACGTGACACTAATATAGCACACGTGACACTAATATAGCACACGTGATACCTGAGTAGATACTGACTCTTTCTTAATCTTTGGGACCGGTCTCCGGTGCTCTATATGGGGCAGCACGTGATCATAGTTAGTCATAACATGTGGTGGTGACGTCATAACATGTGGTGGTGACGTCATGTGTGAAACTGGGCACAGCGCCAGATTAGTTCAGTTATACAATTAGAGGTTACGGTCACTAAAATAGCACTGAATCTAGAGGGTGTCGGGACTATAAATTAAAATAACATTTATCTCTTGATGAATCTGAATACGAGTATAAGGCAGGTCTCAAAGTACTCAAGCAGCATCATACTCACCTCCTATAGGCCATATGAGAGATGAAACCAGCATGGATTTACAATTTTGCTTGAGACTATCATGCACAGCTGAATTAAATTCATCTGCTATGCTATCTTATTCAATTTAGCAAAAATACAGGGGGGGGGGGGGGGGGGCAAAAGTCAGTGTGCAAACGTTGGCCTTAATAGCTCAGTCACTGAGTGCCCAATTGAAATGATTCTTTCTGGTATGACTTACTACCACCACTGGTTCGAGGAATTTATCTAATTTTTTCAAATGAAGGTTAATTTTCGAATTTATTTGATAGTTTGGATAGTCAGATCGAGCCAAATTTTATTGAATTGTATTTGGCCATTCGAATTTAGTTTGTCCTGAAAAAATGAGAGTTGTAGCTTCTCAGATGACCGAGATACGAAGCATAACGAGTTTATTCATTACGTGTGATCAAGTGATTGGCTTACCTAATCACCGTTAAAACACTTACCTTATTCAATTTAGCAAAAATATTAATGAAAATGCAAGAATTAGAAATATTAATTTGTATTTAGAAACTACTCTACAATCAATAGAGACTTTGGAGACTTTTCTTTGGAAATTTCAGTTTTAGCTTCAGAGACAACCTATACTTATAGACCCGTCTCGTATAATATGATGAGAGACTTCATCGATTTCTCTATCATCACGAAACATTCTAAAGACTTCTCTATCATCTATACTGCAGACTTCAAAGAAAAACTTTTTTTATCATTTAATAATCCAGAAACCTTTTAACTTTCTTACAGACTTTGTGGTAATCAAGATAATGAAATTCGTTAAAACCAAAAACAGTGCAGCTGTTTTCTGCTTCTAATGAATGAGCAATTCGCGATTTAAAAACGACACTCAACGTTTAAACTGAACGACTGCCTCAGAAGTGAAAGTGTCTGATAATTCCTTATCACTTTTCTAACAACCACAATAAAGTGAATACAAGCAGACTGGGGTAAACTTACACTGTTGGTCATACTAGAGGGGGTCCTGGAATACTGAACCGACTCTCGGTGTCGCTGCAGCACCAGGTGAACTTTCTGTTTGAACAACTTCCGCATATCCATGGCAACCGTTCTACTATTTCTAACTAATGTTCGCTTTAACTACATAATTGTATTACTGTTCCAGTTCATTGTAACGGTTTCTGTAGATCCGAAACGTTGTTATTTGTCGAACGTTATAAAGCGGATTCCTGGGACCATATATGATCCCGGGCAAAATTTCAATGACTTATATCAACAAATAGGGACGATATCAAAAGTGAGGTATTATTAATATTATCGAGTTCTTAAGAATTCAGAGCCGGAAAACAGATACAAACCAATAAAAGTTAAGTAAAGACGGAAGATGTACACTGTTAGAGATAATCACCCAGATAATTGAATAAATAGAGTTTAAGTACTCTGAGAACCCGGGAGTAACCAAGAATGATCTAGAACAATTAGGAGTTCAAACAAATAAAAGATAAGGGAGTCTGAGTAGATGATATAAACAAAAAAACATGGACAGGAAAAAAGAAAAAGACTTACCGATACTCTTGAAACTCATGAAATTGAAATGAACATGAAAAAGAATGTATGAAACTTACTTCCTCTCCGGCAACAGAGCTGGAGGAGGCACCCGACTGAGAATCACGCCGTGTTTGAAGAATCAAGGACGTCACTTTGCGTTTAAAAAGACCTCGCATTGCCATGGTTACCAGGCTTTGTTAGTTAACTGTTATGAAGGAAATCAGATAACGTTTAAAAGTTTAATTATGCAGTTAAAAGTTTAATTATGCAGTCAAAAGGAATATTATGCAGTTAAAAGAACGCAAAAGGCAGCTTTTTGGCATCAATAGAACTAATTATCTCAAATTACAGCAGCTCATGCTTTGTTGGTAACCCTGGCAACCGCGTCGGCAAAAGACCTGCTAGCTATATACATGAAAGGACTAAGCACAGGAAAACGTTAAATGAACCCCAAAATACGATTACACCGCATCGACTATACCACATACTGCACCACTACAATGACGAAAGCCAGATGGTAAAGGGCAACTGCAGAAAGTAGCTACCAGGATAGGCCCCTCGTCACGTGGTTCCCGGCGAAGAAAAACAAGCACAGCTCGACGGTGCACTACTTGCAAGCAACATGCAGCCGTTCAGTTGATAAAAGAAAAGAATTACAATGTTTTAGAAAATATAGCGGATAGTGTAATCGTTGGATCGTCTCTGAAACCGAACGCATAATGTTGTTGCTGCGGTAGAGATATCGAGAAGTAGATACCTATATATCTAGATATGTACGTGTGCAGGATAGTTTCACTGATTGTATCTATAACATGGTAGCTGCAAGACCACTAAGTGGCGCGATTGTCGCAGTCAAAATCATACTTACAATCAGTGCAGTCAGTTCACAAGGAGCATTTATTAAAGCCGATCAATATAAATTAGAGCCGATCTGTTAAAGCATTAGTTAAAACACAGTACAGAGAGCTAGCTTGTAGCTTGAGAGTTGCGTCCGTGTAGTGGCATTGTAAACAGTAGCAAGATAAGAGGGATTGTGAGAGACCTGAACTAAGAGTGGTTCTTCAGAAATAGTCTGATTAAACGGAATCTTCTACAGAAACAAAACGGAATCTGCTCACTGAGATTGAGAAGTATAGAAGCGTTTGGGGCTAAGAAATTGGAACGGAGAAATTTGAACTGACAGATTAGATCGAGGCATGAAATTTGAAGGAGGTTCGCATAAAATTGAGTCTGGAGATTAAATGGGTAAGGGAGGAAAATAACGGAGTAAGAAGAAATGATATGAGGAGGGAAAGAGTTTCATGATAAAATTTCATTACATAATAACGTTAAATCACAAAAAAGGGACTTTACGTTTAGAATATGTTCCCCAAAGTACGGATTATCAAGACAAAAAGTATCGGTATAAAAGTAACTGAAACTCTCAAAAGACAGAGCCACGTCGTTCTCCTCATCTCTAGGTGTTGTCAGGTGGCTGCGGAGCGACTAATAGCCATGCAAGTCGCTCTGGCTCTCAATGTAATCACAAAACTCATTGAATTTCATTTCTAGATATTTTAGGAGCTGATGCTCCATCAAACAAACAAATGAATCAGTTGACCGGCGATGAAAAAATAACTTTTCGTGTTTGGGTGCTATCGTAAGCATATTGAACGACATCAAAGCATGAACATGTTGACTACTGAAACGGTCAAAGAGAACAAAATGCAATTATTTCATCTTATTAGATTGCGTTGTGACTTAGGGGGGGGGGGGGGGGGGTCCAAGGGGAACTTTGGGGAGTTTTGGGGAACTTATTTTTGGGGAACTTCAGGAAACCTGGGGGACTTTCCCAAAGTTCCCCAAAAAATTATCAATGAAACAAATAATTTTGGGGAATTTTGGGGAACTTTTTTTTGGGGAACTTCAGAAAGTTCCCCAAAATTCCCCAAAGTTCCCCAAAAAAATTATCATGCCAAAAAAATTATCATGCTGCAAGTATCAACAAGTAAGTTAAGATTATACCTTATAATAACATACATGTTAACATTAATGGGTATTAATGTATATTAGAGAAATTTTGAATAATTTTGAATAATTTTGAATAATTTTGAATAATTTTGAATAATTTTGAATAATTTTGGGGAATTTTGGGGAACTTTGGGGAGTTTTGGGGAACTTTTTTTTGGGGAACTTCAGAAATCTTGGGGGACTTTCCCAAAGTTCCCCAAAGTTCCCCTTGGACCCCCCCCGACTTATCGATGGTGCTTTCAGTACACAATAAGCCATTTGATCTCATTTAGAAAAGTGTATGCCTATGGGTCATCAGTCACCATCTGGGTAGTAAAACTGATAATAGCTATTGCAGCTGTAGACTGCAACTGTAGTTTATTAACATAGCCACAACTACAGCTGCAGGCGTAATTGAATTCCGGCCGAATTCATGGTACCTAAATACTTTAATTCTTAATCAAGTTTCGAGCTCTTAAGAGCGACCGAACTACAATTTACGTATTTGGAGAAGTTAAGTAGGTAATCACAAGGCCTTAGTAAATGTGACCGTTTTTCCTATTATTTAGGATTCTGGCAGGTTCATAAGCCACCGCACTTACTAGCCTTTGATCAGGATAATGTAACAAAACTAAAAAAGTGAACATATTCTGCTGCTGAGAGTAACAATATAGTTATATGAGAGTGAGGTTACTGACCGCAGGTGCGTGTTAACTGTTAGTGCCACTGCCAGGTCTATAGTCTGAGTCATCTCTATACTAGGTGTGAGTTGCTGTTTAGTGCTTAGTGCTTAGTGCTTCGGTTTTGTGGTTGAAGAAACTTTGCCATTATAGTAATGGCGTTTATTGCTGTCGCCCTGGTTCCTTAATAGACTAATTCGCGCCACAATCTACTGGAACTTAGTGTTACTGTACCTACACATTGTCACTGGTTCTTATTTATTATAACACTGGGGAAATTGGGAGTTTAGGTTTGATACAGCCATGCAGTATAATTGTGTTCGTACAGAGGCTTCCCCTTAGGCTAGGCAGTGTGAACAGTAGCGTTATATCGCAGTGTAAGTTTAAACCACCACATGATGAACAATGCGACTCATAAATAATGTTTTTATCCGGATATTACACTTGTTTTATATTGTTTTTAACTGTTTTAAATTTTTGTTCTTCTCTATGCTCTTAAATGAGCTCTTTGTAGTCTGGATCAAATACTATTGTTGCTGTACTACAATTCGTTAACCGCTCCCGTCTGCCAGAAGTTACTCCACATAGAAATCAGTATTCTCAAGACCATCAAAACTACTATTTTGTAGATTAAACAGCTGTTAGTCATGCAAATTGTCTTGAATAGTCTACGTCTTCTCCTATACTCCTACAGCCGTAATTAAAGCTCTTTTCCAGTTATATGAATTTATATTCTTACCATTTCTTTTCAAACGCAGAAAATAGCTTACTATTTGAATTTCCCAACTCCTTATTTATTCTTGGAAATAGACCATTTATGAAATGAACGACGAAAACGATCACAGTCATTGAGTCATTTTCGAGGTTTGTTTTTACGTTGTCACATTGCAGCTTTTAAACGCTTTCGCTCCAAATATTGTTTGAGGTTTCTGATTCTGAAAAAGTACCAAATTGCAAACTTAGTCAGCGTCATAAATATTTCCACTTCCATGTTTAGAATTGAAATTATGTCCAAGACATTTATCTAATTATCATATTATAATAGTGTGAAACTGTTTGTGTACAACCTTGGCCATGCACATCAGCTTTATGGGTGAGAACTGAGACACTCAGTCAGCTAGGTAGGATCTTAAATTGTTCGTAGAAACGCTATTCTTGATATGAGCTCATTACTTCACTACACCCTTGAAATCAGACGTAAATTCAATATTCGTGGTACGATTTCAAACAGACGAAATAGCATTGATTATTGATTGAAACCACGTCCTACTATGTAAATCTCACATTTACCGAGTATAATAGTGTTTCCGAGATATCTGATTATCTGGACACTGTTGTAATTTCATATAATAGTAGTTTGCTTCATAACCTGGCATGTTGCCAAGAAACGCTGGTCACATACGAGGTATAGTAGCCTAATACTCTGATACTCTAAACTTCTAAATATTTCTGAGAAAAAAAGATAGCTGTAAAGAAATAAAATCAAACTCAAATGTTGTAACCTCTTTGTAAGACTGGTTTGGGTCACGTTTGTGATCTTTCTTTTATTGTAAGCCTCCGATATGAGTTGACTGTTGAGGTATCGATTACAGTTGAAACCTTATCTTATATCTTGAATCCATATCGTTCAAATCGCCATTTTGTTCCTTTGATAATTTCCTCTGCTTTGCCAATACCATATCGTTCGTGTTTGATCATCAATCATGCCGATTTGATAACCATGTTTTTTCAAAATGGGTTAAATCTGCTTGCCCGCGTTAAAGCACTGTCAGGAGCCTGCTCTACTTGATACACTAACCACACACTAACAAGGTTTATATTTAACCCAGCACGTGCTCTTTACTCCAGGTAATAATGACAGCAAGTAAAGTATCTTGGGATGATGTGGAGGTGGTGGAGAGTGGAGACCGGCAGGGAGGAGAGATAAAACATGTTGGGGTGATGGGGGCAGGGCTGGTGGGATGTTTAGCTGCTAGTATCCTCGCCCAGAGGGGGTATGATGTGGAGGTGTTCGAGTACAGGTGACTTTCAATTCCATTGATAAAGATAGTGCCAGTTTAAGCATGTTTCGTTGTGAGTCTCATACGATTGCTTTAGAACTTTCCGACGTTCACATTTTACTCTTTAATATTCAAAATGACGTGATCAATATCAGTAACAGTATCAAAGAATGGATAGCAATAATCAGTGATGACTCATGACCGTATACAAAAACTAGGTCTGACATAAGAAACGAAGAAGATATCCAGGGAAGAAGTATCAACATGACCATCGCAAAACGAGGACTCGATTCATTGGAAGCCATCGGGGTCAAAGACGTCATTCTAAAAGAGAGGTACCTATCTGCAAAAATTTGACACATTCAATAAATTGAAATCCGGCAATACTTCATATACGTCTTACTATGGATACACCCAAGAGCAAGATAAAACCTGTGTTTTCTTGTTTTATACACAATATAATGCGGTGCTTACTGTTGTTTATACGTCAAGACCAAGGGTTTGTTTCTTCACTGGTAGTTGGTTGGTACAGGGTTGTTGGAAGTAGGTCACATAACCATGTTTATTTATGTAAAGAAATAAAACTTAAATTAATGACAATTACTCACAGTATACCCATGTATGGACGAATGATACACAGACAAGATGGCTCTACCTATCCAGTACCCTACGGTGTAAAGGACCAGGTCATAAAACTCCACCAACATTTGAATTTTGTGGAAATTGATCAGTTTCTAGTATCTAACAGATTCAAATCATTCTTTTAATAACGATTCTTTAACTCCAGGCAGTGTATTCGATATCAAGAAACCTAATCAACAAGCTCTTACTCGATACAGCAGAGGGTAACAAAAACGTCAGGATTAACTTCAATCACAAACTACAAGACATTAACTTGAACAGCAGAGAAGCTACTTTCCAAGTTCAAACTGATAAATCTGTCGTTAAGAAACGATTTGATGCTGTCTTCGGGTAAAAAACCAACTGCGTGACAAATAGAATGACTTTAGAAAGTAATAAAAATACAAATTTGAATTATAAGACTGGAAAAATGCAATCAGAAAAAAGGAAATGACAACACTCGTTATGACAATTGCCTTATATTATATATATATTATATTACACTCGTTATCCTACAGATGTGAGGGAGCCTTCTCGAAAACCAGACAACAGTTCATGCGGGACACCTCCTTCAACTACAGTCAGACCTACATTGATGCTCTGTACATGGAACTGTCCATAGAACCAGACGAGGAAGGAAACTCCAAGATGCCTGATGTTAATTATCTTCACATCTGGCCCAGAGGAAACTTCATGTTGATCGGTATGTAAATTAATAAATTAGTAAATTATAGGGATTAAGGATAAGTTGTGAGGAATGGTTCATGAAAATCATCATTACCTGGCCTTTAAGAATGATACAGATTACATAGTAACAAGTGAAACAATCCAATATTGGTGAACAATCTAGTCGTTTCATGAGATAACGATACCATTCACCGGTGCCAGTATGATTGCTTGATTGGTACTGACTACTGTTTAATCACTTGTGAAATTACGACTCAATTGTTCAGTGTTCACCAATATTCGATTGTTTCAATTGTAACTAAAAATTAAAATGCTCCTGCATGCCAGTTGACCAATCTCTGGGAAACTAGAAAAAAACTTTTTATAGTAAATTATGTTAGCGAACAGTACAATTTCACGATTGAGTGCAAAGCAAACTTCTTTTTAACTCAGGTTTACCAAACAAAGACATGTCATGGACGATGACTTTGTTCGGACCAAAAAGCATATACACAGAGTTCAAGTTCGCCTCAGGCGTGATGGGGGTCTTCGAGAAATATTTCCCGGACGCTATTCCTCTGATGACGAAGAAACGGATTTTAGCTGACTGTCTGGGTAAGTTAAACTGACCATGTTCGTGTCCCTGCAACTATTACTATTTGAAGTCATCTGCAAATAGTCTGAGAACATAATCGTAGTCCTTTTAAATTATTGTATCTTATATCAGATGTTTAGGCTAGGACATTTTGAATGTCACTCCGTGATGATAAAACCCTATTCCATCCATCAGACACTAAAGGGTATCCGATGGTACAGATAAAGTGCTCCCCTCATGTTCTCAACAACACTATACTGCTTGGAGATGCTTCTCATGCCATGGTTCCTTTCTACGGTGAAGGTTAGTGATACTCTCAGTTTAAAGACGACAACGTGTTACAGTAGTCTGATATCTCGCGGAAATTACACAACATGACTTAATATTATCTCACAAATAAGAAATTAACCCAAGATCCTCCTCTCTCCTGAAACTCTCACCTCATAGGAATGAACTGCGGGTTTGAGGACTGTCTGGTGCTGAACTCCCTCCTGGATCAACACAACATGAAAACAGCGCTGACTCTTTACTCCGGAGCGCGTGTGGCAGATGTGCAGGCTATGTGTGATCTAGCTATGTACAACTACATTGAGATGAGAGACCTGGTCAGGTCACCTCTGTTCCAGTTGAGGAAGTGGATGGATAACCTGTTACATTCTGCAGCTCCTAGCTTCTGGATACCTCTCTATACTTCTATCAGGTAAGGAAATCCAGTTTGACAAGGTCAATATTGGCATGAGCAATTTTTATTATTTCCCTTACATTTTGGCGTTGTGAATTCAGTGACCAATTTCAAATGTTTCATTAAAAAGGGTTAATCTGCAGATTCCAAAGAGCTCTGACATACGAGCAGTGTTGGAACAATAAGAAGTGGCAGGACAGGACTATTGACAGAGCGTTAATATCGGGTCTGGTGATGGTGTTAGGAGTTCTCACTGCTGTCTTCTTCTCATCTTTATCATAGCTATTAGCTTAGCTAGACAAACAGTTATAAATATAGACTAACATCACAAGATGGAGAAGATCCGACAAGTGGCCCTGTGACCACAGAACTACAGTGTTAAGCCGAATGTAGGCTGGACTATTTGAAGACACAATTTATAAGTATTTGAAGATATAAATTTTAAGTCTTTGCAATTCAGATTTCTATCAACTAATTATAACAGACCAAGCATACCAAGGTTTCGAACTTGTGTATGTATGAAATAATTTTCAGTTTTTGTGTCGATTACAAGCAGAACAGAAGCTGTTGATCCCGGCTGATAGTCGAATTGATAAAAATAGCATAAGCAGGACTTATTAAAGTAAAAGTAAAATGAGTAGTTGTACTATAAGTGAGATTTTATATGATTATCCATTTTATTCAAAAAACAGATCATCAAACAATATCTATTTCCTTGAAAAAGTAAGTTATTATATTAATTAACATTATAGCAGGTTAAATAAATAATAGTACCTCAAGATCAGAGTAGCCAGTGCTGCTACCAGTACTAGGCCGGCCCTGGCTCCCTCCAAACTGTCGGATATTACTGATCCTTCTCACTGCTTTCCTGAACTTTATCTGTACCATCTTGAGACTGAGAGTGTTTCTTCTTTGGAACAAAGGGTCGTTTGTAACACTGAGTTTAAATGACAAAGAACATGAAGATAAAATTTAAGATAGTAGTAAGCAATCGGAAATGATAAAAGAAGGATGATTTGTTGTCATATTTTCAAATTCGAGATAACAAAACAGCTTGATATGCAATCGTAGATAATAGAAAGACTACTTATACTGATCACACAAATTTCGCGAGTTTTTCTGTTGAATCAGCGACTATGAGGTCCACAAAATAAGACCGTGAATACCACTCAAGGAGTCAAAATGAGGTTTTTAATGAGACAAATCGAAATTTCGTTATCATCATACTCGAATAATAACAAGCAAAATCTTCTCGCCAAGCAAGCATAGAGTCAGACAATTATCAAAAACTACAATCGAGATTGCAGCATCGGCTACACGAATTTAAACTGAAGCAATAGCCCTTGCATCTGTGATGCATGAGATTGGAGAAGTGCGGTTTTATTAAAGCTACATGGTTGGGTTGATATGGATATACTGATATATCGGACAAACTTTTATAACTTTATATAACTTTAAGTGGAGAGCTCAATGAAAATTCTTTCATCACGAACTAGAGCCGGAGTTTTGTTAAGTCATCAAAGGATTTATCGCTTTGTTGAAAACCACTTCAAATTCTGCCGGTAAATCTTGGAGATTAAACACATGCCAGATAATCAGACGAGTTTTAATCATTAGTAGTACTAAGTTGAATTAAATATAACAAGATGGTATTTATCAAGTTATAAATCAAGTTAATAGTAAGTTATAAACACAACAATGAAATATGCATATGCATAGTGAGGTTAAAGTTAAAATGGCTAACAACAGGTTTTGTATACGGTTTGATTGTAATGTCACCGCAGTAGTTAATTTAGTGATTTGTATACTTTCAAATCAGAAGTTGTCCTGTTGAAAATCTAATCAGACTTTATTTTAATGACTTTGCTAGGCCTGTGGGAAGATTATTAATGATCCACTTTTTCTAGTAACTGGTGTGAGGTTTCCAGTATTTTGTAAATGGAGACATCACAGTTCACGCTCCAGTAATCGCGTGAGAAGAATTGTTATTAAACTCTAAAGTACTAAGCATATACTGGTCTGGTCGTCTGGAAGCCCATAGAATTCCAGTTCAGAAACCGAGTAAAAAGGTGCAGCTACTGATGAGAAGCCTCCTTAAAGTTTATTTGGGTTAGAAACGACATCTGGGTCCCTACCCTCACACAAGATTATTCTCAATTTTCTTGTTGTGTTCCACAACTAAACAATAGTGATAAGATACATCAAGTACCTGGTAGTGGTACTGATAAATCTAGAATACTACCAAACCATATTTTTGATATTATTCTAAATTAAAAATTTAACAGTTACAAATACAAACGTCTGAAATGAACGAAACAACTATTTTACTATAAATTTTCTGGGGTAAAGAGGGAATTTTCTAAAAACAATCCAAAATTGTTGACAAATGAAAGACAAGTTCAAAAGGAAATCGCGGCACGTGCAGAATCGCGATTTTTCCCATTCTCCGCGACAAATCGCGATTTTTGACGTTTGCCGAGACAAATCGTAATTTTTTCCGATCCTCTCGACAAATCCTGATTATTCCAGTTCTCTGAGGATTTGCACATTCTCCTTTAAATCCGAGGGCCAAATATCACGTTCTTTATAATTATATGGAACTAATCACATCCACAGCCTTCCAAATGTAGGTACGGACCGAAAAAGTATTTTCTGCTCGTAATGATCAGGGTAGCATGAAACATGAACTTGAAGTAGTTTCCAGAAAAACTTTGAAAATAATATCGATTTAGAAAATTTTCGGTCCGAGTCATTCTCGATAGCTAGGTACAAGGAGAGTGCCTCGATATGTAAGTTACTGTCCTTGTTTCTATATAAACATAACTTTTACAATAATTCTTACGTAATAATTATAATAATTTTCTATTATCACTAGAAGCCGCACAGACCTTCTATCTACACACAAACCAACTAGCAATTGTCATTTCTCTAATCCTATGAATCAGTGTATCCCTAATTCATAATTCGTGTAAAAACGAGTAAGTTACAGCTTGAATCGCTTGTGTTTATTTGTCTAAGTTGCTACAGTATACAAATTGTACAAACTCAACACATATTATATATTATATAACTTTATTCAAATCAAAAATAGAACATAAATGAACATCTTAAAGATCTGATAAGTAGCCAGAAAAAAAGAAATACTGATACACAAACTATAACAACTTCTTCCATCCCGCTCTATCAGAGGCTAAAAGTCTTAAATTGTACAAATCGTCTGTATTTACAAATGGAATGTTCCTACTACCTAAATCAAATTTTATAGTCCTAAGCAAGTTCGACTGGTGTCTGCCTACTCTACCCTTTTTAGTACTCTGACTCTCTACTGCAAAGTGTAATGCAAGCTGCGCACTGTGCAGGTGAGTTGTTATCACTGCGAAGGACATGTCCGAGCATCCTCCATCGTGCACATGCAACACGCTCACTGAGTGGAACTTGTCATACGTTGTATGACCCGCCGCGCACGAAGTGCGCGGCTCTCCCTGTATCGTCGAAGACGATATAGTGAAGCGACCGTGGGGGTCACCACGTGATACAAAGTGGAACCACTTCACATCTCTTGTAAAGGGTGTCGTTTTTGATTATATTAGGGTAAGTCATTCTGATGATTTGCCACATAATTGACCAATATAGCTTCAAGTATGCTGTTTGATAGCAATAATATATTCGAGATTATGTTATACTAGTGTAACCAAGGCCTACGTCCGGGACTTCACTATCGGAGTTGAAATGCAAAAGTATAAACCCGCCTATTGTATTCTAAAAACCCATTACATTTATTTTGGTAGTTAAAACGGTGCAAAAGTATGAAATCACTCAGTCAAAGCATACTTCAATTCAATTCTGAGTGCCCCTCACGTATTTAATAGTAATACTTGATATAGCATATCTGTTGAGTATGGGAGAGAGAACGAGAGTAGGAGAGATAAGAGGGAGAGACATTTGGGTCACAAAATCATCAATTAAACCACTTATCACCGGCTGATTAAAATACTTAGGCTCTTGTGCTTCGTCAGAGTTTTGTGGGCACTATACCGAAAAAAACAGCCACGTACCTCTTACCGTTTTCTACCTTAACAATGTGTCGATCGTAGGCATCATGAAGAATAGTCTGTTTAGATCTTAACACTATTCCTTGGCTAACAGTGTTAGTAACACACTAAAGATTATTAATATAGATGCTATTGTTTTGCCTGACGAGCCTGTCGCTCCCTAATCTTAAACTATACTAACAAGCTAGTTAATCGTTTTTTAAACTGTGTTTGAAAATTATCTCTATTGCCAAATTGCTGTGTGGGGGCCTTCTGTGTGGGAAAATCATCAAGAAAATCATCAAGAATTTTTGGCTGCGGCAAACATATCTTCAATTCCTGTCTGTGCGAAAGTTTAAGTTGTATGCACTCTACATTTCTCAGGATATGGTTGCCTCTACTCTGCAAGGCACATATAATAATTTGTGATAACTAAGACAGATGGTGCAAGCTGGCCATGTTTTACTTGTGGGTCATTTTGTAACTGGGTTGTTGTAGATGTATTGTAGATTTTAATGTGGCCATTCAACATTTTCTGGGGCCTAGCTCCAAATGCTTAAGAACTGTCCTGCTTCACTCGCCGACATTGCGAAAGTGGAAAATTCGCGAGCGAAGCGAGCGGGCCACAAAAAACAGAAAATGTGTATCTGCGAGGAAAATTTTAACTTTCTGGATGTGGGGCAATCGCTACTCGCGACTGCGTAAAAATAGGTTTTTGCCTAATAACTCAACAACCTGACGTCCGAGGACTTTGAAATTGTGCTCGACCCTAGTTAATATGATAATTCCGAACATTTTAGTGCCCAGGATGAGCACCTAGCTCAATCAGAAGCCGAGATATCTCGTATTTAGTGTGCAAATAACGACTCGCGAGAGCAAAAAAGGGCGTGGTCACATAACTCAACAACCTGATGTCTGGTGACTTTAAAATTATGCTCTACTCCCCTAAATATGATGATTCTGAACATCTTTAAAGCCAAGTTGAGCTCCTAATTCGAATTGGAAGCGGATTTATTTTGATTTTAAAGTCGCGAAAGCGCCAAAAAAGGGCGTGGTCAATTGCGCAAAACTGCCCCATATTCAGAAAGTCTACCCAAGCCAAATTTGTTTCTGAGGGGTCCCTTGAGCCGTTCCAGGTCTCAAACCTCGGGGCGGAAGACTTTTCTACGGGAATATTCTCAGATCCATGACTATGAAAGTAGCGTTTGTTTTGCTTGTGGTGACCGTTTTTGCTGTCCATAAAATAGAAAGTCGTCGTATAATTATGATCAATAATTTGCCGACCTTTCTAGGTGAGTGTCATAAATTACATTGTCGATAGATTGGTTACAATAATTGTGAGGAACCGACATAAAAGCATACCTACTGTTGAAATGATGTGATTTTTAATAATGCTGAATTACGATATTTTATAATATAACCAGCTATCCAGAACGGGACTCTCGCAGAACTAAAAGCGTTACTAAAAATGATTTTACTCTCAACCAACTGCTGCTGCAGACATTGAAAGTTTTAAATATATAATTGGCAGGTTGCTGGAGGGCATGGAGCAGTTGCAGTGAAGCAGCTGGTGACCTGTGGCAGAACTGCCAAGACAGGTCAGTAGAACATGGGAGGAAGTCTCATAAGTCACGTTTCATTTACTTGTCATTTTCATCTAGTGACTCAGTAGCTCAGTCGGTAAATCCGCATGATTACTGGCCACGAGGTAGTCAGTTCAAATCACAATGCTGGCAAGCATTACCGTCGCCCTTATATTCACAACACTATTTACCCCCTATACGATTATATCCCCTTTATTGTTTTCCAGGCATTAAGACTCATCGAAAGTAGTTCAGCAGGTACATTTAAGTTCAAAACATTCTAATTCAATATTGAAGATGACAGGAATAAGAAATAGTTGTATGGAGGTTTTTAAGAAATTTGCGCAAAATACGCGCCAGCATGTTATACGAAATTAGGTAAAAAACCCAAAATCGCCATATTCAGGTGCCTTAAAAACCATGTTAAAATTGAGTTAGAGATCTGAAACTTTGCAGGGCGTCTAGACCTTGTCCAAATCGACTGTAAAAAAAATTTCATGTTTCAGGAGTATCGGGAAGTGGGTTTTCTGGAACCCCTGTTTTACAACAGATTGTCGTGAAGATATATATATATGTATAGACGCTTTTTGCAGTCAATTGTAGCCTACATTTAAGTGTCCGTAGATTCAAAAGTATAAACGATACAGTCATCTCGAACCACAGGTTTTAAAGATAATCGTTTAAGCTTTAGTTTACATTGTATTGAAAAATAATTTAACGTCATCATCATCACTTGATGACGTCATCAAATTAAGTATTTTAAAAACTTGATTTTTGACCAAGTATCAACTTTTCAAATCGATTTTACGCTATTAAGGAGTAATTTTATTCAAAATCTGAGGACATTTTCATCTTAGATAATTGTTCAAGCATTCCGAAAATCTACCGGAATAGTTTCCTACCTTGCTCCTTCATAAAGATATTTGCTATTGAAGTTAGTGCTTTTTTGAAGAATAATTTTATAAAAACACAAAAGTTGTGAATTAGTATTCTCTGGTGTTGGGCCATCCCTTGGGTTGTGGAGCTCAATTTTGCTTCTTAAAGGTGTAAATTGTGTTATAGGCTAGTTTTAAAGTTAAAAATCGAAAAGTTGCACACGTGGGGACACGCCCAAATTCATTTAAAATAGCTAAAATCGCTAAAAATTTTGATTTTCACGATTTTTATCAACTTTGGAGTCCCGTTGTGATCCAAGCTCTTTTTGAAATCTTCTGAAACTTTGCATGCTTATTAAACTATATATTAAATACCACTATGCAAAAATTTACGGTGATTCAATATTGTATGCGCACGCGACGTCCGCTCAAAGTTTGCACGTGCGAAAGGTGAGAAATTTGCTCATTCGTGATTTCGAATATATTCTGCTTTCCACGATATTTAAATGGCATTATATATGAATTTAATGCCAACTTGAATGAGTAAAAAGTGCCATATTCAGTCGGTTATCGACAGAAATACCTAACTAAACACAAGGAAACGTTTTCAAAGGCAGAATTTCGAAATCGTCGAAATTACCTCCTTGTTAATGAAGTTTCGACTAGCTGTGTAAATTATCCTGACATTATAATCAAAAAGAGATGATATTTGACCAAAACCCATAATCATGGGTAGAGTGTACCGCTGCCAGTGTCTCTCTTTTCCAAACAAAAGGAAATGATATTAATTTGAGGAACAGTCCGCTAATGCAAATTGATACCGAGAATGAAATCGGTCGCTCGCTTTTTCCATTCGATCACGGCTTACGAATTGTAATAAAGCTTATTGATTTGAAAAAGCGAGCGACCGATTTCATTCTCGGTATCAATTTGCATTAGCGGACTGTTCCTCAAATTAATATCATTTCCTTTTGTTTGGAAAAGAGAGACACTGGCAGCGGTACACTCTACCCATGATTATGGGTTTTGGTCAAATCTTGGTTATAACTATATAAATAAATTTATAATATTGTCTTCCTTGCAGATGCCATTGTCTTGGCTACAGTCGGGGAGGACAGTGCAGAATAAAATACAACGACCGCCGCTGCACGTCTGGTAAATCCCACTACTGCAAATGTGACGGCCGGAAGGATGGGAGCGGATCTTGGTGGTGTGGATTCTAGACAAACCTTAATATCACAGATGGAGGAACTTATCTGGTCTACTTCAAGTGTAATTTCCGGGACAGAATCAAAATTATAACATTTTATTTTTAACCGAAAATACAGTGAACATTTTTACTTTAATGATCGCTTTCCAAAACTTACTGGGCGGCGAGAGCACGCTTTGATCTAGGCGAGATACTACAACTTTCTTAGATTCAATATTAAATTGCAGTTAAATTGTAGCTAAAGCTGCCAAGTTGTAAATGTCTAACAGTGCTAAAATTTTTAAATGAAAATTAGGCATTACCCGGAAAATCCGTTAAGATAAGGAGGACATTTTTATATAACATTGTTCATGAACTAATTTGAGCTGCACGATGTATTAAATCAAAAGTAAGGACTTTTGTCAAATTTAGGCGTACTTCATTTTACCAATTTATAAAAATTCTAGACAATCCTTAAGGGGGGGGGGGGGGGGGGGGTTCACCCTGATTTTTTTGTGAAACTTGGTTTCGAGATAGTAGTTGACCAACAAACTAGGACCAGTGACCGAACTTTTGAGGGGGTCCCGGACCCCAACCGCCAAACGGTGCCCGCGGGGCAGCCACGCCCATATTTGGTCCAAATTAGGCCCAATTTAGCCAAATACCCTGAACATGCCCAAAATCCTGATTTTAGGTGCTCTACTTGTAGCAAGTGGTCCCCTGAACTCGTATATGAATTTCCATTAAAATTGGACAAAAAATGACTGAGTTATGAGCAAAAAACCATATGACCATATTTGGGCATACGCACCAAATTTGATCGAATTTGGCCCATAAATTGGTCAAATATCAATATTTTTGAATGAAACCAACTTTATATGAAAGGTAAGCCTATACTACACATTATCTATGATTATCAGCTCAGTATCTACCTAACTGTGGATTCTGTGTTCAAATAATCGCAAAAAATGAACAAAATTGCCCATATCTCAGTTTGCGATATTTGCAAAACTGATTTCGCTCAAAACAATAGAACTCAATAGGGTTTCAATATTTTTACATGAAATTTTCAGAATCAACGTAGAATCGCATTTCGACCTTAAGTTTTGTATTGGAATTTTGAGTTAGGCCTTTAAAAAAATTTGGCGGCCAAATTCCAAAATTTGCAATGCGAAATTAATATCACAGATGGAGGAACTTATCTGGTCTACTTCAAGTGTAATTTCCGGGACAGAATCAAAATTATAACTTTTTATTTTTAACCGAAAATACAGTGAAAATTTATACTTTAATGATCCTGTATTATACTAGTATTATATGATAACTTTTGGGTATATGTATGAAACCTTAGATTTCATGAAGTAGAAGCGAACCATAGCCATGCTCTTCCAGGCGCACTAAAAGAAAAACCAACGAAACCAAAAAAGTATCCGTGCTATTATTATATAGTTATTTGCTATGGTTTTCCTTCCCTTTTGTCATTTGTACCTCTGCTTCCTCAAAACATCAATAAGTCAATAACCAGTAACCTAAAGTACATATTCCATGTTCACACTTCACTGTCAAAGCATCATATTTAATAGTGCCGGATTACCTCAATGTTAGACTAATAGAGTAATAGTTGAACCTGTTCTTGGTGGTTAAATCCTTGGAGAGAGTTATTCCCGTATGGTACCTTAACCCCTCACTATTAGTCGCTTGGCTGCGGCGGAGTCTAACAAGTGACTAGGTGAGCGGGCGGGCCGCAGCACTCTTGTTGTCGGAACCTATCTACAGTAACAACTATCTCAGAGAAACCTTGTGGCAGATCCATGAGGAAATACAACTATGATGACGAAGTATCTCGCTGTCCTGTCTGTCAAAGAATTTATTGATTACCTCAATGTTCCGTATCATCCCCGGAAACCACAATATCGGAATATCCAAATACGTAAACAAGCATTGTGCCGGAATCCGATTTGTGTTTTGCTTGATATTGAACAATAGACCGCTTTCTAAAACTTACTGGGCGGCGAGAGCACGCTTTGATCTAGGCGAGATACTGACGGGGAGTGGTTTGATTATTTTTAAGAAGGAAAAAGGAATTGCGGTCATTAATTCTAAGTTCTTTTATTTTCCTATTTTGTAATTGTATAATATTCTTTGTCGGTGCAGTTTTTTCTGCTCATTTTGGGGTAAATTGACTACCAGTTAAAGGTCTCAGGGGTCAAGAGTGGGGTTACCGGTTAAATTTAATATATACAACTTTCTTAGATTCAATATTAAATTGCAGTTAAATTGTAGCTAAAGCTGCCAAGTTGTAAATTTCTAACAGTGCTAAAATTTTTTTCCCTGCTCTTGCCGAAGGCAAAAAGATCGTAGGGAATAAGTAATCGGGTTTGGATATATAAGCTATCCCGATGGACCTGCGGTGACGACAAAAGTCTGCTCCTTCGCAATATAGACCACTCCCCCATAATAATGAGTATAGGAAGCGTCTGTTATGCTGCGCGCGACGCTCGGCGTGTGTTAGTTAATTGCATTATCCAACGCGAATTTCAATTGTCGAACGATGCTGTTCAAATCAAATTAGCCCAAAATTTGTGCGCGGCGTACTAAATATTCGATTACACGCAATCCTGCACGCGCGCAATGACAAATTACGATGAAAATATTGCAACTTTTTAACAACAAAATAATCCAATATATAATTTTTATTAATCGATAAAATTAACTTTTCGTTGCAAATATTAACGGTTTAAGCAGGGAAAATTAATCGTGCGTGGTGTAACCGCGGCGAAATTCTTGTTGAATGAAAATTAGGTATTACCCGGAAAATTTGTTAAGATAAGGAGGACATTTTTATATAACATTGTTCATGAACTAATTTGAGCTGCACGATGTATTAAATCAAAAGTAAGGACTTTTGTCAAATTTAGGCGTATTTCGTTTTACCAATTTATAAAAATTTCAGGCAACTTGGTCGTTTAGCTCCGGACAGTCTATGCAACGTCTATGCAACGTCCATGCAACAACAAAAGAACCGTCTATGCAACGTCTATGCAACGTCCCTGCACAATGAACACTCTATGCACACTCCCTGCACGGTCAGTCTATGCAACGTCTATGCAACGTCTATGCAACGTCTATGCAACGTCCATGCAACAACAAAAGAACCGTCTATGCAACGTCTACGCAACGTCCTTGCACAATGAACACTCTATGCACACTCCCTGCACGGTCAGTCTATGCAACGTCTATGCAACGTCTATGCAACGTCTATGCAACGTCTATGCAACGTCCCTGCACAGTACCATATGAACACCGGCTACTAGCCGGCTACTAGCCGGCTAGTAGCCACTTTTGTAATAACAGCTCCTCAACTTCACATTACCAACCGGCTACTAACCGGCACTTGAAAAGTGGTCACTAGCCGGCTACTAACCGGCTACTAGCCGGCTAGTGACCACAAAGTGGCTACTAACCGGCTACTAAGCGGTCACTAGCCGGCTATTAGCCGAGCTCTAGAGCTCGGTTTAGAACCGGCTACTAATAGGTCTGCTTTAGAGCCGGCTAGTGACCGGTTAGTAGCCGGTTAGTAGCCACTTGGTGGTTACTAGCCGGTTAGTAGCCGGTTAGTAGCCGGCTAGTGACCGCTTTTCAAGTGCCGGCTAGTAGCCGGTTTAGAACCGGCTACTAATAGGTCTGCTTTAGAGCTCGGCTAATAGCCGGCTAGTGACCGCTTAGTAGCCGGTTAGTAGCCACTTTGTGGTCACTAGCCGGCTAGTAGCCGGTTAGTAGCCGGCTAGTGACCACTTTTCAAGTGCCGGTTAGTAGCCGGTTGTTAATGTGAAGTTGAGGAGCTGTTATTACAAAAGTGGCTAATAGCCGGCTACTAGCCGGCTAGTAGCCGGCTAGTAGCCGGTGTTCATATGGTACTGTGCAGGGACGTTGCATAGACGTTGCATAGACGGTGCATAGACTGACCGTGCAGGGAGTGTGCATAGAGTGTTCATTGTGCAGGGACGTTGCATAGACGTTGCATAGACAGTTCTTTTGTTGTTGCACGGACGTTGCATAGACGTTGCATAGACTGTCCGGAGCTAAACGACCAACTTCCCAAATTTCACATGAAACGAACTTAGATCACGATTCTAAATTGCGCGTGCACATACGGGCTGACCTTAAAGCCTTAACATACCCACAATTTGGGCAGGATCAATATTTTGAGGTAAAAAGCATCTGATGGCAAAATTTGACATCATGTCATGAGTTTTGTCACATTTTGTGTCATGATATGATTTGAGATCAGTATCACATCATCATGGGACATGAGCCGATCAAATTGAATAATTAAAGAATATATTATGACATCTAACTTAGGACTCAACTGCAAATACATTATCTTTCGCCGCGAATTCGCCGCGATTTTGCCTACTTTGGCTAATTGTCCTGGCGATTCTTGGCCTAATCAATCGCGATTTTCTTTTGTCCTTGTTCTCGTTAAGATCAATAGCATCATTTAAATTTTCTGATTTTCTGATTTTCATGCAGTTATATATAACTAGTGTAATCCGGCCTTCGGCCGGGATTTCACTGCCGCAGTTAAAAATTAAACGGTAGGAGTATTTACCCGCTGAGTCATAAACCCAATATCCAAATACGTAAACAAGCATTGTGCCGGAATCCGATTATAATGCTTACTGTAAAACTTTTACGTTACATTATATTTATAACAGTTACAAAAACAGCTGGATCTTGCATGATGAAACAGCAACCTGCAGAGCCAGTCAAATTAATTTTTATAAATAAAAAGACATTTTTACGTTTTATTGAATACCTTCTTTAACACTTATTCAACAAAGAACAACCAAATTAAAGAATGCGAACAAACAAAAAATTGCGTAAATTTTACGACAGACAACGGTCCAGAAGTCCTAAAACTTCATTTTAAAGTTTACATTACATTATATGTTTAATGATGTACTCATAGAATCACCCGGCCTCATTTCAATCAAAATTTTACCATCCAAGATACATTTAATAGTATATCTAGTCTATATAATATACAATATAGGGTGAAATGTTGAAAGTGGGGGAGCGATGCACGTTGTGAAATGCTAAAACTAACATGTCCAATAGGCCCGTCGTGTGGAAACATCTGAAAAAGTACTCACATCCCAAACTTCGCTGCCAGAAGTACCAGAAGTAGCGCTTATCCGACTGAAGGAGTTGACCGATATGACATTGGTCATTACTGCTTTCCTCTGCTTCGAAGTCATGATAAAACCGTGCCTTTAGTCCTTAGTTATAGTATACAGGACTGTCGATCAACTATAATCCGTACTGCAGCGGAACAATTACAAAATCTATTGAACTAGAAATTTAACAACGTTTGCAGAGGTGTTATAACGATAATAATATACCTTGCTATAAACTGCCCTCACACACGACTCAATCATTTAGTGAATCTGAGGTCATGTGAGAGACAGATTTCAATCTGATTCAGTGAACCTCACTCAATCAGGCGGTCATGTGACAGACACGTGGCTGGCATTCACAAGTAGAACAACTGTGGTTTTCGTGCTGGTCGAAACATGAATTTCTTTATAAGCTAGCATCCACCATTTATTTACTAAAAAGCCGCTTGATATGGAGGGGGAGACTATCTCTATGCTTGTCTGAGGTTACAAACTGCAGAAATAGAGGATATAAAAGTCATGTTCTGTCATGATAGAGAGCGAGTTTAGCCTATCTTTCATGCATGATCATATGAGAACTCTGAAAAGATAAACAGTCTCCGCCTCAAAGTTGATGAATGGTCTTTGATCAATGAGTGGAAGAAAATAAGAATCGTTAACCATCGTCAACGTTATCGTTGACGTTGGATGCAAGTTGCAAGTTGAATACATGATAACTATTTTAGCCAGCTATTGCAAAGCAATATCTTAAACCACAACCTCACTTCAGCCACATTTAACCTAAACCACATTTGGACTACCTGACGATGCCTCCACGCCACACAACGATTCAGGACTTTTTGAAAATTATAAACAACTTACTCCTGGTTAGCAATGTACAGGAGAATATTATTTTCTTGGAATTGGAAATGGTATTTATATATTTTATCGCAGTGTGATTGTAACATGCTTTCAGTTTCACTGAATGCCTCCCAAATGACCACCATTTAAATACGGTAAAATAAACAGGCTGGCCTAGAATTTAAGTAAAACATGTCATAACAAGTGTTAATTCCGAGCCACACAACACAACTGTAAATTAAAACCACAATTAAAAGAATATAAAACTCACATCTCCTGCAACGGAGCTGCTGGAGGCAACAGAACTCAGATCTGAGTTGACCCTGGAGCGTCTCCTGATCTCTGACGCTGCTATCACCTTCGTTAACACCTTCTTGTGCCATGATTTCAGCCTCATGTTTCACTGTATAGTAGCTACAAAGAGGTTTACAGCCAGAAATAAATGAACATTTACGGTCGCAAAAGCACGCAATGAAAAATGCAAATGAAGGCAGTGAATATTTTAATAATATTATACAGGAGCATAGTGAAGCCTCTCTCTGAGCCGGTTGATCGTGAGAATGCTTGCATAATAGGCAGCTTTAATAAAATCAACGAAACTAAGACAGCTCCATTGTTCAAGTATGTTTTAATACCAATCCTGGGATTACATTTACTACTCAGCAAGCACCGTTTCATCGCTGTCCAACATTATATAGTCGTTCTGGCATGGTCCGTCATCATTGAATCCTATAAAACTGCACTTGCTTGCTCTTTGCTATGATCACGTGAACTTTCAGCGCGGTTTCACGGTAACACCGCCACAGGCTGTCGCTTGCGAAGTTTTCTTTTAATCTTCATGAATAAAAACCGCGGCTAATCACCCTCGATCAAAACATCGAGCGACGATACCACGTATCTAAACATTAAGAACCGCGGGACAGTAGCGGTGGCCAATCAGAATGGCCAGCCAAGTTATATACCAAGTACAAATACACTCGGAGACAGAAGTAAGTATGAAAAACCTGCTTTATAGAACCTCACGACACGCTGCATTATTGGGGCACCCAGTCCAATTCATTTGCAACTTGTCCACTTTTCAGCTGGCCTAATAGTAGAATATTACGCCGTACATATTCAAGAAGACATTAGTAATATCGGCAATATCATTACTGACCTGTCGCTTAGTCGACCTTTTCCTATGATACAGCATATTTGATGTTCATGTTAAACTTAAATCATTAAAATAATTATCAAATAATGGGTAATCCACACATTTTCTTCCAAGAGGTTTGTATCAAGTTTCATACTTTTTATGTACCCACAACACAGTGTTCGGCACGGTAAATTAATTTTAGTGAACCGAAAAATGTTAGTAAACGTTCCGTACGTACACTACAAGTACAACTAATATTTTTGTATCAAGGAGGATGGAACGATTAATTTTAAAGAGGACATGTTGGATGATTAAGAGGGAAAGTAGGCCGGTGAGATATTAAAACTGTGAACGAGAGGTGAGGCAAATGATTGCGGCAAACTTATAGTTATATCAACACACATGATTGCCTGTATCCACAATTATATACGTTATATTCTGAATAACACACAATAAGAAAGTAAGAAGTAGAGCACAAATCATTTGTGATTAAATATGTTTAAGATAAAATATTTTTAGGATCTGTAGAGAAGATCGAGTAATTTATATAGCTGAGTGATATCTAACTTCTGGAGATAAAAATTGAAGAAATGTTGGGGACCTTTTCAGCGAGACTTTATCAAATAAATCATAAAATAAGTAGGTGACATGGTTGCTTGATTGGAGAGATGAGCTTAAACCTCACCAGCACGATAAGTCACACATCTCTGTCGGGGTTAAATGAGTGACTTTAGCAAGTATAATTAGTGGACACTCTAATTTCATTTACAGCAACTTTCAGTGCACATTTCACAGCAGCTTAACAGTTGGGAAGCAACCACATGCATATTATACACTCTTGACATTTCCGAATAAAGGAATAAAGATCTATTGAACGTCTCTCATTCACTCCATGTTTTTTTTTGGAGAATCACTGATCTTCAGCTTTGAGATCTCGGCCTAACTGGGATTCGAACTCGCAACCCCAGGGCCAGGCAGTTTAACCGACTAAGCCACCAGATGAGTGTTGACTCGTGAGCTCAGTGGGTTAGTCCCCCAGTTTACTGATCTCCAGGTAGTATTAGTAATAGTGAGCCACTTCTATACTAGTAAAGTAGTAAGTTCGAATCCCTCAATCCCGGGTCACGATGTCAGAGCTAAAGGTCAGTCCTGCAGACTCACCAAAGGCTTTCATTAGAGCATCGGAATTGAGACGAGTACATGTACAGCTGTAGTCTGTACCCAGGGTTGCGTCCCGACTGAGCTTCGGAAAGGACTGCAAAGGAAAGGAGGATTGGCACCTCAATAACTAGCTTGCGAAACAAATAAGCTTAATAATAATTCAACTAGGATGACTTAACGACCATATCCTGCAGATTAGGAGTCAAATATCAATATTTCCAGCAGTACAACAGATACTATCACGATTACAACAAATAGTCAAACGAAGACAGCATAAACAAACACCTGATAAAAATGAGTACAAATAACAAGCTAATAACGCATTAACAGAACTAGCAATGGCATATTGGCGAGATTTGATTAAACTTTAATGTACATTACATTTCGATAAAATTTGCAATTTGCCCTATTATTTATGTAATCTACTTTATTTTCAGCGAATGAATATTGAATATGAATGTGTTAGTTTAAAATGTTTTGAGGAAAAGTTAACTAAAAGATCCGCATTCTACTGGTCAATCAGAGACAGTTATCAAATCAAATAAATAAGGTTAGGAATAATAACCCGTCAAGAATTTAAATACTTGCATTATATTAGTAATTAAGTATGTATTAGTTATAAAGTAAACTGACCTGCTGTGAAGATGAAATAGATCGTCGTCTGGCAGACATTCCCGAGGATTGTGACATAACACCTGAGAAAGGAGAATGGAACTTAGATCTACAGTTCACGAAACTGATTAATAAAACAAAATGCCAAAATAATGATTTAACCCAGGTTCTTTACTACAAGCAAATGTAATATAATTATTAAAAATACGTGTCTATGACTGGCCTTTAGCAACAAATCAAATTAATGTCACAATATAACCCATTCTAAAATAAGCCTGCAATCTCTGTACGTGCAGATGTGCAGATGTGCAGATGTGCAGATGTGCAGATGTGCAGATGTGCAGATGTGCAAATGCTACACTCGATCCTACAAGTCTACTCATCGTAATCTAGAGAGCTCGAGTACTGAGACTGTACTGTTGAAATCATGAAAGTTCTGTTTTAAAACTAAAATCATCGCCGCGGCACAAGCTTTAGTGGCAAAAAATCGGCTTCACGCTGACATCAGCCTAAGACAGAACGTCCATTCGGTTCACAGAGAGTGAAGCGCACTGACAAAATTTCGTCACGATGCTAGTCAAGCAGCGGTCGATAACAAGAACTATACGGCCAGCGTAGGAGCCGAGGAGACCGTGTCTTAAGAATCACGGTGCTACAAACTGCTTTACGGATAAAGTTAGCGTTTTACCGTTACGGATAAATGCAAGTTTAAAGCTATCGGATAACATTGCACATCCGGAACAAATCTATTGATAAGGAGGGAGGAGCAACTGTTAATGTTATTAACAATTTGACTAATCTATTGATGTAAAAACAACGTACGGAATTTCACACAACACATGACACTGAGTCCATGACAAGAAGCTAGCTATTCTCCAGCAGATTGGGGACAGCATGCAAGGCATCCTCAGCTGATTAGCTTCTCCTCTCCTCAGGAGATATACCGGATTATAATGATAATAGTCGTGATAAAAACTTGAGATCCCCGTTTGTTTTGATGTTAGCATGCTGCCGAATACTGCTCTCTTTGCAGCCACCTTTCCGATATTTACTGCACGTGGGGCCCTCCTTGCTCCTGCATCACGAACAGTGGCGACCACCAGCTTTTGTTCGGGATAAGTGCATTTCAAGCTCGCTTGTTGAAAAGGCTTTGAGGAATGTTTTGAGGAAGACTAAGTGAGAATCGTAAACAGAAGCTGTTGAAGGCGGCGGTATTTCGAGAAAGATAAGAAATGTCAATCAAAGACGGGAAAATGAGGTAGCTGGTAGCTGCGATCAAAGTAGACATGTGATAAAGAACAAGGAAAAAAACTGTATGATGCTGTTACATGGTGTTATAAGTTTAAAGCATGTTTAAATCCGGTGTGAAACATGTTTAAATCCTTCACATACACCAATTAAAATATAGTATTCTAAGAAACATTTATATTTTAGTGATGAGATTGTTTTATTTAAGAATATAAAGAAGGGTATTATATTAGAATATAAAGAAGGGTTGATACCACTCAGAGGCAAATTCAGGTTTAAAACGGCCAGCTTCTCATAATAAGATAATACAAACAGCTTAGGTAAAAACAAGGGAAAATAGACTTCGAAATGAAGAAACAAGCATCAAGATAATTAAAAATTACATACGCGCTGATAGAGAGTAGAGACTCATTGAATGTTTACATCGTCATGGCAACGGATGGAAATGTCAGTAAAGATAAATCGATTTTCGTTTGTACTTGAATATAATATTTCTGAGCCTATGACATTGATCAGATAATTACATGAAATTGTATTGAAAATCCAGACGCATGATTCACGAAGCTGGCTTTACTTTCGGGAGATGTTGCAAGGAGATAACTGTTCTAGGGACTGGTGGAAATGTGGAATGGTTAACTATGTACTACCAGCTACCTTAACTACCCTACACAATGTACAGATGGTGTAAAAACTGCTTAAGTGCACTATAAATTATGTTAGGGTGACGTCACAACCGCCACATTCCCAATGACCTGCACTTAACCATCTATTGGTCATTATTATACATCTACAATACATTTGGACATCTATGATCTATTCGCCTCAGAGTTGAGCTATGGGATTGGGATGTCTATGTTGTCTTACTCGTAACTGTACTGCCTTACTAGTGACGGACCTGAAAAGGATACTAGGGACTAATATTGGTTCCGTCAACTTGATTTATAATTTAGTGAATTTGTGTGCCTCCTTACTCTGCATACTTTCATGCTTTGCTCGGATATAATGAAGCTTGAGAGCGGCGCCACAAGCTTCAAGAATAAACATCGTCCATCAAGATCGGAAAAAAATAGACCAGCTATTAAACAAACAAGTCTGATTAACGGTCGGTTAAATGAAAAATCTCATAAACGAAATTGCAGTATATCATTCTTTGCCACACACTTAGAGCTTCAGACAGACATGGTCACGTGATCACTGACGACACTCACGTCTCACATATATGAAGCAGAAGTAACCATAGACGTGAAAATAAAAGAATATTTTACTATCTGCTTGCTGTGTAAACAGTGATGATAGTAACACATATAGAAACGGAGCGAAGTATCGTACGACAGTAACACTTTTAAACGTTGAAAATATTACTTGGAACTCGGCAGCAGCAGCTTGCATGGTCAAGGATGCTTGTTGCCCACTCCAAGTTTTGGTTTTTTGACACCTCTGGGCTTCCGAAACAATTGATGCCTGGTTAGTGATAACCACATTGCAAACCTTGTTGAGACTAATGCTTGATGTTTGTGACCCAAGATTGCTCCAAAGTAGTATTAATATAATTCACGTCTGATAGAATGTCCATCCTGTTATCGTAAGAAAAGTGGGTGCTGGACCCAGGGCACGTGGTTCAATGTTTGATATGTCGGTTTTTATTCGACCCAATCAGAATAACAAATCCTTCAGATTTTGCAAGCGTGTTAACCGATTCTAAGTATAAAATTAAAAACACAGCATAACACGAGAATGTCAAGGCGGTTAAAAATGCAGTATATTTGAGCATTATAAAAACCATTATTTTTAAGCAGGCATCAATGCTCGAGTTCAGTAATAATTACCACACGTTGCATACCCCTCTTTAGGCCGCGATGACAGGGACAATGACATGAAATGTGGCAAAGTAATAAGTACGTTTTTATCAATATCATGCGACGAGGTTAACAAATCTAGAATGAAGATTAACCTCATAAGAATCGTCACATGACATTATAGAATGGCTGCACGACAAAGGGGGCCCCCCGATTATTAGGGGTCAGATCATATGACGTATAATTAGTGATGTGACGTATAATTAGTGATGTGATCCACCAGCGAAATGGTTCCAGAATCCTAAGGGATATGCAGGGAGAAGCCTCACCACAGCTTGACAGAGGTGAAAGTAGCAATTGCTCACATCCCATCCTGGCAAACTCTTCATAAAAGCATTCATAACAGCTTTCTCGAAATCTACTAAAATGGTACCAGTCTCCACCAGACAATGCTGGTCAAAATAGTGCTTAATAACATCTAAAACAAATTCATAAGTGTCCCCTTTCTTGTCACCACTTAAAATATAAACTAAAGGCACACATTTGTTGTCTACAACTGAGTGGATGGTGTAAGACTGAGGAAAGATCTTCGGTGATACATAGAAAGTGCCGTCTGCTATCCAGTCTGAGTGCTCCGACAGTGTCTTCATGTTCCTGCTCGTGGCGAATACGATGACTCTGACTCCCCGATCACCGCCAGGAAGATGTGAGGGCTGAATCCTTGTTCTTCTTCCGACAGTAGATGAATCCATCAGAGTCAAGTAGCTGTTGAGATCCTGTACGACCAGAGATAAATTTGGAGAAGGTAGGCATGTTGATAGAATGTAAGAATGCGATACTGTTGTCTTTCTACTACTATACTATGTTTACAGTATGTACTGAAGGGGTATCCTAGGAAGTTTCTTGAACTTTTAACAGGTACCCCTCCTCATTTAACCCTCAATTAAGTTTCCTATCATTCGGCTGAGTCGACCGAGGAGATCGCATAGATCCAATGTATCCTTAGCTAATCCCTAGACTAGGTGACACTGGGATTCGAACCCTGAACCTTCTGCGCAGAAGGCGGATGGTCTAACCACTAGGCCACCTAGTACATTTTCATCTTTCAGTATATATACCTAAGAACACTTGATCGGATCACTCTCCTTGCATGCCTTTGGCACGTACGTCTCACATCCCTTGATACGAGAACCCCCTTTAGCAAGAGCTCCCGTCCCTTATGTGATCTACGAGTCGAGCAGTCAGATCATGTTTACTTCTTAATGTACAGCTATGATTTACAGAATTGACATGTGAACTCTACCCTATATCTAGCTCATTTCTGGGTCAATTAAATTCTACTGATGGATCACATCACTAACTATACGTCACATCACTAATTATACGTCATATGATCTGACCCCTAATAATGGAGGGCCCCCCTTTGTCGGCCTCCCTATAGAATTAGAGTAGTGACCCGAGTTAGCATGCAACGCCAACATGGCACAAAGCGGTATTCTTGTCGTGCTATCCAATGTCTGCAGTGCAAATATTGGTTTTTATCGGTGATATCAACTCACAACACAACAAAACGAACATAATACTAAACTATGCATGCCTTATGCTAGTTGCAACTGGATGATATCCTATAACTGGGACAGAACAAAGGCTACTGTATTATTGGACATTCCAACGATAAAGTATGGTCATCCTACTTAAGTAACTGCAGTTACGAGGGGTAATGAGATTGCTATCAAACATCAATACGCCATCCCTCTAAACCATAAACCACATGGTACTGGAAATAAAAAACGAACTGCCACATGCCACGGAATTTACAGAATTTCCATAGGCAGAGAAGGACGAGAATGAAATTTCAAGTGCGCATGCGGAAATATGAACTCTTTTAACACTGACACAGATCTGTATTTGATGTGGTTGACTTGGGACAGTTTAAATACTCGTAATAAAATCCGCGGCAACACTTTGAATTCGGCGGTTCATCAAAACATCCAGACAGAGATGAATCGAGTAGACGATGTTTCACAGTAAGCATTTACAGGCTACTGCAGTAGAAGGATTTTAAAGCTGCTAAACAAGGACTAGAACTTTAATCGAGACAGTAAGTAGAGAGTGAACCCGTGAAATTATCATAATGATTAGGGTCGTACTAAAAAACTTTACTGATTCAATTATATCACCACTGAATTACAGACAATAGTTGGGAAAATTCCAGAGCTTACCAGTCAATGGAAAAGAAGTTGGTTCTTAATAACATTAATTAAAGGGCATTCATCAGAAAAATATTAACCAAAAAATGCTGGAATTAACTAAAATACAGTATTCCTATGAACAATGACGGAGATTATTTTCTGAATTAGATATGAGATAACGAGAATTAGCGGAGGAAACAACACAAATACCTCAAGTGATATCTGATCTCCATCCGGACTGATCTTGCACAGGAGCAGAAGTAAAACAAAGGGTTCTGTGGAAAGCGGGGGCAGCGTATCTCTTACCTAAATTAGACTGATTAAATGATCAATAAATTATACTGTAACGACAGTTATCTTGCCTTATCTCGGATTAGTACATCTTGAGAAAGATCAGAGGACATGTCAAATGTCACCCCTTTAAGTATACACCTGGTCTGGCGAGAAACCGATAATTTTAGGATTGGGTTACCTAGTGACCATCTGGAACTTGTGGTAAAACTTCTCTCCTTCGTAGGGAATAGCTTTACTTTGGAGTTAGACCGTGTTGTTCGCGTCCTAACACGACAACTTATTTTCCTCGAGCATGTCTATAACTATCTAAAGCTTTTTATTACTTTAATTCAATTTGAAAGTAGCATTATTTAAATAGACTGCTTCTTGACATCTTCAGATCAGTCCCCGTAACTTAAAGATACCAAATATTTGATACATTACACAATGTTTTCTGTTTCTATGAATATTAGCATTGTACCGTTTTAATTTTGTGACTTTGTAGTTATGAGAAGCTTTAGATTAGTAGCAGTTAAACTATGTATTGCATAACAATAATTGCAGTCTTATCATTGAATATTCACATCGCAGATTGCAAAAATCTTGACAATTTCCAGATGAAATGGAAAATTAATATAATACATATTATTTGATATTACAAGACTACCGAGGAAATATCTACCCCCTGATTAGTAATTCCTCAGTAAAAGCATCATTCACAACATTAATAACGATTCTAAATATTAAACCATACTTGTCATTGAACAGTATTGTATACCGTGTCTGATTCTATAACTTTACATCCGAGTTGTAACAAAAAGCTGTAACAACAAAAACTTCGGAAAGTTTTTCAAAAAACACCCAAATATTATAATTTTAACCACAGATAAAACGACTGCTTTACTTTTCATGATACTTATGCTAAATTTACAGACAAATCATATTACCACAACAAGTCAATTATTCGGTTTTCAGGGTTTTTAGCTATGCATGTAATATGAACATCTTACAGCCAGTTTAAATCTATACACTTGGTTACAGTGTTTCTGTGAATTCCATTACAATGAACCAACAAAGTATCGTCACAACAATGTCCCAAAAATACCAAAAATAACGATAACATCCTAAACTAAACCTCATCTATTTCAGTCCCAAGTAATCGTTGATACCCTGAGCTATGATAATTATGGCAGGATGCCAAACTATAAGGTAACGTATCCAGTCCAACAACCGACCGTAAAGCATGTGTGGTTTTTCCCATGGAGCACTAAACAGACGTTGTAGATCAACCTGAAAAGTTTGAAGTGTTGAAGATTAAATCTTGGTATGATAAGTTCATTCAGAAATGGAAATTAGGAATGTGTTTTATTTGAGAAATTTCTATACATAGTAATTCTATAAATAGAATTGGATCATTAGTTACCTTTTCTTTGCAGTACGGGCAGATTTGCTTTTTACCAACAATGCACCAACCCCTAATACAATAATCATGAAATCTGTGGTTTAGTTAAGGAATTTTCTCAGAAACAGGATGATAAATATGCAATTATGCGTCCATTCAGAAATACCGTCATTAGCCATATAAAGTGACCTTTCGGCTAAATTGCCAAAAGCGAAGGTGCAGCTCAGCAAAAGCTACGTACCTGCCAAATTCTACAAAAATGTGATGAAAAACGTGGGTGGTTATCAAAGATACGATTGGTGTTCGCGCGCAACTTAGCAACTATCAACATTGTGACATTGCCAGATTTGTCTCAAATCTTAAACGTGGCGTTATGATATTGATGTAGTAGCGATAGATCATAATGGTAATATCATGTTCGTTTCCTTTTTGTTTCCATTGTTACTTGCAAAATTTGTGCGAGAACCTAAAACAAAAGAGCCCTGTGATAAACAGGTGCAGCTTTAGTGGGGTAATTGTTAAAAATTATAATATAAAGGTAGCCTACAAAGGGGACCAGGTGCAATTTGTACTGTTATTATTTTTATACTGCAGGGATTGAACTGAAGAATGCTAACAGAAACCGTGCTATTGGCACGCTGAATATATCTTGAGCTATTTTTTTAGAAGCTAGACCGGATTTTGGAGAACAGAACAGGGACCTATCGTATTTAACTTTTCAATTAATTCTTTACTCTTATAGAGCCTATTAAGAGCAAATAAAAGGATACACATGCCCACAAGACAGCTTGTACGCAGGCTCTGGGTCAGCACTGTTAGTTGGACTGTTGGTGCTCTGTCCACAAACTGCACAGATGCTCTCCTCGAGAGCACGACTGGACATGGCGTCCTTGTCGTAGTACTGAAACGGGGGTAATCTTTAACAATAACAATAACAATAACAATAACAATAACAATAACAATAACAATAGCAATAACAATAACAATAACAATAACAATAACAATAACAATAACAATAACAATAACAATAACAATAACAATAACAATAACAATAACAATAACAATAACAATAACAATAACAATAACAATAACAATAACAATAACAATAACAATTCGTAGGTGTTGTTAGATCGGAATGATTGGTTTTACAAACTAAAAAAAACGAATAATTAAAATTACCCCAATAGTGGATGCCATTTCCTCCGCACACAATTCACTCAGATCCCGTCCCAAAACTCCAAAATACCCTCCGTAGAAAAAGATGACAATACAAAAATCTACAACAGGTTCAGGATCGTCTACAAACAGTAGATGTAAACCTGTGCAAGATAAAATAAATTAGATCATACTATAACATAATGTCCTTGTCCGTAAACATGGTTCAAATCAATTATATCTTTGAAAAAAATTTACCTAGAATCTTTTTGGAACATTGAGTAACGATCACGTACCGAATAGAATACACATCATGATGGTATAGGACAGGATACCAAACCCGTAGGATGCATTGTACATAAACTGAAACCATCTGTAGACCAACCTGGTAAAGTATAGAAATTGTAAGCTGGAAATTGTAACCTAGAATATATCTATTAATAAATTAAAATGTAACGTGATTTCCCCAGAAACGGCTAGGAAACAAGGAAAATGGACATAAAACGTGACTTTTCGCTTTGACCAATTAGAGCTTGTAAAAAATATAAATGGAATTGAAAAGTCACGATTTTTAGTAATGTCAAGTAGATGATACGTCATAATTATCTCACATTTAAATGTTACGCACTATTCGTGGTTTATATCGTGCAGTCACGTGGTTTTTATCGTGCGACTCTAAAATGCTGCAGAATTAAACAATTCTGGAAATTTCACCATATTTTAGCCATTTATGTTCACTTTGTGAACCCCTTCAAGGACATCGTCGAAGGGGAAGACCACACCTCACATATATTGACATCCTTCGGAAGGACACGGGGCTTGACGACAGCAAGGAGATAAACAAACTCATGCTGGATAGACAGATTTGAAAAAAAAAACTATCTCTGTTCGGACGTTGAAGCCGCCCTAAGTCGAAGTTGTATATTAATTTCTTTGCGTCTTTAATCGGCTGGAAAAATAAAACAAGTGACTAACAAAGTAACAAAACTAAACACAAAAGATTGTTAAATATCCATTTGTAACAGCTGATTATATTCCAAAACTGAACACGTTGCAAATTTAATTCCCTCTTTATTTTATTATTTTTTTAAATTATAAAGTGCCGCCAGCCAAACCCACGGTGACCCCTTCATCGGGAAAAGTGGAGTTCAGATTTCGTTATTCACCAAGTTCATTTATTGTTTTGGCGGTGATAAAGGGTCAACAACACTGACTTTATCTCTTTATAGAGATTAGAGGTGGCCGCCAGTCTCCCAACAACAACCCAGCAGGGTAAAACAGCTCATTATAGTTAGGGCAAGAATTGCTGTTTATGGGTAAATCTGTGAACAAATTCGTAACAAAGGTTTGTCTACAGTCATTTTTCTCCAGGAACCCATACGCCCCACCCCTAATATTGGTTATTAGTTAATAAAATTTCAGCAACATGAGGTCTGAGGAACACACATACTGATATCATGATATTAATGGATCAGGGAAAGATACTGTACCTCATCACGCCAAGCAGTTATGCTTGTAGGTGAATATACACTTATAGAGTACAACAACTTTATAACACTCCAATGAATGGTCAGGTTTTTAATAAATATATTTTTTATATTGATACGAGTAAATACGAGATATAGGGATAATATAGTAAATCTCACTGTTGTTAGCGGCAGTGCAGTATAAGCCGCATTGGTGGTCTATACAGCTGAAACTACTGGGAGAGGCTAGCTCATTTGAAGTTAATGTCCCTGCAACGGAGAAGGGAGAGATACATCATCTTGATGATGTGGAAAACGTACCATAACGTTGTTCCAAATAGCTGTAGCATCGAGTTTGTGGAAACATCCAGATATGGCACTAAAGCAGTTGTTCCTTCTCTATCAAAGTCGAGTTCGATGAGAAACCAGACACTGTACGATAGCTCGTTCGCAGTAAAAGGATCCAAACTGTGGAATAAGGTGCCGAGTGAAGTGAAAGCCGAGAAAAAGTTTGCCAGCTTCAAATTAAAGTCAGTTTATCGAAGTTTCTTGCTTTGATACCGGATAACCCTCCGGTTTCCGGTTATACGTGCAGCTGGTCGAATTCCTTGGTAGACTACACGCCATTACGGTGGTCAGACATCTGATGACCCTTCTTGCTACGAGGATAAACCTTACCAAGTTACCAAGTTAGTTAGTATATATATAGCTATTAGCTATGTATAATGCAACTTTATACTGCTATATTATAGCTATTAGCTATATTATAGCTATTAGCTATGTATGTGACTATTGCAATGGCTAGACCCCCTACTTTCCTAAAGTACAGCAATACCCTGCTCACTGCTCAGTTTAATTATATGATCAAATAAGGTTACTGACGTATCATACTGATAGCTTTTACACTTTTAGCTACAATATAGCTACAATATAGGCACAATCCGCTACAGTGGAGAATGATCGCCCTCGCAAATTTTCAATTTTACATCCGGACGATACAGCAATAAAGCATTACAAGAATTTTGCTTGGTTTAAATCTCATAATAATATGTATTACAGACTCTCGAATAAAAACAACGATTTCAACTCTAATCTGTATCTGTGTGTTTCACTTTGTGTCAAACTTATACTGTATTATATAATAGCATAATGCAAATCATTTACTTCCTAAAGGCTTGAATCTTCTGTTCTTATGAAATTTGACATACCTGGGGGTTTTGCCACCGAGAGGTTTACATCGTGCGAGTCTGATGACATGACCCGTGATGAGACTGAAGAGAAACCAGCAGCCAACAAACCGCCAGTAATAGTGATAACATGATACCAGGAAGGGTATAATCCACAGTCCTGTCAGGGACACCATCTAGGGAAGAGCAGTTTGTGAGGAAGAATCTCTACTATAATTCAAAGAATTATTTCTGATGTTGTACGACCGCCCACGTGCAAATCAGACGAGAAATAGGAAGTTGCGTAGTAACCATAGTAACGAGGATTGTTAAACGCACGTGCACGTGCACGTGCAATGATTGTTAAAACGTCATTTTAATCGGTTTTGTTGATATTACGCTGTGTTTAGTACGAGCAACATTTTAATGGGCTGTATCTTCGGTTGTGTAGGATATTTTTTGACGCGATTTAAACTTACTAACAAAAAATACTATAAGCTTCCTCCCTGTGACGACGGGTTTCTAGTAATATATAATATAGCTAATAACTATATATATTATTTAGCTTATCTGATAAAATAAAACTTTGCAGTGAACTATTGCTCCACTTCTTAACAAGCGATTTATTGAGTAAATGAAAGAAAATTTAGATTTAAGTTAAACATTTTGGTCTAAACAACAAACGTCAAGAATCAATAAAAACCACACTCACATTATACGATCGAGGGTGTTTCTGTTTCCAGAGAATGAGAACTATCTGAGAGACAAAGAGCGCGGCAAGTAACACTAACAACATTTCAGCATGCATCAGATCATGCCCTTTGTGTTCCTCTCTCCACTCCTCCTGCTCATGCCTGAAATTGAAGGGCTTATATTATAAGTAGGTGAAATTTAGGTTGATAAATGATCGAGGTATCAGAAAGATTTTCAAAGTGTCATAAGGCTGCCACAACCCACTTGAATGAAATTGAGATTCGAACATAAAAACTGATGCAAAACTAAACTACTTACAGCCATACTTTCTCTTTCTCACTCAACTGAGAGAATGGGATTTGGTTACCAAATATAAGTTAAATTTATTAAACCATAATCGGAATCAATTTTATTCATGATCTAATAAAATACTATCTACTGATTAACTGCATAGTTTTTAGGATCAAAAATTTTACTACTTTGCATGCATTATTTTGGTGGTTTTTATTCGGTAAGATACCTAAAATGAGACTTGAACTAATTAGCAGTCTTACCTCATGATTGTGACCACCCACATGTAACAACTTTCTCTCCATTGTACTCTTTTTTGAGCTTCACACCATCAATACTACACCCAAAATGTAAATGTTTAATATCAAGGTAAAGCAATGTCATCTCACTTAAAATGCCAAGTATAAAATACGGGTATATGGCCCCCAGAATATAGGTGGCCCCCAAAATATAGGTCATGTTAGTGGATACAGTTCTAACCAAGATAAGCGATACTTTTGGAGTAAAACATGTAACTTATGTTTCTGGATAAAAATTTTGGACCTACATGAGGTATTTTGGTATATTTGGTCATGACAGCGAAAGATTTAAACGATGTTGTCATTTTCTAGAGGGGTAAATATCGCGAAAAATTGTCATGACAAAAATCTGTCCAACACATGCCATTAAGACTACTGGTATGAGTATAAGTATTATTTTAAGCTATCTTTTCATCGAGACATCTGCAAACTGACAATTTGGAAAAAAGTTATGGCCACCACAATTTTACGGGCCCCCAGAATATAGGTCTATACGACCCCCAGAATATAGGTTGGTCAAAAACCCTGAACATGCCCAAAACCATGCTTTGGGATGCTCTACTTGTAGCTACTAGTCTCCTGAACCCACATATCAAGTTTTATCAAAATTGGATAAAAATTGGCCGAGTTATGGGATAAAAACAAAAACCATATGCCCATATTTGGGCATACGCACCAAATTTGATCGATTTTGGTCCATAAATTGGTCTAATATCAATATTTTTGAATGAAACCAACTTTATATGGAAGGTAAGCATATATTACACATTCTCTATGATTATCAGCTCAATATCTACCTAACTGTGGATTCTGTGTTCAAATAATCGCAAAAAATGAACAAAATCGCCCATATCTCAAACTGACTTCGCTCAAAACAATAGAACTCAATAGGGTTTCAATATTTTCACATGAAATTTTCAGAATCAACGTAGAATTGTCTCATGACCTTAAGTTTTGGGACAGAATTTTGAGTTAGGCCTTTAAAAAAATTTGGCGGCCAAAAATGTCTGATTTACAGTCATTGAGGTGCACATTGTATTGATACAGATAAAAACAGCCCCCCTCAATCATATCTAGGGACACTCCTTCAATCTTATTTAAGTATTTAGTTAAGATCCCTACTAAATGAGTGCATGAAAGCTTTTTAACAAGTAAAATTAAAGATTTTACTCATTACGGGTATATGGCCCCCAGAATATAGGTTTTTTTAAAAAAATAGCGACCAAGATTCTGCATTTTCTCTGTCACCCTGAGCATTAAGGAATGTGGGGTAGTGATGAGAAACAGTTAAAGAACATATGCTGAAGAGATGGCATCATCAAAATGTATGAAGGTGGAGTATTTGAGGACGATTTTTGCATACCTATATTCTGGGGGCCGTAGTTTTTGATTTTTTGCTATTAAGTATACTCTAAACCTTTTCAATTTAGTATCTGGAGCCATTGGCATCATCAATACAGTCTCAGCAACATATTCTGACTGCATATAACTGTCTGTGACAATTTTAGAACAACTTAGGAACAGATGTTTGGACCTATATTCTGGGGGCCCTGTTAAAAAATGGTATTTTTACAGGTGAAAAAAAAGTACACTTAAAAACCTAATAATTATTTTCAACTACCCAAGAAACATTTAAAGGGTTATTATGTACATATTTACAGCCCTAAACATGCTTAGAAGTAGTTTTAACACCTGTTTCTAAGTGCTCAAAAAACGACCTATATTCTGGGGGCCATATACCCGTACCATATAAAAAATACAGCTCAGAGATTGCTGAATATGTAAATTGTACGGTAGTGTAAACTAATTTGCAGCATTCATACTACATATTATCATGGTATCATCGCAAAATGTAAATTTCTAAGAGTTGACCTAACTATCTAACAAAGCTATGACAACAATTACTAATACATTATCAAACAGACTGTGTATGTAATATGGTGGGGTTATCAAATACTTGGTATCCCTTATAAGTTGAGCAACACATAGCTTTTAGCTTCCTATCTTAGGGTCATATAGAATGACCCTGATTGGCAGAGCACAATACACTGGTAACGGAAATGGTCCATTGCTTCACAAATTAGTTGTATTATCTATATTTTCATCAATTTCCCAAAACAAATGTAAAGTTCTGCCAGGGATATCCATGCACATGTAAAGTAAAACAAATTTAGTAAAACAAATTTAAATTTTGGTATTTATTAATAACAATCAAAACATATCATATCATAAAAATAAAGCCGCGCGTTGGTTGACTGCCTCAGTATGGTGAATAATTTAAGCTTGAAGGTGCCCTGCGCATTTACAGAACATTATGCGGCGATCACATGATCACGAGGACCTGTGAGCGCCAAATTTAATTTAAACTTTCTAGAAATCGTACATCACTACGAGTTACTCATGCTTTTGAATTATAGGAGTGCGGATTGTCAGGTATTTCATTCATTCATACTTAATCGGTTTAAAGCTGTATATTTAGAGCTCACTATTGTTTGAACTATGAAAGCAGAACGTAAATAATGGACAATATACCGACGACAATACCAAGGACCCGAGTGCCGCATTGACTTTTCCGGATCCGTTTTTACCGAAGGCTTATCCACCAGTTACTCATGCTGCATGTATAGTCTGATAATATTTTGTTTTATCTCTAGCAAGCATTCTGTAAGTTGGAGTGTCGTATTTATTATAGAAGAGCCAGCCAACCTCCGCATTTCAATCTTTTGTATGCCAGGTTCGTTTATAAAATCTAATCATATAATAAGATTGATCCAATAGTCTAAGATGAACGGTATATCTTAGCTCATCGTTATTAAAATCCTAATGGTTGAATTAATCAAGTAATGTTCCCTTCCAACACAACTAAACAACAAACAAATGCTTGCTCACCAGTGGTGACGCAATCGGTAATGTAAAGTAGGTATAGTATTATTATATTATTATTATTATTATAAAGGATGAACCCAACATGAGCTTCCTCAACATTAAGTGTCTCCTCTACTCGGTTGATTCAGCTGAATTATCAAAAAAGATGATTGAGGGTTAAATAAGGAGGGCCAGGAACCCTATCAAAAGATCAAAAATAATATTTTAGTAAACTGTAAACATTACATAGTACTATACTATATACTATACTATATCTTGTCGAAGGTACGATTGACAATATCTGTTTGTAGCCTCATTTCACTTAATCAGGATCAGTAATCTATTTGGTTTACATTTTTACATGGCGTTAAGCTTGGATTATATACCGTATATTGAACCAATACTATAACTACTGCATCAAGCTGTCCGTAAATATTTTGATTACAATCTCAATCCTAAATTCCATCAAACAAACACTTAGAAAAAAACGTTCTGAAAAGATCGAAAACCAGCGCTCGATTCTTACATGATTTATCAAAACTGCACGGCGCCCAAAATAAATCATTAGTAGCCAATTTTTAAAACATTTTCGAATCGTTTAAGCATTAAAGCGCGAAGTAGCTGTACTTTGTATCACGTCGTAACCCTCATTGTCGTATCACTAAGTCATTTAAATAGTATCGTGTCAACGATACAGCCGCGCGGCAGGTCTACAACGTATGACATTATGACAAGCTTTGATTTACCTGGGGACCCCAGGCTATTATGTTCATAAACAATAAAGATTTGGCGGAATGACAGGCTGAGCGCGGCCCAGTAAGCTTTGATTCACGATGTCAATCCTTCGCATCTCGCCGATCTGAATACGTGGTTGCGAGAAGCATTATTTGATGCGCGCGCGACCCAGTAGTGCATCGCGCTACAATGACAAGCTGTACCTTGATTGAATTGTGTAACAAATAGCAAGGCAATTGGGTTGCGGAAAATAATTAAAACATATGCATATGAACAATATATGCAAATAAATTCACCAATGGTAATTGTTTAACAATAGGTTGCATTGGACACCTAAAAATAAATTTCTGTCAATAAATAAATAAATTAAAATTAATTTTAATTAAAATTGAGTAAAATTATTTTTTAAACCCGTACCCCTTAAAAAAAGTTTCACCTTGTTTAGACTTTTCATACGTTGTATGACCCGCCACGCACGAGTGCGCGGCTCCCCCTGTATCGTAGAAACTTTGTAGCGCGATGCACTACTGGGTCGCGCGCGCATCAAATAATGTTTCTCGCAACCACGTATGCAGATCGGCGAGATGCAAAGGATTGACATCGTGAATCAACTAAAAACTCTACAGGGGTTATAGTGAAGCGACAGTGGGGTCACCACGTGATACAATTACAAGTTTAAACCACACACGATCAATTTTTTAAATGTGTTTGTTCCAGTATAAATATGACTATTTTAAATAAAAAAAGTGTCATGGCACATTAAACAACCGTGTTTTTATTTTTCGCTTGAGCAGCTCAGATTGATTTGAAAATAAATGCAAAATATTTATTTGGAGAACTTTGCCGCTTCGACGCGCCGCGCGAACTATCATTCTTGCAGCTTAATAAAACAAATATTTAATAAAACAAATATTTATTTTTACGGCACAATCAAACAATATCAATAATAAATAAATCAGGGGAGGTTTGAAGAGGTTTCAAGTGCCGAAGGCCACTGCTTATCTTTAGGATTTGAGAGTGACCTGTGCTTGAAACCCCCTCAACCATCCACTACGTCAATATAAAACTTATTATACAAATATAGAAAAATATAATTATCTAAGCTAAAATTGCTTATTGGTCTAGTTTGGTGACATAGGAGAGCCCAGTTGAGTTTTAGTTTAGGTTTATGTTTTAAATCATAGTTTGAAAGGTTAGCCATGTTTCATGGCAGAGAGAGATATCATGTGTGCAGAGCCGTACCAGATGTAGAATTTGAGATATAATATAGATTAGTTACCATATATTAGGGTCACCTCGATTTTGGAGGGATAGCAAGTGCTTTTTAAGGTTAGATTTAATAATACCTGACGAGGCTGATAAGTCTGAATTTTTTATTTGGAAGACCCCGGGATTATTATCCCATCTACATTAGCATCACATATTTCGAATACATAGGGGATGAGATCATTCCATATTTTCGTAGAGGTGTACAAAAAGTTCTGTTGGGAGATATCTAACCTCAGTAATGGGACAATCAGACGAAGTTTTTCATTTCTAGGACAGAACTTGAAAAGATCTTTAATCGACTGGGGGACATCAAATTTAAGAATTTTGAATAGCTCCATAAATGTATGGTACATGTGCAGATTCTCCAGGTTCATAATTTTCTGCTCAGTGAATATGCTTTGCATGCTGCTTTGCATTGATCATCATATATAATATCGTTGTTTCAAAGCAAAGCAACGATGTTGTCCATTGTTAATGGACTAACCCGGCGCGCGCTACTTCGTAGCAATTTCCTCAGGCCATTTCGAATTACTGGGGGTGATTTTGACGAATATTACTTGTCTAAATTTCTTCGAAGTAGCGCGCGCCGCTTTCTTCCCGAAATGTTATGGCCCGACGAAGTAGCGCGCCGGGCTAATCCGTTAAAACAATTAAATGGACAAGGGGTTCACCTAACCATGTGCTTTCGCGCCACTGCGGGCGCGCTTGTTTCACAAGTCAAGAAAAGCACCTATCCACGAACCCCGATGGGAAGGTTCGTGCGCGCGTGCGCAGTGCTGACAACAGCGTCTATGTAGCGCAGGTAGTCTTGGAACTTCTCCCTCTAGTATGCAGTAACCCCTATTCAGGTTTTTATAGTGCATAGTGACAGTGTATAGGGGTTAATTAGGTATAAACTACAGTACAGCTGTACTTACACCTACATTCACAAGCATGCAAGCTCACGTGGTCCAATGAGCGGGAAACGGAGGACAAGGTATGGTGACGTCATAGTCACGTGACCTCATAAGCTCATAATCACGTGACCTCAGACCCAATCAATGATCAATTAGGTTCGGGCATGGTCAGCCCCCTGTCACCCGATCTTGAGGTGACGTACGACACCTCGTTTACGCAATCAATGTCTGAAATGCTACACACGTCGGATATGAGGACAAAAGCGCGGGTAATTTTGGCACCACTGTACAGTGGTGCCAAAATCGTTGGGTGGGTTCATGGCTAGAGCCCTTTTTACCGCCGTGAGGCGGGCGCGCGCTACTGCAAGCGCAAGGGCTCTGGATAGAGCAAGACAAGGGGTGATTTGGAATCAGTGTCCGAAAATGCATAGATTTACGTTGTCATACGTTCTATGACCCGCCGCGCACGAGTGCGCGGCTCCCCCTGTATCGTAGAAACTCTACAGGGTGATATAGTGAAGCGACAGTGGGGGTCACCACGTGATACAAAATTTACGTTGGTTTCGACTGTCAGGGCCAGGGGCCCTTTTTATTTAGAAAAATCTCGAAGATTGACTGTAAAGTGATTTAGCACGCTTGCTACGAGCTGGAACAAATTTGAAATTGGCATCTATGAACATTATAGCCTGAGGTCCCCAGGTAACAGTAAATAAGAATAATGTACCATGTAATTAGTATGTGCTGACATGCTGTGCTTTAAATTAAAGATAGCCATCCTTATCACTTGCATATAGTAATAATGAATGTTTATACTTATTAATATCCGGTCAAATTTCTTTGGATCACTTTTTAAAACTTCTTTTAATCGATATTGTTACGGCCGACATTGGAAGCAAGGAATCCATGACAATTAAAATCACAATGTTAAAATAAATGGTAAAATATATAGTTTTGTCATAGCACACATTAAGTAATATAGTTGTTCAAGTCCAGTATGCGTCATGCAAAAATTAAGATAACATATTTAAGTGTTCTGAAATGTTGCGGCCATGAATTTCTGTAATATCAGTTAATTGAAATTCGTCTGCCAACAAAAGTTGTACTGTCTGTGAATGTCTCTTCTCGCAGCAGTAATATATTTCTGGTGGACGAAAGCCATTGAATGAGGTGTTCAACTCGTTCATATAGTCTCCAATCTCTGAGTAGACCACCCAGTCTCCCTCAGTAAGTTTCGGAACTTTTCTTAGTCCCAAATCATCTGCTCCATCGCATGAAACTCCCCATATGTGTGCATTCTGTAAACTCACCTGTGATTTTATTATTTATTTAAAGTTTCTTTGTGTATTGAACATGATCAAAGAGTGAAGGAACTTGGTACCTTAAATTCAAACCTTTTGATGTGAACAATAACTTTTTAAGAACAGAGGTTCAATTTCAGATTGATATTGGGGATCAATTTGATGCCAGCTTAAGCCATTGTATACACCAGCTGACAGATGATACTCAGGATAACGACTGCCCTCCATTTTTGCCCCTAAAACACATGCAGCTGTACTTTGGCTTTTTCCCACCATAAAACTGAAATTATTGCACCTTTATTTATTGTTGGGAGACAATTTGGAAAATATTGAAGGATGTAGAAATAATAAAATCAAGGTTATTTAATTTCCTAATTTATTAGCATTCATTGTTGATCGAATTTAGAAAATCTTACCTGCCGGGCTCTGCAACTACAATTGGGGACTCTCCCAAAGAGTGAAAATGTTCATCAACTGATCGCTGTATCAAATAGCCAATTTCCTTAGTTGACATTTTTTCATCATCTCGACGTTTGTACCCTCCTCCTATATCTGAAATTATGGCAATTCAACTAGGAAACAATTTAAATATTACATCTCAGGAGACACCCTCAATTTAGAGGACCCAGCCAGTTCTTGATTCTTGAAGCTTTTTAGTCTTAAATTCGGGGACAGTCCTCAAACGAAAAGAAAATTAATGAATGACAGTTTCATGTAATATAGTTTGCAGCAATTAACTTGTAAGCAAAATTGTTCCATGTTTGTACTCACCTAAAATGCTTGGATTATAGCCTAGTTTATGCATGATATCCCAACAGTGCCGAGCAAACTTAATTGTGTCCGTCCATGGTTCAGCATCATCTGCCCTTAGTCCTGGATGAAATGATATCCCTGAAACAGGGTATAAACTGTTCATGTTATAGGATCATACATAATTATGATAAGTTAAATCCCAATTATTACACTTTCTTGTGTTGATACCTTTATTAAAGTAGTCCACATCATAGGAAAAAAGTTGAGTCGTTTTTGGCTTAGTTTAAAAGTGAAACTCTACATTATAATACAATCATAACTAACTAATTACCTTTGATGTCTAGTTCTAGATTCTTGCAATGCATAAGAAGCTCTTCAAAATGACTCCAACCAACACCAAACTTGTTTCTAAAGTTCACCTAGACAAGATTAGAAATCAATGTTAGAGATCTCTAGTGCTCATAAACCTCAAATTTGAATGCTACAGTATTTAAGATGGAAAATGAGTTTATTCGCCGAATTCATGTTTAATTGATTAACTGAACTAAAAGATGGACTGGGCTTACCTCTACTTTATTTGCTGCTAATTTTGTAGGTTTAATTCTTATGAGAATGGGAGGAGTCTCTATTTCTGACATATCTGGTGACAAACTTTGAGCATAGGGAAACGTCTGGTTTTTTAACTGATGATAGACCCTTTTGATCTTGTCACATTCTTGTGCACAATCTACTACTGTCAGCATTCTGTGTTTTATCACTTCTGCAATAAATCAACAAACAAAACCTTTTGAGATTGGAAAAAAAGGTACTGCAGATATGGCTTATTTAGTACTAAGCAATGAAAATGGCTGTGTTAGATCTAAAAATACACCCATATCATCCAGAACATAGCTGATAAAGAAACCAACCTGCCACACAGTGATAATTTTTAAATGGATGAGATACTATGATTTTGTTAGGATTACACCCAGTAGAGAGGACACTTTGAATCTCTGGCAGTGATGCACAGTCGTAGCCTAATCCCATCCTGTGAAACAGTCTCTGTGTCACCGGATTATTCTGTGCTTTTAGAGCATAATACGGTTCTATTGATCCAAACCATTTCTTCCAGTTATCTATTTGATCAATAATGGATGAGATGTTTGTGACAGAGAATGGTTCAGTCAGCATTTTGTCATTCTTCTCCTCAGCTATACTTCTCATAAAGCCTTTCATTGTTGTATTGTGGAGAACATGTACTTTCGAAAGATTTCTCAGCTTCCCTTGCATAACACTAATTTTCCTGTAAGGATAGTTTACTAAATTATTATAAAAATGTTGGGGTAAGGAATTGTTCTTTAAGATGTTGGTGCAAAGGTGATTTGAAACTTTTACAAAATAGCAAATTTACAAATGTACAGCAAATCGAACAAAAATATAAAATGGGCCGAAATGTACACATGCAAAGGCTAACTACACAGTAGCAGCAAACTGGACGATATACTAACTGATAAGCGAGAGCAGCTGTTTTAACACACAAATGTGATTATGAAAAATATAACACAGGGACATGCTTGGGAAGGATGTACTGTTATGCTTTTATATATTCTAGAGAATAGGAAAATGGATTATCTCATCGATATTGGTAACATTTTAAGTCATAAAAAATTGTTCTAATGTTTTATAAATGGAAACCTAAACTAATCTTTATTACAGGTTTATGGAGAACTAATTAGCAAAGAACCTAACGTTGTCCAGCCCTTTTTTCTGACGCCAATCTACTGAAGCTCTGAAGAAACATTTCGTTGTGAGAGTCTCAACTGACTGCTTTATCTCTTAACAAAGATACAAGGAATGGGCCTATCGACAATTAGTATCTTTTCTTTGCTACTTTGGAGAGTAAACTCGTTCACTTGTCACCAATGTTCATCTATGCAAGTAAAAACACTGTCTACAGATGAAGCAAAGCATTACAGGAATAAAGTTGATCGCTGTGTTGATTACGATGGAACTGCTTCTTGTATTTCCAACTTGAAGCAAGGCTTATGCCATCTGACAGAAAACGACATGAAAGCCCAGTGCAACAACACTTGTGATTTGTGTAGATTCAAAGAGTCTGGAGAAATACAGTCTTATGACATGCTTTACTGGAACACTCAGATCAATTTTCAAGAAAGGTTCCTTATATTGAATGTATCTCTTGTTTCTGTCGAGTCGTCAAATTATGTTGAGGAAATGGAACCTTATGAAGTCATTGATGGAAATTTGACAAGTTTTTTCGAGACTAATTTTGCATCAGAGCCATTCATCGTTGTCAACATGGGATCTTCGTATTCAGTGTTCAATGTATATGTCATAAACAGATGGGGCCCAAACATTGCTCGGCATAACATCATATCCCTTGATTATGCTAAGATATCTGCCTTATGGATACCACCCATTGAAACCAAAACCACAGGAAACTCTACATTTTGTGGTGAAATACGTATTCGTGGCGGATTTAGCTTGGACCAACAAACTTACAAAGTAGTTTGTTCCTCAAGACCGGTTTCTACCCATGTTAAGTTACACAGGGTGGACTATAACAAGCTAGAAATCACTGAAATAAGAGTTGGTGTGATCGATAACGATAATCAGTGTGGTAAAACTATAGTGTCAGAATGTGATCCCTATCTTGGAAGTGATCAATGCTATAAATCAGAATTATCTGGGATATGGCACGGGAGAAGGATAGTTCACACTGAACGAGGTTGCCACTATCCAACTCAAAGCAATCAAACAACTTGTCCCAATCTCATGGGTCGCTTAAACAAAAGGTGGGAGCATTTGAAAAGTGAATACACTATTGTAGGCGCGTATGACCCTAATTCATTTGCTATGACAACATGTGATCAATTCCTTTGTGATGGTAACCAATGCAATGGAGTAGGTAAGCTGTCGGGTGTCGAATCATATTTGATCATTCTTCTTCTAGCCTTCAACATTCTGTGAACTAAAGAAGAAATTGCCTGGCAGCGGTGCTATGAAATTTGCAATTGTTATTATTATCTTCTTACATCTATCTTACTGCGCTTCTGATCAGTTATGAGCTGATTAATTACATTTTCAGTTCGGACGAAATTTATAAACAAATGTACAGACTTTATTTTCGAGCCATTTTTATATCCTTTTATGGTCGCAAAGTAGTAGTAATCACATAATTTTAGCCCTGTCATGAGGTTAACAACATAGACGTTGATGCTCGCTGGCCCTGCACCCAGTTCTGTCAACCCTAGTACAGATATATTATGACGCAATGAAACTACACCTCGAAACTTAACATAAATATTATCCATTAAGAATTTAAACATATCTATCAGGTCACTACATGTAAAAGACCACTTAGTCTTATTAACTCCCGACCATCTAGCTTTAAACTGGTCGTTGATATTGATAAAGTCAAGTTTCTTTTCCTCAAAACATAATTTAATTAAAGATGATAACTTCTCAATAAGTTTGTCATGGGGAAGGTTGGTGTACAGTTTCTTAAAATCAAACGAATACACTGACTTAGCTGAGCAGGCATTATTAAGATAATTAAGGTTGGATGTCACTCTGTCTTTATTGTCGACAATCCAATAACCAGAAGCGTTTAAGAACTTAAAATATTTAGGGTTGAATGAGCAACTACTCAGGCAATACGTGCACTGTGCACTGAAGTTTTGGTTGGAGAGAATGTGAAATTTACACTACCTTAGCTGTTTCTGGCATCACAGTGCTTTTTACCATCAGGTAACTACTGTTGAACAATAGAACTAAGACTGAAAATATAAAAAAATATTAAAACTCGTCACAATAACGACAACTATCTCATATTAAATATCGCCTTAAATCTTAGAATTAGCGACTCCTAAGAAGAAAGCAAATTACTCGTAACCTTAATCATCCAACTTCAAAACACGACAACAAACTTAACCGTGTACCCTTGATAACATAACCCATCCTTTAGTATATCGTACAAGTATGGCATCCAATACATTTCATCCAAACTCACGCCACAAATTATATTCCTTAGATCGGCTGTGAAAACTTATTGTCTACTCTGGATCTGAGGTACAATAAACCAACGTGACTCTCATGCCCCTATACTCCTTCTCATGCCTTCACTTCACCTCACTTCACCTGACACATCACACCTTCAGAGGGTTTGCTGACATCAAGCAACCTGATGCACTTATTTCATAATCGTCCCGTTAACCCTTCTGCCTTGGACGCTAAGTCCAGCTGCACTCTATAACGTAGCCTTCTTGCTTAGTTTTTGCACTTATCTCGCCCTTGAATTAAATCACCCTCCAACTTCCAAGTAGGGTTTCCATTATCGGTATTCTAAATATTTTTATCGGTGATTTTAGATTTTGGGCAATAATGACTTAGTAACATTCGAGAAAATCACATTAACCAAAATATAAATATTATGTAGACTGTAACCAGTACAGACTAGACTGTAACCAGTACAGACTGGAATAAATTTGAAACGTGACTTGGCTAGGGCTGGGATTAGAGAAAGTAAGTAACTTACTGTACTTACTGTAAGTTGGTAAGGAACTGTTCGACCAACGTTGTATTTTTAGAATCATAACATTATCCATACTATGTTATCTGTTCAACAACTCTTTTTAATTAATTGCGTATCTAGTCGGATTGAAATTGTGTTATTCTTGAATTTATTCGTCACAATTTCACTAATTACAGCAAATTTCAGTTTTATTCAGAATATTTTATCTTTCAAATGTTGGAGTTGTTTGCTATTTATTAGTCTCACGATGAGTTGAAAGAGACAAGGACAGATGAAACAGGAAGTTAGGAATGTAAGCAAATTTTCGGCGAAAATTTTCCTACCTTCCTGTTTCATTAATTCATTTGTCCTTGTCTCTTTCAACCGGATATTATCCAACTATCAATATTTTATCTAAGATACTTTTATTTTATGCTATGATATGATACTATAAACAGAAGATCTATGATTTATGTATAATTTATGTATAGTTCATGTGTATAATTTATGATTCATTTACTTGATTAATATGATAAGCTTAGAGGTTGATGCTTTACTTGGAATCGTTTACGAACTCAGCCTGCTTCACTGATGAATTAGTACCTATCGTGCTAATTGGTTTTCTTCATGTTGCGATTTAATGTTTACATAATGACTAAACGAGGTGCTACTAATAATTAAACCACTAACCAGTAACCAGTAATGAAAATGAAAACAAAGGTAAGACAAGCATATTAATAGGATAATAAGTGCAACTAAGGATTTGCTAACGCAGCTTTTCCAAATTTGCAGCCGATAGCATTAATATGGCTTTATTTATTCCTTTAGTATTAGTAATGTAGAGTCTATCCTGGCCGCAGCAACAATTGTAGAGTCTGTATTACTCGTATCTCACACGAATAGCACTACTGACTCAAATACAGATTAAAGGACCAGTTAACTGAAAAAAAAGTTATCCTCATATTTTGACAGATTGTGACAAATAGCAAACTAAGCAACGAGTCGAAATTCCTAAATCTCTAACTGCTCTCTAACGCGTGTAAATAGCGTTTGTATTATTTTGGCGATGACGTCATAAAGTCCCTTGCGCGCAGATGAGCTCGTGAGACTGTATTTTACAGGTAGAAAATGGACATAATACAATCTTTTCCCCCGAACAACTCGAAAAGTAAGCAATTTAGGGTACATGTTGCTTCATAAGTTGTATATAAACATGGCCATTCTGCACAATTTGCACACATTCAAAAACCTTTAGGGCCTTCATAGCCCAATTTACCAGATACCCATAGTTTTGCATGATTTCTGGAACCGAAAATCAGTTTTTCGCCAATAACTGAAAAAGTAAGCCCTTTAAGGCATATGTTTGTTCGTAAGTCATATATTAATATGCTAATTGCGGTTCTTTTGCACCCTGTCTAAAGACTCTATCACGATCCTATCGAAAATGGGCTCAGCACCACGCCCAAAATGGTTTTTGGCGAATTTCTCGAAAAGTAAGGATTTTAGGCCATGTGTTGCTCAATAACTCCTATATAAACATGCATATGCGGCTTCGTTTAAGCCTATTTTGAAGTCTCTACGACTTTCAGAAGCACGGGGTCGGTTACGTTATTGGGTCAATATGGGCGTGGCCCTCCTGGGTTTTCTCCACGGTCAAAAAAATGTCTCCAAACGAAAATCGTTTATTCATAACTTCGGGAAGGTCTGTGCAAAGTTTCGTGAGTATTAGAACATTTGCAGGTTCATTTCCATAAATGTCCATAAATGACTGGACTACACAACTTTAGAGTTAACTTTAGAGAAACTCATAAGTCATTTATCTCAAATTAAGCTGTTAGTGTCCATGATCAACCTGTGGCGACAATGTTTTACGTGAAATGTAAAAATCAGAAGTAATATAAAAAGTGTATTTTTAGATTAAAGTGCTAGCTCATAGTTTTAGAATTGTATAGATTAACGTTGGTCGTTTAGCCATCTAACAATCGATCGTGCCGTAATATATGGCCAGAGAATAATAGGGTCTTGGAAATTCTATAGTTGTTCAGTGGGTCGATTGACTGAACACGTTTGCACTTGGTATTTAAACTTACCTATACCAGTAGTTTATTTATGTTATGTACCGATGATAATGCAATTAGGATAACAACTAGGTAAGCCGTAAGTCTAATTCAAAACACACCTCACACCGTACACTCCGATCAGTATTACTATTTGGTAGACCGGGTATTTTGGCGGGAATTCTGTTCCCACGGCACTGTTCTGATAGAAGCTACTTCTACTAATGGTCCCAGAGGAACGGCCGTAAAGTAGCCAGACTTCTTGTCTCCTGTACTGGCTGACACATGCGGGTTAAAGTTAGAAATTTCGCTATGCTATAAATTATAATTGCTCTCGGAATTGAACAAACTCCTACTTATCTGGATCCTTTCTAAATTCGTTAGAGTTTCATGGACTGGAGAAAAATAATCGGTACAGTCTCCCTGCTTGTGTAATTAAGCAATGAAAACAATCCAAAATTATCACATATGACATAAGTTGTAATAGCAGAAACTTTCTAACCGCACATTCACCCGCCACTGTTCAAGAACCTATATCACTGTTTAAAATCATGACGTGAGCACTGTACATCCAATCAGCTATTCCTTTAGTTAGGATGATAGCCAAAACTATAAGGATTTTGGAGAACTAGGGTAATAGTCATAATTCTAAAATTTGAGTGAGTTACACGTGTTTTATTGACGATGATAAACATTTGCAATGTATTACGCTATGCAAGCGCGCACTGAGGGACTTTATGACGTCACGAGGCCACAGCTTATTATTGCAATAACACGTGTTACACGTACGCTAGAGAGTTGGTTCTTTCGGCGATACGATTCTTTACCAGTTTGTCACAGCTGATTTAAATCTTAGCCAAATTGAAGACTACAAATTTTTCAGTTAACTGGTCCTTTAACCTAGCGCACTTGTAACTTAATAGTTAATACTAAAGATCCAAGTTGTACCCTAAAGCTAAGATAGCGAGAGAGGTATTCTACTTGAAAGAGAAGTGAAACTAGTCATTAAGATGGGCAGCTAACAATAGCCATCTACAACTAATAAACTTAGAATTATACAATATGACAAACTTATTACCTACTATTATATAAAGATAAATACTTTATGAAGATTGCAGATAACTAAATGAAGAAGATTCCTACAATTAATACATTATTCTAGTTAATGCTAAGACACGATGGTCGCCCCAAACTTAGATACCTAACTTCATGCCCTCTAAATATAATATCAGAACCGTTGAGTTTATTCCAGGAACATCATTCAAATCATCAACTTAATTTCATCAAAAGTTTATTCTGAATGACTTTTTGAAACTTTATTTGATTAATCGCGGTCATCAATTTCTGTAATATCAGTAAACTGAAATTCGTCTGCCAACAAATGTTGTACTGCCTGTGAATGTCTTTTCTCACAGCAGTAATATATTTCTGGTGGATAAAAACCATTAAATGAGGTGGTCAACTCGTTCATATAGTCTCCGATCTCCAAGTAGGCTACCCAGTCTCCCTCTGTAAGTTTCGGAACTTTTTTAAATGCCAGATTATCTGCTCCAGCACATGAAACACCCCAAAATTGCGAATTTTGCAAGCTCTCCTGTGATAATCATATTGTAATAATAACTTTAGGTTAAAATCTAAAGTTTCCATGTGTATTATATTATTTAAAGCAGTTTCATTTAAAGCAAAATAAGAATACTGCCCATAATATATATAAACCCATCACCCCTAATGTAAACATCACCCCTAATGTAAACATCACCCCTAATGTAAACATTTCAAATACTTTAATTTAGTGAGTAAATATTAAAAGAATTGACAACGTTTGATTCAAACCTTGAATGGAGAACCATTTTTAGAGAACAGAGGTATCAGTTCAGCTTGATATTGGGGATCAAGTTGATGCCAGCTTACGCCGTTGTGTACACCCACTGAAAGATGGTACTCGGGAATAAGACCGTTCTCCATTTTTGTCCCCAAAACGCATGCAGCTGTGCTTGTGCTTTTACCCACCATAAAACTGAAATTATCACTCGTTACTTACATTAATTGCTACAAAATTTGAGGATTGAAATATTCTACGTTCATTGCATTGTTATGTATGTATGTTAGAAACCGATTGTTGATAGAATTTAGAATAGCTTACGCGCCAGGCTCGGCAACAACAGTCGGGACATCTCCAAATGAGTGAAAGTATTTATCAACTGATTGCTGAATTAGGTGGCCGATTTCCTTTGTAAGGATTCCTTTACCATCATCTCGACTTTTGTAGCCTCCCCCTATGTCTGAAATGATCACGACGACTTGAACTATTTGGATGATGGACCTCAAAATCGGGAAGAACATTTGAGCTAGTAAATCTCGTAACATGTTATAATATGATTTAAATTCTGAAAATATAGCTCTAAAGTGTACAGTACTGATTTATTTACTCTCGCACAGTCTTAGTTAGTTCTCACCTAAAATGCTTGGATTGAAGTCTAGAGAACGCATGATATCCCAACATTTTCGAGCAAACTTAATTGTGTCTGTCCATGGTTCAGCATCATCTGCCCTTAATCCTGGATGAAACGATATCCCTGAAATAGGTTTTAAATGGTTAGTCAAATTGCCAAACGAAAATACTAAATATAGTCTATAATAAGCATAGATTTATCCTAGAATTCGTAATATTTACCAGGAATTTGTTATACAGTTATACCTCCACCAATAAAATTTAATCACATCTTGATAAAGTTAAAAGAAACAAAATCTCAATATAAGTATAGGAGTATGACATTATAAATACTACAGTATGGTAAAAAACATTCTACTCACTTACTTTCACATGATAAGTTACTGACACAGTTAAAACTTAAAAGCTAAATAAGAAGATACCTACGATTACTAAGTTCTTGTAAGACCGCTCTATCTTACTTGTAATTCGAAAGATTATGTTTGTCCGTATAATGTATGTACGACTGCCCACGTGCAAATTAGATGAAAAATAAGAAGATGCAAAGTTACCATGGTAACGGTGTGCAAAAGCGCACGTGCACGTGCAAAGATTTGCGAGCGACATTTTTATCGGTTTCGTTGTTATTACGTTGTGTTTAGTGCGAGCAACATTTTAAAGTTTTAATCGGCTGTATCTTCGGTTGTGTACTAGATAATTTTTGATGCGGTAAAAGCTAACTACCAAAGAAAACTATTAGCTTCCTCCCTGTGAACACGGGCTTTCTAGTATTATATAATATACAGTATTATAAGTATATAGCTATGAGAACAATAATCAGGCCGTTGTTTTACCCATATCTTTAAAACAGATGCGAAAACTACTAACATTACCTTTAACGTCTAGCTTTAGTTTCTTGCAATGCAAAACAAGCTCCTCAAAGTTGCTCCAATCAACACCAAACTTGTTGCCAAAAGATATCTGGAAAAGATATTATGAAATAAATGTTGAAGAAGCCTACATTCTCTCATTACGTAATTGGTATTTTAAAATAATTAAGATGACAAATTTGTTTACGTTTAAAAGCAATGACTTGAGTACAAAATTAACATACCTCAACTTTACTTGCTGCTAATTTTGAAGGCTTGATTCTTATGATAATGGGAGGAGTCTCTATTTCTGACATATCTGGTGACGAACTTTGAGCATAGGGAAACGTCTGATTTTTTAACTGATGATAGACCCTTTTGATCTTTTCACATTCTTGTGCACAATCTACTACTGTCAGCATTCTGTGTTTTATCACTTCTGCAATAAATCAACAATCAAAACCTTATGAGATTGGAAAAAAAGGTACTGCACTCGTGAGGGCTATTCATTTTCTGTGGCTATTGCTTATTTAGTATTAGAAGCAATAAAAATGGCTGTGTTAGATCTAAAAATACACCCATATCATCCAGAATATAGCTGATAAAGAAACCAACCTGCCACACAGTGATAATTTTTAAATGGATGAGATACTATGATTTTGTTAGGATTACACCCAGTAGAGAGCACACTTTGAATCTCTGGCAGTGATGCACAGTCGTAGCCTAATCCCATCCTGTGAAACAGTCTCTGTGTCACCGGATTATTCTGTGCTTTTAGAGCATAATACGGTTCTATTGATCCAAACCATTTCTTCCAGTTATCTATTTGATCAATAATGGCTGAGATGTTCGTGACAGAGAATGGTTCAGTCAGCATTTTGTCATTCTTCTCCTCAGCTATACTTCTCATAAAGTCTTCCATTGTTATGTCGTGAAGAACATGACATCGTTCTTTCGGAAGATCTTCCTGCCCTTCCATAACACTAGTCTTTCTATTCTGGAATGAATAAAATTTGATACATTTTTTGTGAAACTTTTTTTCGACCCCTACCGCCCACCTTGTAAGTTATTTGATGTGTAAACTTAACAATCGTGTAAGGCAACGTTATATACTAGGTAATCGCTGTTCCTTAATCCAACCTGAGAGAGTATAAAGGCTGCAAATTGCAGTGTTTTTATTGTCTCCAAATTTGCTGCATATGAAAATCGCATTATTTGCAAAATATTACTGCCTCTGTAATCATTGATTAAATTAATTAGTAAGAACTAAGAAACTCGTATGTTGAAATTAAATAAACAATAATATTGGGTTTACGGTGGACACAAAATAATTGAACTTGTAATCTATAATTAACAGTCAGATTTATGTTTATGTACCTAAACATTATTATATGCTAAATTTTACAATATTTATATTTTAATTTTACTAAGTTTAGGAATAACTTCCCATTATCCTACCCAAGCTTAACAATGCCGAGATACCGATCCAGATCTTAATCACCTATACACGGGGGGGGGGGGGGGGGGGGGCGGGGGGATCATACAGTCAGTAAACCCATTTTACCTCTAATTTCAATTTTGGGAATGGGTTTTGAGGTTTTTTGGGTTTTTTTTAAACTTTTTCTTTTTGTAACTTTTTATCTAATTCGACTACATTGAAAACAAAACCCCTACTAAATAGTGGGTATAATTTGCCCATTTCCCAATGTTTAATGAGCTGTTTAAAGCAATTTATGGGTGGGTATCTTATTTTATATACCAAGACACTGTTAGTACCGTGATTTCTCAACAGTTATGGGGGGGGGGGGGGGGGGGGGGGGGGTGGGTGGGTCTTTTGAAAAATTTCAAAATTACACTTAGTCGACGTCACTTACAGAACTTAGTACCTGATCCCCCCCCCCCCCCCGCTATACAGCGTATCAGGAAGAAAGGGAACCTCACCATTATCGAGGTACCGTATTTTAACTTGAGGGAGGGGGGGGGGGGGTTGTTTGGCTGTTGATAACATAATCAACATTTTATTTTTCTACCCTCTAACATTATACCAACTCGACAATTTTATCTTAATTTAAATTCCACTCAATTTCACTCTTGTAGTGATACAATTTAGGAATTGATCGGATGTCCTGCTAAGTAAGTAGTTGCTTTGCTCGATATTACTTACATCACCCGACACCCACCAAATGCGATATGAGCTTTGATAAATTATCACATTTCTTATGGTACGTCACCAGTTTGTCGGGCACGTGGTCACCGAGTGACGCAGTCACGAGGTACAGTCAGTTGATAGATGACCAGAACGTGACCAATATTAGCGAGCGATAAGGACTGGATTTCATGCTTAAGCAAAATTAGTTTTACAATTCACCTCCTAGAGAACAGCACGGGTCAAGCATGAAGTATAATTTTAAACGTTTTAAATTAGACGAGTACAGGGACAAAAGGAAATCGCGGCATGTACGGAATCGCGATTTTTCCCATTATTTGCGACAAATTTTATGTATAGTTTAATATACCACGAAATGTAATTCGCGGTATCGCGATTTTTGGCCAAAATAATCGCGAAATCCTTTTGTCCCTGGACAAGTAGATCGGAAAGGAACTACTTTCATAAATTTTAACAGGAAATGATCACGAACAACAATTTAGTACAGACAGATCCGTCTGAAAAAATCGATCTGCTGACACACGAAGCTTTCAGAGGATTTTTGACGTTTTTGAGTCCCATTAGGTGCCCTTTATGGCTGACCAACTTTTCCAAACTTTTCCACGTGTCTTAAGGCCACTTTTTGCCACTTTACCACTTTTTACCACCTTTCTTGTTTGTCGAATATCTTTAGTTGTGAACATCGTAAAAGGTTGCAGATCAATCAAGGGTGTTCATATTATCAGGTAGAAAAACTTTTGTTCAAACAATTTTTACGTCAGATAATCAGTTAATTGGATAATTATCAATTAGCTAATTGGCAAAATTCTAAAAATTTTTATTGGCTCAAAATGATCGGAATAGCTTTAAACACGGAGAAAAGTAGTTTTTAGAAAAACTTTGAAAATTTTTCATTTACATTTTTTTTCGAGACTTGAAAAAATTTCGAAAATTCAAAATATTTTTTTCCTCCAAAAGTGATCAAATTGCATGAAACGCGGAGAAAAATGCTTTTCAAAAAAACTTAGTGAATTTTTCGTTTCAAGAATACCAATATTTGTAGTTAGAGTTCAGTAAATCTCGGCAGATTTTAGTAATCAGGAATTACTAAGTGGAAAGGTCTGAAACTAAAAAACGTTATCCATACGGTATAAGAGTTTCATAACTTATAACTAAATTACAATACAGCCTTATCGATATTCACAGAAACTGCACCAATGGCACAGTCAAGATCGAACCGATAGCCTGCTGTACTATCATTTTATTGATTTCAATGATGAATCAGTGGGGTTAAGATAATCACATTTGTAATAAATAAAACCTCTCTGTACCGTCAATTGTGCTAATCTAAACCGGCCTACCTGGATTACCAGACCTCTTCTTTTCCTCAACAATCAAACCGAGTTGTTCATATCGCATTTGGTGGGTGATGTAAGTACATATCGAACTGTATTCAATCACAATACGACACAATACGTGTATATTATATGATGGCCCTTAATGAGGTTTATGAAACGCTTTATACCGCGAGAAACGAGAAGTGTACGGTATAGAAACACCCCGGTATAGAGCGTTTCATATACACTTCTCGTTTCTCCCGTGAGAGGCCCGGTATAGAGAAGTTTTACAGTTTATCACGAAAACTTCTACTTGGCCTCATGGCTCTTTGGCAGCTCAAAGAAGGCAAGAAAATACCAGAAAGCTTAAAATGTCAACTCGCTCTTTTTAATGCTCTTCGATCTGTCCCCCATTAATCCCGAGCTGATCATAATGGCCTCAAATATTTTGCGGAAAGAACTTGTATTTTTACTTCACAACGTCCGGATTTCAAATCAACATCCTCAATAACATTAACAATCCTTCCTGACCAGGATCTGTCCCGTCGTCTCTATATTAGCAATTTCCAAAATATCCTGACTATCGTGGAACATTTCACTAAATTAATTATTACCGGTTCTTTACTTCCCCTTGCCCGACGCTCGTATCTAAATCTTACCCTTGCCTGTATGTTTCCTTTGTTGATTTTACTTTTAGCCGACCCTGACATATGGGGGTGATTTGAGGTATCCCGCATAGCAAATGAAGCGGTATGCAGTACAATACAAAACAAGTCACAGTAGATGTTGGAAGATGTATTTACACTTGCTTCCTGGACCTGGCTGTTCCTTAGTTTCCCTGGTCTTTTCTTGCCTTCTTTGAGCTGTAAATGAGCCATGAGGCCGATCAGTAGACATTTTCGTGATAAATTGTAAAACCTCTCTATACCGGGTTTCTCGCGGTATAAAGCGTTTCATATACCTCATTAAGGGCCATCATATAATATACACGTATTGTGATTGAATACAGTTCGATATGTACTTACATCACCCACCAAATGCGATATGAACAACTCGGTTTGATTGTTGAGGAAAAGAAGAGGTCTGGTAATCCAGGTAGGCCGGTTTAGATTAGCACAATTGACGGTACAGAGAGGTTTTATTTATTACAAATGTGATTATCTTAACCCCACTGATTCATCATTGAAATCAATAAAATGATAGTACAGCAGGCTATCGGTTCGATCTTGACTGTGCCATTGGTGCAGTTTCTGTGAATATCGATAAGGCTGTATTGTAATTTAGTTATAAGTTATGAAACTCTTATACCGTATGGTTAACGTTTTTTAGTTTCAGACCTTTCCACTTAGTAATTCCTGATTACTAAAATCTGCCGAGATTTACTGAACTCTAACTACAAATATTGGTGATTTAAGTATTCTTGAAACGAAATTTTTTTTGAAAAGCATTTTTCTCCGCGTTTCATGCAATTTGATCACTTTTGGAGGAAAAAAATATTTTGAATTTTCGAAATTTTTTCAAGTCTCGAAAAAAAATGTAAATGAAAAATTTTCAAAGTTTTTCTAAAAACTACTTTTCTCCGTGTTTAAAGCTATTCCGATCATTTTGAGCCAATAAAAATTTTTAGAATTTTGCCAATTAGCTAATTGATAATTATCCAATTAACTGATTATCTGACGTAAAAATTGTTTGAACAAAAGTTTTTCTACCTGATAATATGAACACCCTTGATTGATCTGCAACCTTTTACGATGTTCACAACTAAAGATATTCGACAAACAAGAAAGGTGGTAAAAAGTGGTAAAGTGGCAAAAAGTGGCCTTAAGACACGTGGAAAAGTTTGGAAAAGTTGGTCAGCCATAAAGGGCAGCTAATGGGACTCAAAAACGTCAAAAATCCTCTGAAAGCTTCGTGTGTCAGCAGATCGATTTTTTCAGACGGATCTGTCTGTACTAATTTGATAATCTATCCAAGTTTTATTTATCAAAACTACCTGGTAAAGCGGATTTAAATAAAGCGCTTTTTTTCACTCCTAAGAAAGCAAGGACAAAAGAAAATCGCGATTATTTAGGCCAAAAATCGCGGCGCCGCGACAAGTCAAACTAGGCAAAATCGCGGTGAATTTGCGGCGAAAGATAATGTATTTGCAGAGCTAAGTTAGATGTCATAAATTCGTTAACTAGCTTGTTAGTATAAATAGATTAGGGAGCGACAGGCTCGTCAGGCAAAACAATAGCATCTATATATTAATAATCTTAAGTGTTAAGATCTAAACAGTGGGAACAGTGTTAAGATCTAAACAGACTCTTCTTCATGATGTTGTTACACGAATTATGAATTAGGCATGCACTGGTTCATAGGATTAGGGTAATGATCTTAGTTGTAGTGAACGGTGGATTTTGACGTATTGAACGCACGTTCCAGTCATTTTGTAGTAAACGTTATTGAACGTTAGTGAACGTCAGTGATTATCAAAAACAAATTTCATGAAAATAAACTTTTTGAAATCTCGATTTCCCCAACTGATAATTATTAATGAACATCTATGAACATTTAATTGTCCTCATACTCATAAGTCAATTGTTAGTTAGCATAATTGTAGACTTAGCGGAGAGATAAAAGACTAACGTAGTAACTCGTACTCCGTTTTATAGATCTAGATATCTTCCACATACCACACTTTATATTATCACAAACGACTAGTAACCGAGTACCGAGATTTGGCTGCTGAATCGAAAACAGTCGGATATCAATATATTTTCCTGTTAGCTAGACCAGAACTGAGTGGCAATCAGGAGAATTAAAACTATACTGAAAGGTTCTGGAATTTCTAACCGCTCAGGGTTGCTAGATGTCTGAAAATTGTTTTATCTGCCATCGAACCCTGTGATCCTATCATGAGGACCCGGCAATAACCATAGTGCTGAGATACAGGCCTGTGACCTACGGGACACTCCCGTGCAACCTATTTTGGACCTGGAACATTCGGCCAAACATTCTATCCCGAATTGCTGCTGTAGAGTTCCGAAATTAGTTTTGAGGTATCAGGAATCCTTTTGGCTATTCTAGGATGTAAAAGGTTTGTAAATTTATCAAAGTATTCGGTAGATACAGCCTCTAAAAGTTGTGACCTACAGGACAAAAGTGAGACTTTTTGAAATTACTATTTTTATCGCTGTTTGGTCGGGGGAAGCATATTCAGGTGAAATGTAACAAAGCGGTACAACATCTTCAGGCATGCAACAGAGCAGTTGGCAAAACGTGGGGTATTACACCTACAGGGACGAGATGGATATATAACCAAATTATTCTCCCTTCTCTAGGTTACGCTGCATTCGCATGGCAGCATAGAATAGACGAAGCCCAATACCTAAAGACCAAGATGCAGGCAATTCAGAGACACGCTAGTATCATGATATCAAGAGGACTCAAAAGTACACCACTAGAAAACTTGGAAATCATGGCAGGAATCAAACCCATTGATCTAAAACTCAAGGAACTGGCCATACTTTCAGCTCGGAGACTCAAAATTAACGGTAATTGGAATTCTAACTACCAGTTTAGCAGAACAGGAAACTGTAAGTCCCATGCATACAATCTGGACAAAGCTATGTCAACCATACCAGCGATGAAATGTAAAATTACGGACATTATCGAAACTACCACAGTTTTGGATCGGAAGTTTAAAACAATAATACAGGAGCGGTCTAAAGCAACACAGCAGGTCGGAATCACCCCAGCAACACGTTGGGCTATTTTCACAGACGGCTCAAAAATAGAACAGTTCTCAGGTGCAGGTTACTGCGTAATAAGAAACGCAACCGAGGTCCAGAGACAAAGTTTCCACCTAGGCACTAATGCAACGGTATACCAGTGTGAACTGTTTGCTCTCAACACATCAGCTCACTGGGCAACTATCAATATTTCAGAACCTGGGAGTATAACATTCTTTTCAGATTCACAGGCAGCAATCCTAGCAGTCACACACCACACGGTCACATCTAACTTAGTTCTTGATACCATTAACTACCTTAACAAACTAGGACAAACCCACTCAGTCAATGTCAGGTGGGTCCCAGGACATGCAGGTATTCCAGGAAACGAAAGAGCTGATGAACTAGCCAGAGAAGGATCACTCACAATCGCTCTAGGTCCTGAACCCTTCATCAGCATATCCGAAGGAGCAATTAAGACGGCAGTAAAGGAGTATTTACACGGAATTCATCTTCGTAGATACAGGAACACGGCACTGAGCGAGAAAGGGAAAATACCACTACCAATCCTACTCACCAAATATAAATACAGGAATCTTGGACTTGCAGGAAATCATCAAAGATGGCTAACCTGGCTCTTCACAGGACATAGCCCCCTAGCCTACTTCCAATACAAGGCAAACAATTTCACATCCCCCCGTTGTGAACACTGTCCAGAAGAGGAAGAAACCTCGGAACACTTCATGTGTCACTGTATAGGATACATGACCATTAGGCTAAGAATTTTCGGTAATATATTTCTAACCTGGGAAGACATAGTATCAGCTAGAATTAGTACGGTTATAAAATTTATCGAGGCAACCAATAGACTACTAAAGGAGGATCTTTTCGAGGATCCCATTAACCACTAACACAAATAGGACATCTTACAGTTTTTCTAGGCACTGACCGTCCCTGGAAGTCCCTGTCTCCCCATCGTTAACCCGTAAGGGGTTGCACCAGGGGCGGTGGTAACAGCACTTCAAAACTCTCGGAGTCTGTTGTCGATATCTATGTATAATATATTTATGGTATATAATTTGGGAGTCTCTCTCTCCAGCAGCAGGAGTTGGAGAATGGGGACGCGTTGTGAAAGCCACCGCAAGGAAGGCTTACAGTCGACGCCGACCAATCAAAAGAAGATCGCTGTTTGGTCCTTGTATCTGCTTTCCAAATATAAATAGATTAGGGAGCGACAGGCTCGTCAGGCAAAACAATAGCATCTTAGTTAGGGCAAGAGTTGATTTTTCTGTGAACAAATTCGTAACAAAGGTTTGTCTACTGGAATGTGTTGTCCATAGTCCCAGGAACCACCAAAAAAAACCGTCCAGCTGAAACTTTTGGGCAAAAATTTTTATAGTCATTTTTCTCCAGGAACCCATACGCCCCACCCCTAATATTGGTTATTCGGCTCCCGGAGGTCTTGAGATCTCCATAGGGGGTGCAAAATGACCGCAATGGCCACATTATGGCAGGCGAATGATAGTTTCAGAACGATTGGGGCTTTATTTTTCGAAATAAATGGAATTTTTCGAAATTTTTCTCAATTTTATTGAAATTTCGAAAAAAATACACCAAATTATTTTTAACGCTTATTTCAAATCTTACTCGGGAAATAACTTCAATTAACAAATATCAAGGTTAACTAACAAACAACAGATTATTGACCAACCCCCAGACAGCTATTCGACGGTACATGCTACTCTGGTTGAATGTCTTAAGTTATCCTACAGTGAGCCGATGATAATCACATTCGATTTGCCATTGTGGATTAAGGCCACCCGAATAGTACTGGAAACTGGGATGCCTATTGTGGTCAGGGTTGGGGGCTTCCACACTCTCACGAGTTTTCTTGGCTGCATAGGCTATATAATGGCAGACTCGGGTTTAGAGGAGCTCATCAAACTCGTGTATCCTGGAGACGTCACGCATATATCGGATGGAGGATCTTACTATATAGCGTTGAGAGCCCACTTTCTAATCGACGCCGCTCTTTGTTGTTTCATTATAGAGGAAGAAGTTTACGACGATGAACTAGTAGACTTGGAAGGTTACATCAACAAATGTGTGAACGAAAATATAGGTGTTAACTTTAAGACTAAATCTATTCAGGATCTATCAGAGAAAATAACTCTGCTTCTAAAGAACCTGTTTTCCAACAGTAGAACAGCAGCTCTATGGGTTACTTACTACAACATGATAACACTAGTAAAGGACTTCATAAGAGCAGAGAGGTTGCACGACTACAATATGCACTTATCAGCAGTAGCTTTGATGCTGCCCTACTTCGCAGCAGCTGGGAGGGGACAGTATGCAAAAGCTTTAAGACTGTATTTGGAGCAGGATGCTATTTTTAAAGTCAAGTATGGGGCGATTTAAAAGACCTTTAAAGTAACTGGGCTTCACACGGTTTGTTACAACGACCACGAGTGGGCCGGAGTGTGGACTGACCTCTCCATAGAGCAGAGTCTTATGAGGGCAGCTAAATCTAGTGGTGGATTAACAAGTGGAAGGATGCGTAATCGTGAGTCCGCTCACAAGTTATGGGTGGCCACCCTGAATCAGATGGCGTTAATAAATCAGTCTTTTGGAGATTCATTAGCTAATTCATCGAATCGAGGAGTACCAACTAAAGCTGCCATCCACTCAGATCTTACCAAGTCATCAATCAAGAAAAACTGTGATGTATTTGGAAAATTATTAACTTGGTTTAAAGTTACTGTCGACTTTACAGAATCCGAAGATAAGACTAAGTTAATATCTTTTTCGACTGGTCTTATATCACAGCCTGGGAACGATGAGGTGAATCCCGAGGAATGTTTGGCCGTTGGGGCTGTCCTTCAACGTGAGCTAAATGGGTTGACATTCGTCATTCATCGATAAGATAAGTATCAAAGGTAAAGCAAAGAACTTGACACAACTAAGAAAGCAGGTTAAAGTGAATAATAAAAGCGTTGCAGTCGATCCGTTGAAGTGTTTTAACCGTCTAGTCTTGGTTGCTGATAGAGAGACTTCAATAGAGGAATGCCTAACATACGAGTTAACTGTGGTGCCGATGAGCTTATTTGATCAATATCAGATGATGAGGAAATCTAATAAGGCTGCTCTTGGTATAAACCAATCTACACTTAAATCTTGCAGCTTCACGATCCCACTAGTCATTGATGGAGGTTGGCTAATTCACCAACTAAGCTCATTTAAAGGGTGGGACAATTATGGTGAGGTAGCAATGGAGTACTTGAAGCTTATCCCTAAAAATCGGGAAGTTACTGTGATTTTTGATGGATATGAGCCTTCTACTAAAGATCACGAGCACAAGAGGAGAGTAAAAGTGTTCTGTGCTAATATTGCTGTAAAGAAATCCACCTTTTGTACTGTCACCAAAACAACATTTCTGAGCAACAACAATAACAAAAAAGAACTGATCGACCTTATCTCAAGCATTTTTACTGTAAATGGTATTGAAGTGATCAGAGCTTGTAACGATGCTGATACTTTAATTGCAAAGAAAACATTGGAAATGTCATTCCTTGGCGATGTTGAATTGAAGGCAGAGGATACCGATATAGTTCAAGTCTATTAGTACATCATTTCAACAGTGACCATCACAATGATATTTATCTAACAACGAAGAAGGGTAAATATTCAATCAAAGAAATATCTAGTCATCTAGATCATAAAGAAAAGGAGATACTTCTTCTAATTCATAGTATTTCAGGTTGTGATAGCGTCAGTGGACTGTTTGGTTTTAGCAAGGTTAAAGTGCTAAAGAAAGCTCTCACCTTTGATGAGCAAGGTCAGTTGGCAACATTACTTTCGGTGAGAGAATCAAAAGAAAAGATTATTGAGGCAGGCCTCTGTTTCTTGCAGTACATTTATGGTGACAAGAAAAAGACTCTTTCTGCTTTGAGATTCCTAGCATACAATAGGATGGTAGCGAAAAAGAGTCTCATTCCGAATAGGCTACCTCCAACAATAGCTTCAGCAACGGAGCACATCCTTAGAGCTTACTTACAGTACCATAACTGAGTCATGCTTAACGCTGACAGTCTGAATCCCCTTGACTACGGCTGGAAATTGGCTCCTGGTGGCACTTACGAACCAGTTGCACCAGAGTCTATTTTGAACCTTATATGTTGTAACTGTTCTGTCGATGTGGAACAGGCCTGTTTGACTTTCAGATGTTCAGGAAGGAAATATGGCTTCAATTGTTTGCCAGCTTGTGGACGATGCCATGGTATGAACTGCACAAACATTAGACATGATGAACCTGAAGAACAAGCGAATTTTGATTAATATTAACTGTGTATTAATAATTGTCATGGTACTTACTGAGAATACACATTTTAGATTAACTGTATTTGTTATTTGTAGATAAGTTTTTAAATAGATTTGAAATAAGCGTTAAAAATAATTTGGTGTATTTTTTTTCGAAATTTCAATAAAATTGAGAAAAAATTCGAAAAATTCCATTTATTTCGAAAAATAAAGCCCCAATCGTTCTAGAACTATCATTCGCCTGCCATAATGTGGCCATTGCGGTCATTTTGCACCCCCTATGGAGATCTCAAGACCTTCGGGAGCCGAATAAGCAATATTAGGGGTGGGGCGTATGGGTTCCTGGAGAAAAATGACTATAAAAATTTTTGCCCAAAAGTTTCAGCTGGACGGTTTTTTTTTGTGGTTCCTGGGACTATGGACAACACATACCTGTAAACAAACCTTTGTTACGAATTTGTTCACAGATTGACCCATAAACAGCAATTCTTGCCCTAACTATCTATATTAATAATCTTAAGTGTTAAGATCTTAAAGGTGCACACCGCGAATTTTGCAACTTTGGCTAAAATAGTAATAGGGCGTGAAACAGAAACATTGTGCTATGTTTCGCAGCGTGGGTCTAATTACATCACCCTCAAATTAGCGATCAAAGTTTTCGCTTCCTAGAGAGATGCAGCGTCTTAGGAAATCAAGGAATGTAAACAGTGTGAATTGTGGCTTAAACATTGCTAATTTTCTGAATTGTTTTGTGAACTGCTGGTTTCCGATCTTATCGGCCAAAACAAAGGCTGTGTTTCTTCGATATTTTAATAGATGGAATTAATTTGTACACAAATTCTACGCGTTTTATGAGCAAAACTACCCTGACTGTCAAATCATTACATATTATCCATTGAGTTACTAAATCCAACGTATTTTCCACTAGGATCGGGATATCGTTCCCGAATTTTGGCAACAACACATTGCGGCAAAACCACTCGGTTTCCACGTCCAATAGGCTGTCCCCTGTTTACAAAAATTAGAAAGTTCCTGTAACACAGATGCCTACGCTTCCCATTGTCGAAAACTTGCTCAAGATATTTCTGTCTTGCTTCATGATCATTGATTATTGATGCAAATAGCATTCTGTTGTACTGCAATCCTTCTTCAGACATGAGTTGAGCTTGAAAAAATGTTTGTTCCGTAATGCATCCTCCGGCAGACTCCATAAAATCTTGAACTTCCGGCTTGTCGTGACAGCATACTGCTTCTCTTGGCGGGCACGGTGAACACTGCCCACATGAACACCAGTCAGTTGAGCTGTTTACAATAGCCTCTCTCTGGGATACATCCAATCTCTCGGCATTTTTATCAGAGACACTTATAGGTTGATTTTGATCAGCTGCAATTTGACCACTTAAACCAGTTCTACTTCTATTATCCATACTGAATTCAGAAAAGTCTAACTCCCTCATCTCATTATCATTTTCGCTATCTTCACTTGGAGAACTGTAAGGATGATCCTGAAAATCACAGATGGCAATTTCGTTGGTAGAAGATGGTTGATCTAGTTCACCAGGAATCCCGTTGTACATATTTGTGTGAAAATGAGGAGGCTAATAGATTCGTAGGAAATTTAGAAGGTTAATTTATCATGAAAAATAATATAGTAAAGTGAACAAGTGACACAATCGGTTTTTATAATCAGTATTAAACGTGGTGGACTGAAAACACTACACTGGCGATGAAATAAAAGTCAATCTACACAAGAGGTCACTCTAACAAATAAAAAACTATTCAATTCAAAATCTAGAACGGTAACATCGTTCGAGTATTGAAGAATTGAATGTGACTCAAAATACTAAAATAACTGGCGATATTATAACTTGTAACTAGTGATAAGAGATGGCATATTTAAATAACTAATCGTGTTAACAATAACAAACTACTAGTGCTCAGTATTACCGGTTAAAACGAATGTGTCATGATTGCACAAATTCTACGCGTTTTATGTGCAAAACTACCCTGACTGTAAAATCATTATATATTATCCATTGAATTACTAAATCCAGCGTATTTTCCACTAGAGGTCACTCTAACAAATAAAACAAAACTATTCCAATCAAAATCTAGATCGGTCAAGCAAAGTTGACTTTTTTGGAATTTTTAGTCCCGTGATATTCTTAGGAATTGTTCTTTTCACGTACTGACTTTCCTTGAGCATGGTGGCTATACTGCGGGGCTCTTTTCCCTCTCCAACATAGTCCCACATTCCTTGCAAGATATCTTTTCTGTAAGAGTAGTCCTTGTTGATGACTCTGCTTTTGCTTACATATTTCTTTTGGCTCTTAGAATAGGACCAAAATTCTTTTCTGTTGCTGGTTAAGTTCTTATTGATTTCTATAGCAATAACCATAGAGCCCACTACCATTCTGTTTAGGGAATAGGAAGTCCGTTTAGGCAAGAGCTTTAGTCTCACATTGTGATAAACTTCCAAAGCCCCTGTGTGTAGAAAGTTACAACACAACTGGATGGAACTTATGAAGCGGGTGCTGGTGAAGTACTTGAATAAAGAGGTGAATTCTTCACTTTCTATTTTAAACCACTTTAGCCCCTGTAGCGTCCTGTGTTTTACCCTTGAAGAGTGATCGCAGTGCTTCACTTTATGAAAGTAAGGATATAGCTTTTCAGAGGTCAAAACAATTTGCTTCTTTCTTTTTTCATTCCGTTCTTTCTGCAGTTGTAGTTTTAGAGGCTCGAAGGGATCGGCTGTCCAGGCGTGATGGTTACTAATGTGCAGTAAAGTCGAATGAACCCTTTCCACTAACTCTTTCGGGTCCCCTGCACATTTCTTACAGCTATACCAGAAATGATTGACGATAGGGGCAACAAACTCCGACAGCTTTGGTAGTTTTTTAGACATTTCCATGAGCTTTCTTTTCACCAGCCTCGCTTTGTGCCAAATATCATAGTTGTGAGTAATACTGGTAAAGAAGGTCCTCATCAGCTTTGCAATCCTCGTATTCTCATCGGTCACGAAGTGTCGGACTTTCAGCCCTTGGCTAACAAGGTTGAGTAGGACTTCCTTGCACGCAAACGTTTCCAGGTCGCCTCTGTACATCCCCTTTTGGGCGACGAAAAAGTCAAGAATAGCACCTGTCTTGATATCTAGAATGCTATAAGTGCAAAACTTCGCACACCAACCGGGCGAGTCGAAGTGCCCATCTCCTGCGATGTCAACGTGTTCCAACTGACTGCGACTCTCTAGCAAAGCTGTCCTCATAGACGTCCATTGGTCGACGATTATAGGGTATAGATTGGTCGTGTTGTTTTTATAGAAACTTGAGCATGTTATGTATGGAACAGATAAACAAGTCATGAACGATTCTAAAACACTATAACTCATCCCACACAAAAAAGCTGCAGCAGAAACTACAAGGTTGCACTCATACTTTTTCTGTCTCAGGCGTGAGCTTCTCCAGACTCCTTCGTGAGGCAGAATACCATAACACCTGTAATTGACCACTATGCCAAATCCAGCACAGTTTATCCTCTTGATGACTGACCGGGCTCCGCATTCGGGACAGAATTTAAATAGGGATAGTAGTAAGGGCACGCTTATAATGGCCCAACAAGCGTTTGTTGTGAATGATTCTACGCTTTCATCAATAACTGGCTCATCATCGTCCGTGAGGTCATCCAGTTCAAGATCATCCAGCTCTATAAAGTCACCTTCTTCGGAAAATGAAGAGTTGATATCTTCATTATGTAAACCCGTGTCAAAGTCATCATCATCAACTTCATCAGTAGGTTGGCTATCTTCACTGTCAGTTTCTGAGAAGTAAAGCTCGTCGATCTCCCAAAAAGAATCAGGTTCAATGTTAGAACAGGATTCGTTGGTTGTATCCTGCTCAATATCTATGCCATCAGTTGACCCTGCCGGTTGCATTTCAACTAATCTTTCTTTAGGAGGTGGTCGTTTTGACATTGTTTGGACTAGGGGGTTGGCGAAACTACCAGTCCTTCGATCTGTATTTGGTACACTATCGACTTTCAAGCGAATCAATGTGCGAGTTTCAGGATTGGCTCGAGCATGATATCGTTCCAAATCACCCTCTTGAAAGTCATCCAGGAAAAAATGATCAGTACAAACTCTTGTACTAAGGCTGGGTTGCCATGATCGTGAATCTCTATTCATCCTCACAACCCATTTTTGCTTTAAAGCTTGATTTGTGGGTAGTCTGATGTATCTTAGAAATCCTCTTCCACTGTGATCACTTACTTTGTTTCGGCTACTACGATTCGAGCAAGCACCCACAGCACAAAATGATCCTCCTGGTTTCCGTTTCTTCGAAGGTGGTTGTTCAGCCATTCAGCTACTTTATTTCTGTAACATCGTTCGAGTATTGAAGAATGTATTGAACAATGTGACTAAGAATACTAAAATAACTCGTGGTATTATAACTTGTAACTAGTGATAAGAGATGGCAAAGTTAAATAACTAATCGTGTTAACAATAACAAACTACTAGTGCTCAGTATTACCGGTTAAAACGAATGTGTCATGATTGCGTGTAAGAGACAAAACGTGGCATTGCAAATGTAAACAACGTAATAGTGAGAGGAGAGTAGAGAGAGAGTGATAGTACGCTGCATCTCTCGAGCGACCCTAATTTTGGTGGCCAATTAGAGGGCGACACCCTTACTTGCGTGTCCCTAAATTTTGCGGAAGTTAATATATTCGCTTGACTATCAGATTGAGTCAAAAAACAAAAATGTTAAAAATTTTTCCCTATCTCGGTGTGCACCTTTAACAGTGTTAAGATCTTCATGATGTTGTTACACGAATTATGAATTAGGCATGCACTGGTTCATAGGATTAGGGTAATGATAATTACTAAATACTAGTTGGTTTGTGTGTAGATAGAAGGTCTGTGCGGCTTCTAGTGATAATAGAAAATTATTATAATTATTACGTAAGAATTATTATAAAAGTTATGTTTATATATAGAAACAAGGAGAGTAACTTACATATTGAGGCACTTTCCTTGTACCTATCGAGAATGACTCGGACCGAAAATTTTATAAATCGAAATTATTTTCAGAGTTTTTCTGGAAACTACTAATTTTGTTCATGTTTCATGCTACTCTGAGCATTATGAGCCGAAAATACTTTTTCGGTCCGTACCTACATTCGGAAGGCTGTGGACATGTAAGACTATTGTCCCTTGATCCTCGAGTCTCTCCCGATCGGTAACAGTTAACACAGCACTCAGCAGCTCAATGTGCAACAATAAATAAAATAATAAACGCTATAAAGGAACAATTTTTGTTTGGGGACTGGTTTGTAAGCCAGCCAATGTTTACGAATATAATATTAATAACTTTATTACATAATCATAAATATATATCATAAATAGATCAAATCTGAAACACAAATTTGTACACAGTTAATAAATTTATTTAAAAAAAGAAAATAAAAAAAAAAGTTTTGTTGATACAACAAAATATGGAGCACTCTGTGCTTCCAACAGCCTTTCAGACTCGCGCTAAGTTTGTTAGGGACTGATTTAGGATATCGTAGATATTGCTATGCCATGCCATTAGTTTGGATATGTAGTGTTTGTGATTGTTGAAATCAATTAAATACGGTTTGTGCTGATAGGAAAATAGTGATAGTGGGGAATGTGGCAGTGTAAATATGGACCTGGAATTTAGGATGTGTGGCTTATCCATTAATATTAGTTGCCGCTAGTCTGTGATCAGTTTGTTCTGGTTTTTTTGTGTGCAAATATATATTCATAGTTTATTTTTGTAATATCATATAATATATAGTACTTAATAATAACCATATGACTAATAACTGATTTACTAATTAACTAATTAACTAATTCACTAAGCTGATATAATGACCGTTGTGTCCAGTAACTTTCAGACACGTTGTGACCTTCTTAGACCTGGAATATTATGTAATAAGAAACTGGGCCACGTGTCATCGTCATTTTCACTCTGCAGGTTCAAGAGCATGCGTTTTGTAGCCGATTTAAAAAGGTTTATGGAAAAAAGTGTGGGTAGGGTGCTTACATTTGCATTTACAGCATAAATTGAGAGTAAAGGTCCTTTGAAGAACATCGAAGATTTGAAATGTGTGGTGTTGTACTCGGCTAACCAGGATGCTGCAGTCACGTGATCTGAGTTTGCAGTGGGTGCATTTTCTGGGATAGTCATACAGATTTGTTGAGGGACTGAGCTGCGGAAATGTTTGATTCGGTGCATGAGAATTAGTGTGTTTTTTACAATAACACTGTGCACCGTGAGTATACCATTGTTATTGAAAAATTGTTTTTTTGTTTTGGACAAGGATGTATCACATTCTTTTCAGATTCATAGGCAGCGATCATAACAGTCAGGCCCCACGTGATCAAATCTAGACTACTACTAGACAGAATTAACTACCTGAACATTACCAGAAAACCAAAAAAAATGTTAGGCTCATAATGATCAGGGTAGTATGAACCGTGGAGAAAATTGGTTTCCAGGAATCCACTTTCACAAGCATTTCTTAAACCACTCCCACTCGCCTGCTGAGCGCTGACGTAAATTGACGCTGCTCGGCATTCCTTGTCAGGGTGCCCTAAACGGGTGGGCGACAATTGACCCCCCGACAATTGACCCCCGACAATTAACCCCCCGACAATTGACCCCCTACAATTGACCCCCGACTCTAACCCTAACCCTAACCCTAACCCTAACCCTGACCCTAACCCTAACCCTAACCCTAACCCTAACCGGCTAACCCTAACCCTAACCGGATAACGCTAACCCTAACCGGCTAACCCTAATCCTAACCCTAACCCTATCCCAGTAACCCTGACCCTAACCCTAACCTTAACCCTAACCCTAACCCTAACTAATTGTCGTACTAAGCCCTAGATTTCGCAATTGATCCCAGTGTAATACTAATTACATAGGGGGTCAACTGTCGTACTAAGACCTAGATTTCGCGACAATTGACCCAAGTGTAATTACATAGGGGGTCAATTGTTGGGGGGTCAATTGTCGCGGTACCCCCTAAACATTCCTTGCACAACTCGGTCTGATTGTTGAGGAAAAGAAGGGGTCTGGTAATCCAGGTAGGCTGATTTGGATTAGCACGATTGACGGTACAGAGAGTTTTTATTTATTACAAATGTGATAATATGTGAATCTGATTCATCATTGAAATCAATAAAATTATAGTACACTGCATTACAGCAGGCTATCGGTTTGATCTTGAATGTGCCTTTGGTGCAGTTTCCTGTTTCTGTGAAAATCGATAAGGCTGTAATTAATTAATTATGTAATTAATTATAAAACTCTGATATCGTGTGGTTAACGTTTCTCAGTTTCAGACATTTCCACTTCGTAATTCCTGATTACTAAAATATTAATATTTTTAAACTAAAAGATTCAAGACATGTTGGCAAGCTTTGAAAATCTTAATTATCATCGTTACTTTAACTGTTAATTCTAAAAATACCACTTCAGAGAGTTTTCATAAACAATTGGGTCGGAACGAAAGATGAAGCTATAATTTGACAATTTGTTTCTCAAGTAGTTTAGTATACTGCCTCTGTAATCATTGATTAAATCAATTAGTAGTAGTAATTAGCTGGCAAAAGATTTTGGTATTAAGGACTCTGCATTGAAATGGTTTAGTTCATACCTCTCAGGCAGGTTTTTCAAGGTTAAGGTAGATGACTCATTATCTGACTTCCTGTGTCTGTTGTTTGGGGTACCCCAGGGCTCTCTATTGGGACCTATCCTGTTCATCTTATACATTAAGCTGCTCCAGGAAATAGCTAGAAAGTATGGTCTCGATATTCAGCTTTATGCAGATGACTCACAACTTTATATAGCTTTCCACCCGATGAGACCCATGGAGCTGCAGAATGTCACTAGTAGGATCAATGACTGTCTGTCTGAAATCAAAGTATGGATGGTTAATAATTTCATGAAACTGAATGAGAGCAAGACAGAATTGTTAGTCATTGGAAAGCCTTTGGTACTGAAGAAGTTTGACCTTGAAATAACAATGAAGTTTGGTGACACCATTATTACACCAACTGTATGTAAAAACGATACCTGGAAGAGTCTTGGAGTGTTACTAGATGAATCTCTCAACATGGAAAGGCAGATTGACAACGTTAGGAAGAACTGTTGCTGGACAATGAACAATCTTAGAACTATCAGAAAGTATCTAGATGAGAGAGTTAAGCTCATGCTGGTCAAACAACTGATCATATCAAAGCTGGACTATTGTTATGCCCTTTACATGAATCTTTCAAAGACTAGAGTGAAGAAGCTGCAATCTGTTCTAAATGCAGGGATACGTTTCATTTACGACATCTATGACAGAAATACTGACTTGTCTCCTTTCTACAAGAAAGCTCATATTCTCCCTGTTGAAAAGAGGATATTTTTCAAAGTGTGTCTCATCTGTTTCAAAGTGACCCATGGATTGGCACCAATGTACCTCCAAGAGTTGGTTCAAATGAACAGAGATGATAAGGCTGTCAAAGAAACCAGAACAAAAACAGCATGCAACCTTCTTATGAAGATACCTAAGTTCTCTAAATTGAAGGCAACTAGCAGGCGGTTCAGCAACTATGCACCTGAATCATGGAATTCTCTCCCTCTTAATGTCCGTAACATCGACAATATTGTCTCTTTTAAGGGTAAGTTAAAGAACTATTTGTATGATCAGCTATAGCCTGGTTAAGCTATTTTTTGTGGCTTCTAGTCTTTTTTTCTTTTTTTTTGTGTTATTTTTTGTTTTCCGAGTATCCACTTCTTGTTTTTCTGGTTTTTATCGGTGTGTCAATAAAATCAATTATGTAATATGTATACTTTAACCATTTTTTGCGACAGTTAATCTGATATTATCTCTTTAACATTATTTAGTATTTTTTGATTTATGAGACCCGTGTTTTGTTTTTAACTTTCTGCTCCGACGCGAGGAGGAGAGAAAGTTATTTGAGGAGAGCCGCTCAGACATGGGCACCGTATTGTGTAAATTATTTAGTTATCTTTATACAATATCTTTGTCGCATAGTAGCGGGGTAGTAAATACAGTGTTTCGTTTCTTCGTTTCGTTTCGTTTCGTAGTAGGAAACTCGTATGTTGAAATCAAATAAACAATAATATTGGGTTTACGGTGGACACAAAATAATTGAACTTGTAATCTAGATAATTAACAGTCAGATTTATGTTTATGTACCTAAACATTATATGCTAAATTTTACAATATTTATATTTTAATTTTACTAATAACCCATTATTCTAGCCAAGCTTAACAATGCCGAGATACCGATCCAGATCGAAATCACCTATACAGCGTATCAGGAAGAAAGGGAACCTCACCATTATCGAGGTAACGTATTTTAACTTGAGGGGGGGGGGGGGGTTGTTTGGCTGTTGATAACACAATCATTCCGAGATTGCATAACAAAGGCCAGGGGAACTCTGCCTTCCGAGTTCCAAGATTTTTACGGTCAGAAAAGAGGCGTACTTTTCAAATCAAATGCAAAACTTCAATCATGGGAACATCTAATAAAAGTACGCAATCACACTATGGGTGACCATTATCTGATTTAAGGCCACTCCCTTGACTCTTGTAGACTTCGTATAAGGGTAGCGGTTTATCCTCGCCTTTAGTTAGACATCTTCCTGACTTTTTTCCCGTCCACTTCGAGGAGGTAAGCTGCTGAGTACCCTGGTTTGGTGTATCCTGAGACACTTACGAAGGTTGCAGCATTAAGTCCCAGAGCGTCTCCACCAGCCCTGATCACAGTCCACAAACTGACATCAGAATCGGCACCTGAGCCTTTGTCGTTCCAAGTGTGTTTAACTTTAGCCTGTACAACGTATTCGTTCTGGACACAACAGTACTTTTTGGGGTCAGGTTTGGTGGAGTGACTGTTCACTGCCACATCTCCAAGACAGCTGTATCCAGACGGAGCGTTCATCTTGTAGATGGCCACATCAGCATTTGCTCCACTCCCTCGGTCATTCCACACTTTAGAGAAGCTGGTAGGGTTAATGAGAGGGTTCATCAGAGCTCCTGGGTTTCTCAGTGACACCAACACAGCTTTAGCATTGGGAGATCTCCAACTTCCAGTAGCGACATCTCCGAGAGAACAGTACTCCTTCTGAGAGTTCCTAACTCTCCATATCGCTCCGTCCATGTTGGCACCTGATCCTGCATCACTCCAGATCAGCTGATAATCAGAGTACTTGTAGATTATCTCCGGGTTGCCTTGGCCTAGAGCTGCCGATACTGTTATCAGTGCTACAGCTGTAAACAGGATCATAATTGCTCTCCTTTGGGTCCTTGTAGATGCGAATCTGTCGAGTGAAGTTCACAGTTTGACCGGGCTGTTTTGTACTCGTCTATGGAAAGTGAGAGTGTGATAAAGACAAAGGGTGATATAAAGTGTGATATCTCCCAGTCAGGTGTGAAACAGGTGTGATTGTGTGAAACAGGTGTGATTCCACGGGTAGTGATCACTGTCGTCTGATAATTGAAATCAGGTTGTTTTGAATAACACAGATTGTGTGGACACTTTCACCACTTATCTGCTCTTTATATCTCAAGATCAGCTGCTGCTTTTTTATCCTTTATATCTTAACAAACTAGAAGACTAAAGACATGTTGGCAATGTGACCAAAGCTTTGAAAATCTTAATTATCTGTCATTACTGTAACTGTTAATTCTAAAAATACCACTTCAGAGAGTTTTCATAAATGATTGGGCTCGGAATGAGAGCTGAAACTATAATTTGACAAGTTTTTTCTCTAAGTAGTTTAGGTATATAATAGAAGATAAATGTTGTGTTTTTCAGGGGATGTACCAGCCAACTATAGAAGAAGATAAGAAGCTATACGAAAGTAAGAATTGTTATGTATTTTGGTTCGGACTGGTACTGGCCATGTTTTCGCTAGAACACCTCGTTTTTCTCATAAGTTTCATTCTTACTCTCTTTGTCGTTCCTGGGACTATGGACAATACATTCCTGTAGAGAATTACACTACACTATTCTTTCCCTAACTAATCTTTACTACTGCTACTGTTCAGAATACAAGAAGTGGATATCGGAAGTAGAACAAACTGCCGCCCCACCCTTACGGCATCTCACTCTCCCAGAAACAGAGCTTCTTCACAAGGCTAAGAAGTTTGCTATGGAGTGCTCTGTTCAGGCAGTGAGTTTGATTTCCTTATCAGTTCCTTATCACTCTCCTTATCAGTGCTTCACAATATCTCTTAGAAAATAATAGCGAGCATCTTAAAAGTTAGAAGTTGGTTTGTATAAGAACCATGCTGTCATTAATGAATTACCCCCAATAAAATGTAAAATGATCTATAATAACAGGTGTTGACCAAGAAGCCTATAGATGTGTACAGTAACATGACTGAGGAGCAGCGCCAGCAGCAGCGCGACCGCGCGGTATCCCTCATGTGCCGTGTCTATGTGGGGAGTATCCACTATGATCTTACTGAGGATGATCTGCGCAAAGCCTTCGCTCCTTTCGGACCAATCAAGGTGGGTTCTGACTTGCTTGATACTTTAAATTGTTGTTATTTCTAATTTTATTTCATGTTCTGAACTGAAATTATTGGATAGTTTAACAAATTTTGTTCTACAATTGAATTATTGAAATTGTCTGATATAGTTTGTAACTGTTTACTATTTGCAGGGTATCAATTTGTCCTGGGATACAGCTACACTGGGTAAATCCCGGTCACACAAAGGTTACGCCTTCCTGGAGTACAACGTGGCAGAGAGTGCGCAACTTGCACTCGATCAGATGAACGGAGTCATGTTGGGTGGTAAACCTCTCAAGGTAGAGATTAATTAGCTTAAAATCTAGTTAATTATTTAATTTGTTAATTAACAGTACTAACACGTTAATGACGCGTCAGGTATTATTTAGCCTTCCCCCAGGGTCTTGTATGAATATCAATTATTCTGGGAAAGGACAACTAATAAACTGGAAAGTAAAATAAAAGTCGCACCACTTTTAAATAAAAGTCGCACAATGATAACAAAAAACTTGCTCTATAATATAGATTGTAGAGTGATAAAAGATAAGAAGTGTTAAGTAGTTATGACGTCATATTGATTAGAATTGATATTAGACATGAGGCTTAATAAGCGCTAAAATAACAACTTGTTGTTCAGTGTGCTCGACCAAGCAATATTCCAGCAGCGTTGCCGCTGATAAAGCAGATAACAGAAGAAGCCTCCACCCAACCTCGCATATTTGTCGCATCAATTCACCAGGTAATTATCCGTAATATTAACTTTACTTATCATGCTTTCATGATTTCTCAGATTTTTGAGAAGTTCTCAGTTCTGGTATTCTGAGTGTGTCCTAAACCCAACGGGTTATTGATATATTATCTCCTGTATAATTCTGGTGAAATTTTATCAGGATTTATCAGAAACAGACATAAGGAGTGTTTTTGAAGCGTTTGGTCCAATACAAGCTATCCAACTGTCACAGGACGTCATGCCGGGAAAACATCAAGGGTAAGTTTACATATGGTAAAATTTAAACATCTAAATTTAATTGGAATTTGTTTTGGTAAGCCGTGATAAAACACAAATCGGTTTAAATTCTTTGTAACTACTTACAATATTATGTTCTCTAGTCATAAGAAATAACCATCTGTTAAGGATGTCAGCCTTTAAGTTACTAGTTTTGACTTTTAATTATCAATCAAAATGAAAATATATATAAACTTCCCGTGATAATCTAAATTTAGCTCAGAAATCCTAGTACACTACATTGTTACACTGCTGACTGCACTTTTACACTGCATTGTTACACTACACTGTTACACTGCATCGTTACACTACATTGTTACACTGCACTGTTACACTACATTGTTACACTACACTGTTACACTACACTGTTACACTACACTGTTACACTGCATCGTTACACTACATTGTTACACTACACTGCATTGTTACACTACATTGTTACACTACACTGTTACACTGCACTGTTACACTACATTGTTACACTACACTGTTACACTACATCGTTACACTACATTGTTACACTACACTGTTACACTGCACTGTTACACTACACTGTTATACTACACTGTTACACTACACTGTTACACTGCATTGTAACACCTGCTGCTATTTGATCTGTTGGCTGTACTTTAGTAAAAAACCTGGCCTCGGTGATTTTTCGTTATGATCCATTAATTCCCTCTTTAATTCCTTCAAATAGGACATAATATTATAGCGCTGAATCGAAAATGTCACAGGAAATTTCAAAATCTGAGGAAAATTAAAATACATTTAATTAGTGTACTTGCACCAATTGGATTCTTTTCCAATTGTATGCATGGTTTGACAATCTCCCAACGACTGGATCACACACAAGAAGACACTGTATATTTTGCTAAATAATTTACTGATTTTTAACGCACTTATATTCTGCAGATACGGATTTATTGAGTACGAAAACTTGGACTCAGCGAACGACGCGGTCGCTGCCATGAATCTGTTTGACCTAGGTGGTCAGTTTCTGAGAGTGGGACGGGCAATAACTCCTCCGCAACAGATGGCTCAGCCTGAACCTGTTCCTCCTGAGATTGCCGCTGCCGCTGCCGCTGCAGCCGCAGCTTCAAGAGCTATAGCTGCTCAAGGTATAATGTTATTTGTCATATGGATTTACCATAAGTAAAGTAAATATCCTGTATTTTGGTTACAGCCTGATTTCATAATCATATATCATATTTCCCATCGTTTATTATGATTTATTCTAAGTCTTGAAACATAAGACAGCCACTAATCGTATGTTGATGTCACATTTTCATAACAATTGCTAAGAATTTTAACATGTCTATTTCAGATGAAGTAGTAGCAACTTCCCGCTCTCAAGGCCAAAGCCATGGCCATGGCGGCCATTCCCGTCCCCACGACAACAGTCACTCTAATTCACGGAAGAAACACAGACACGGTAGCAGAGAGAGATCTTCTAGAAGAAGCAGGAGTAGAGAGCGAGGTAGCAAGAAGGATAAGAAGAAGAAGAGGCAAGTTTTGTTACATTCTTGGCCCTTTGGTATTTTTCAATGTTTATATTTAGGAAAGCCCTAAAAGTAAGTTAATTTTCACGCCAGCTGTGATACTCATTATGCAGAGAGAAAGAGGGCAAGAAAGAAACAGAAGAAGCAACTAACGAGGATGAAGATGAGGGCCTGAACGCTAAAGAGAAGGCTAAGAAAACCATAGAGGGTTTGAAAGGAGATATTTCTATTTCTCAAGAGGAGGAAATGTCTATCACTGGTAGTAATGCACGTTTCATGATCATGCAGAAGCTAGCTATGAAGGACAAAGAGGTAAGGTTTAGGGTTAAGAAAACAATTTTCGAAGAATAAAAAGTTGTGGGGCAAATTTTGTCACACTTTTAAGGTGAATCAGATGTTTTTGGAATGCGCACAAGCTTTAATAGTGAATTTGTAGCGCAACACGTACATTTATACGCGCGCGTGCCGCGCCCCCTGTATTATTATTATTATGTAATATCATGTTTAATTTCGTGTTTTAATTATCGAATTTGAATTTTGACGGCAAACTTAATGGCGGTTTCAAAGCACGATAGAGTAACACTTACGTAAAACAAAGAACCATCCGCTTAGTATACAAAGGCATCATTTTAAGTCACCATGGCCTTCAAATCCTAGGTTGTTACCTAGCTGCACTCCACCATTCAACTGGAAGTATCAGTCGATTGATTTGTTCGAATACAAAATTCCTTGTATCACGTCGTGACCCCCACGGTCGTTTCACTATGGTAGAGTTTCTACAATACAGGGGGAGCCGCGCACTTGTGCTCGGCGGGTCATACAACGTATGACAAAAAATTCCAGCGTCGATTATAACCGATCGCGGGAATTTTGAATGTAAACCTGATAAGAGAAGATTGAGAAATGGGCATACACGAATATTTTTCATTTCCATCACCCTGCCACATTATCTGAGTAATGCATGCTGACGCCTTACACTGCTTGTCGATGTCAATTCCGAAAAGCTGGGTAGTGGATATATATATAATATAGTCGACGCGCTGCAATCTTAGACGTATCGTATCTTAGTTTAATGTTTAAATTATTTTTTATCGTTTTATTGCCTTTCAGAGTACGGTTATGATATTGAAAAATATGGTTGCATTCGAAGATGTCGATGATGAATTGGAAGGAGAGGTCAGTTCCAACTTATCACATTTCTTATTAAAAACAGTTATTACTGCGTATCGAAATTAAGTTTATTCCTTTACATCCAGGGTTGTTTCAGAAATAAGATCTCATCTCGATCTTAATCTCATACTGTATACTTTCTAATTCAGGTGAAAGAAGAGTGTGGGAAGCACGGCAAAGTAAAGAAAGTAGTAGTATATCAAGAAGCTCAGAGTGAGGCGGATGATGCGGAGGTGTTTGTCAAGATATTTGTACAGTTCTACAAATCATCAGGTAACCATCTTGTTTAATGGTTTCAAGTGCCTGGTTATGTCCTTGAAAATTGAAACATTATGATAATACTACTGGTTCCTTCCAGCTTCCTGTAGAAATTAAATTGAAATGTTTCGGCTGCATGTTATAAAATGGAGCCATAAATACATCTAGAGCAGGAAATATGTGCTGATTGAGTTAATATGTGATTAAAAAACCACCAGTTTTCACTAGTTTTGACCAAATTTCCACCACAATTCGACGGCACGCAAAAACTCAACAGACCGGATCACGTACTGCAGCACGTGCCGTCTACTTTTAGCTAAAACGAATACTCCGTCTCGTAGCGCATTACGTGATGCATTACGTGCCGTCTAGCTAGGGTATAACCAGTATATTATATTCTAGCATATGGTTAACATTACAAATATAATTCCTAATATCTTTAAATCGGGAACAATGTATTATAAATATTTTTGCGCCCTTGACAATGCTCTCTCTCAGAGTGTGAGGTAGCTATCAACGCCTTAAATGGACGCTGGTTTGGTGGACGAACAATCGACGCTCAACAATACGAAGAACAGCGGTTCTTACGAGATGATCTCTCCGGATGATCATGCGTTGATAGCTGATCAGAACTTTTTAGCTGTTTTTCAACACTTTTTTTTTGGACGCCCAAGTTGTTCCCATATTATCTTTTTCGTCGCACTGAAACTCAGAATAAGACACTTATAGTTATTGATATTCACAAATGTTTTAACTTATTTTATTAATGAGTTCTGTAGATTTCCGACGTTTTCTGACTTAATGTTCAGGGAAAACTGAGTTAGTGTGTATTTTTTCATTCAATGTATTTTAAAGTGGCAAAAGTTATAAGTGGTAGTTAGGTATGACTCAAACGAGTGCTTTGAATTGTGATGTAGCCTAGGTAACTTTCGATTATCCGTTGGTATGTCGCACTTCATCATGGCAAAGAGGTGTGGCTCCGCAAATTTATTTCATGATTTCTTCGTTATTGAATGACACAGCGCAGAGTTATTAACAACAGCTTTGACGGTTAAAAACTTCTAATGAAACATGTTAAGGCCTCAAGTTGACTGCATATAACTAATCCTAAAGCGTAACATTTTCTCACCACTATAATTCTAAAAGAGAGATCACGTACAACTATAAATTGCTATAATTGCTTCGCACTTAACGCTGCACAAGATGACATGTGCAAATTAACGACTTAGCTTGTCACCATCAAAGTTGAAAGATCAGCTGCTGGGAGAGGCGTTTGCCGTGTAAAAGACAGGACGGTTGTGCGCCAGAAACCCGTTAACAGTTGGTTATAACCGTTTGCAGCACTTGAAATGTAGCGGCCGCCCTACACTGCACATACAGGCACACTTCTTGTTGACGTACGTGACGCTAACTTAAACTAATGCCCATTGTCAAATATGCCATAGTTTGATCGGCGATACCAGACTTCAAAGATAGTGACGTGCATCATGAGTTTATATAAAACTTCAGGGCTTCATATTTTAGATTTTACACTTTACAGTCAGCAGTTTCTCCAGAGCTATGTGAAATATGTTGTTACTTGTATTTCGGGTCTATGTTAACATGTACTGTGTTTCCGAGAGCTCAATAAATTTGTTTTTGATTTTTGTTGAAAATTATACAACCACTACCTTGACGATACGTGACAGGGTTGGAACTTTTGAATGGGGGATTTATATCTTTCAATTTCATCCATCTCTTAGTCGTAGGTCTTGAAATGTTTTTTTAATCAGCGAAATGTTATCACACATCTTCATTAGTGAAGCTCAATTTTTACGTGAATAGAATATATATTTGTGGTGACCAATGCATATTTGCCTATTTTAAACCTTATCATTTTATTTTACCCTGCCTTATCGAACCTCATTAAAATCAAATCTCATTTAAACCATTCGTCAAGTCAGCGTCCACAGATGTTTCGTTTTAGACACACAATTTCTCATTCTGAATCTGATAAGACTCTTCATTCTTCTCATTGGCACTCACGCTGAGTTTCTGCTATCAGAGCAGGTGTCATGTCGCACAGTCGCACCATTCTCCATTCTCATCATATCCGTTTTTAGAGGGTTGTAAACCACTTCTGATCATACCTAAAAATGTAGAAACGTCATAATTGATAAAATGCAGGTTTTCCGGTAGATTTTGCACGCGTGGTACACGACGTCGGGAAGCTACCAACAAGACTCCCAGTACTCGTCACTTTTATGTGAATAATAAGATGTGGGATTAATTGGTTATTATCTTGAGCAGTAAACTGAAGTTGCGACCTGCATTTTTCCTTATCTTAATTTGATAGTCTACTTGGCGGTTTATACCCCTTTCAACATTCATGAGCACTTCATTGATCTTAAAACACTGGTGCTAATGACATTATGTAATTACACATTTACCGTGGGGCCTAAACACGACAATCTAGTCTCTTTGAAGAGGAGTAGATAAGCATTTATTTCTCGGTTCCTATTTCTTTGCTGAGGAGGGGGCTGTAGGACTCTAGAGCGGGTGACTGCAGTAGAGCGGATTTAGTTGGAAGTAGGACCCTAGAGCGGAGTCAAATCGCCAGGGTAGGACTCGACAGCGGAACTCCCTTACCGGACCCATACTATGAGGACTCTAGAGCGGTATCCACATGCAGATTTAAGAGCGGTTAGAAATTGGATTAGAAAATTAAGCGGTTAGAAATTTGAGAGTCAAGTTAGTTTTGAAGATTGAGTTATGTTTTTTAATCAATGATTAATAATAGTCGTCACATAATGATGATAAAATTGATAAAACTTATTATACATTAATACTGCGAATCAAATATCTGAAAATAGTTGATCACTCCTCGATCATCACGTTCCTCAACATGTCAAGGTGGGAGACAAGGTCCTGATCGTCGTAGACTTCGCTGACGGGCTCGTTTTGCAGGAGGAGCATCCCCGTAACTCTTCTTGAGCATCATCTCATCCGTAGTGGACTGTTCTATGTAGACTGCTTGAAAAAAGGTCCAGATAGTTGGGTTAGAGTGTCCCACCATTGCTGCAAACTTTCTGTTAAAGGCCTCTGTGTAGTTGTTTGTCTTGTTGAGGTTGCAGACAGTCCGGTCGACAGTCCAGGATCTGGGCAGGAGGGTTGTCGGAGAATATCCGAAGATCCTTGGCACGGGAGTAGATGGTCTTCACTTCGCAGTCTAAAAGGTTCGCAGGGTGGATGTGAGGTTTAGGGGTATCAAAAATGGAATCCCCAAGGGTGTAGAGGCGACCAGGACACTTTGCTTCCTTCGGACGCATCGCCAACATTGACGGAATGACGGCCGTCTTGGGTAGGTTTTCTGTCCTTACCGTAGCGGAATCTTCGCAGAACAAGGTCAATGCTGCCGGCTGTTCGTCCCCGGATGAAGATGGGCTTCTCGGGAGGAGTTGAGGAATGACTCACTCTGCATATTGTAGATAGTTGTAAAGAGGAGTAGGAATCGAATGTGATATACTAAAACTAAATTCGCCGTGACATTCATACTGCACTATCGAAATCACTAACAAGAACCGCTATGCGACGGGATCTGATCTGGATCATACCCTGTCACCAGACTGAACATGAGATACCTTTAGTAGCTTAGTAGGTGCTAAAGTGTCACGTGATGAGATCCTCATTCCTAAATGATCTGCTTGAGTGCACGTACTTGGTCGGTATTTCGCTTAGCGAAATCACATCGATACGACCAGTTCATAATTATACCTCTTATCAAAGAAATTTTTGCATTTTAGAGTAGCATGAGAATATTCCAGTCAAATGGAAGAAGTTTATACTGAACAATTGTCTAACGTGTCTTAAAATTATATTACAATATGATATGATGGGGGGGGGGGGGGGCCAACGCCCTTAAAGGCCCTAGACGCATCGAAAATCCGAAAAGGGCCCTAGAAATCGGGGCTTTTTGGGGCCTTTTGGGGCCTTTTGACCATGACCACTATTTGATAGTGTTTATGGACCATAATCTCCATGTAAATACACTCAAATAAACATAAAAGTACTGTGCAAGTAGTCAGATAATATCATTAAAGCACTTAGCATATATCAAACTTGATGAAATTGAAGTTAATTCTAGGGCCCCAAAAGGCCCTTTTGGGGCGTTGGCCCCCCCCCCCCCCCCCTATGATGTATAATATAAATAAATCGATCTTGGACAATTTTCTGCTTCAAGTTCACCTTGAACTTAACTCCATGACTTATTCTAATGTCACGACTGTAATAATCAATCACGAGTTGTATCTAATCTGATTTCAATCTTCCGACCAAGTCCGCTCTACAGTCCACTTTCAAATTTCTAACCGCTCTAAAATGTGCAAGTGGGTACCGCTCTAGAGTCCTTATAGTATGCAGGGTCCTGTAAGGGAGTTCCGCTCTAGAGTCCTACCCTGGCGCGATTTGACTGCGCTCTAGAGTCCTGCTCGCTGAGGAGGGATCCTCATTAGTACTGGTAGTGGTAGTTGAACTTGTTGTGTTTTACAGCAAGTTTTTATTAATCATTAAGTTTTTTATTAATAGACTTTTTATTGTCATTAGCAGGTATTGGTAACAAATGCGCCTGCTGAGTTACCATGTTTTAGGTCGCCATCATACGTGACCGCCATTTTACCGACTTTAAGCCCTTTTTACTGTATTATTGTTTAATATTTGACCGATTTGGCAGAGAACGATACAAAAAATAAAAGCTAATGTGTGATGTTAGTGTTACGGACGATTTATTCATATCGTCACCGCGCGGTATAGTCATGGAAATTGGAATGTACCAATTATAATTATTTATTCATTCTAAAGTTGTTTCCACCGTGTTACTGTTATTAAGCCTTAAGCCCATGAATTTGATATTAATATTATATATTTACCTTAAGGCTAGAGTTCCGAAATACTAACAAAACCAAAAAACTGACCGATTTGGCAGAGAACTATACAATTACAACATCCGGTCCTCCTCTGCCTCTGTGTTCAGTCGACACGAACGAAATATTAGGAGAAAAAAAGCTAGTGTGTGATGTTACGGATGATTTATTCATATCGTCACCGCGCGGTATAGACATAGTCATGGAAATTGGAATGTACCAATTATTTATTCATTCTAAAATTGTTTCCACCGTGTTACTGTTATTAAGCCTTAAGCCCATGAATATAATATTATATATTCGCCTTAAGGCTAGAGTTCCGAATATCATGTCCATATAAACTATTATATTTATAATGTCCTAATTTTTTCGCCACCATGTCATATTTACACAAAACTTCTTTGGGAAGCGGGTGATGGCGGTGATTTGGAATCAGCGTATAAAATACATCGAGCGACTGAGGTTATTTTCGTATATCAGTGCACAGGCCCTTTTTCAAATTTGTCTTTAAATTTGGGTTCGAGTGAACTATATAGTATGACTATTGACTATGTAGAACTGGAAGTTCTACATAGTCATACTATTACTATATAGGTCATTTTGAATATCTTACTATATATAAAGCGAGACGATATATATATATATTTATTTATCTGTGCCATTTTACTGACACCACGGCATCAACTTTAACGCGAATTTCCGCAAAAACCGTAAAAGATATACAACTGAAACTTTTTTGACTGGGTCAAATGCTTTAATGGCCTCCAAATCAGCATGAAAAAATAAAAAATTGGCCAAGAAATAGGAGTTTTAGAGCCCAAAATTTGGTACCCCAAGTGGTGTCAAAAACGCTAATTAAATAGGTAATAATTATTTTAGTCTCTTGAGTCTTGACACCATTTTAGGGTAGACGGGTTCCTGCTAGTAATTATAAAGTACATAGGAGTCATCTCTAACAAAAACTAGTCTGTAGAAAATGTTAAAATATCTTTTGTGTGGTCCTGTTGATTGTTGAATGTTGATGGGCCAACCTTTTTTCTCATCAATTGTGCTATCAATGTGAATGAGCTTAGAGTTAGTATTCAAGTAGGGAATTGTTTCCTGGTTTCTTTCTCCACTTTGAATCGCAGTCTGTAAACATTTTTAATTATTTGGAGTTGCATCACCCACCCGGTACGTGTAATTATAAGTAGTTCAAGTAAGATAAGAGTAGTGTCCAGATTATATAAGCGGGGAATTATTCTGCAGCCTATTTCTCGACCATGCAGAGTATAAGTATTATCTTCAGCCTGAAGTATTGATATCAGTTATTGACCTTTTTATGTGCATATTGCATCCCTACACATTTTTCCGACCATTTTTTCACTCTGAAGATAAAATTAAATTGGCGTTGATATTTTTGGGCCAAACTCTAAAGAGGAACTGCGAACCCTGATGCGGGACAAGGATTTATGGAGGGGGTATCTGGCGTAGATCGGACTTAGTTCCGACACAGAAGTAGTAGTAGTAGTGATATTGAATCTAGAGCTCTAAGAGCCTAATACTGGCCACTAGTAATACACTCTAGTCTGGGGGAGCGGTTGAGTAATCAATGGTTACCCAGTTTGTACAGGGAAGACATGCAGTACCAAAGAATAGAATTGTATCGAGGTCATAGAAAAACACATGAGCATTGCTCATGAGTCACAAGTTAAGCATTGCTCATGTGCTTTTCTATGACCTCGATACAATTCTATTCTTTGATACTGCATGTCTTCCCTGTACAAACTGGGTTACCATTGATTACTCAACACCCACCTGCTGGTGAAAATAATTTGTATGGATATGTGATTCATCCATCATATATGAATACGACCTACTGTACACAGACTCTACTACTACTACTAGTACTGCGTACTGTTCCCCCTTTATAACTCGCCCATGTAGTTGGACAACGCGGTTTATTTGGGCAGAATTTTCATGTTTCATCCGATTTTATTTGGAGTGAAATAGCCGCGTTATATTTATACTTATAAAGGAAGAAATAAGAATATTATCATAATTTGTGATATGTTAGAACATTTAGGATGTTTCACTATAGTTTTTGTTGTTTTTCACCTCAAAGCTACAATAATTTAGCAAATCACAAACATTTTAATAATACCTTACGGGACACCGGGACATGGACAATATATTTTAAAAATTTAGAAGAAATGTACAAACAAATCATTTCTTGATTCACAAGATCAGACTTTTCATTTGTAAGATAAAAATGTCCTTGATAAGGATTACAACCTTAATCCCATAGTGCACATATCTCAAAATATCTTCTAGAAAGCTGTCTAATAAATATGACCGAACCTTCAAAACGCGTATAACCCCGTATGAATTGCGGTGGTGGAGCTTCACATATTACAGAACTTTGACAGGTTCTACTTATAATGAAGACTATTTGGGCGTGTCAGATAGTCCACCACGTGTCAAGTGTCGAATAGTTCGTTGTCAGCAGTCAGCACGTCACATGGTTTCTTATTAATATTGTAATCGCCTGGAACTTGGTATGTGTTAGCTGCAAACCGTCAAGTATATCATGACTGCTTCGTGATCTCTCTAGAGTTCCACTTTTTGAATTTATTAATCTAGCTTCACAGGAGCTTCTGCATTATTCTTAATCTCATCATGTAAGTGCAAGAATTTTTGTTATTATTTTATCTTGATTATATGAGTATTACGTCATGGTTATCAATGATGCAGAAATAAACTTATTTGTAAAGATCGTATATGATCGGTTCTGGAATTGGATAAATCAAGATTCTAACAATCTAAATTCTCCACAAGCGAAAACTGTTTATTTACATAATCTATCAAAATCTACAACTACAAGTACACGATGTCATACAAGGGTTGTATAGATTGAATGATTAATAATCATTTAACCTATATAATATAACCATATTATGCATTAAGATAATACCTTCTTAGTTGATTGGTATATGATATCTCGTGTACTGACACTGCAACAATGTCCGTTGACCGTTCTTGTGGATTATAATTGATTTCCTGACGGAACATCTCTCCTAAGTAATTAAACAATATACATTTTGAATAACATTAACAGGATCTATTTGTTACTAGTCCGTAGAACAGATGTTATGAACAATGTAACATGTCAAATTGTCAAGTTCCAACCCGACACCCGTCATAATGACATGTGATAGATATCATTTACAATTTATAAGATCAGTCCAGTTTGTCTCAACTGCTCAATGCTCAAATTCACATAAATGTAATGTGTTTTCACTTTTTTACGTTTAAATTCCTTGGTTACAGTTTATGAATATCGTTACTTCCTAATGCATGGTGTGTTCCATCGTTATTTTACTGTCATAGGACTGCAGTTGTATTCATTCTTTTGCTTTAGTCTTTCAAATTACTGTTCAAGTTTCTCTTTATCGATAAATTAAGCTTTTATAGCTTAAGATTAGCTGTTGATCCTCAAGCAATCTTAACTCAAACTAGCAAAACCAAAATCCACACTTAAAATGTTTGTTAACTCCACTCTTAAATTTAATTAAACCACCCGGATCAATATGATAACCTACCTAATTATATTATCTACAGTATTTTAAACAATTTTGGCCATACCGAAGATTTTTTTAACCAGGGTCCCTTTGAGTCTGCGTACGCCTTACATGTAACACAAAAGTAATAAAGTATACTGATTCATTATGACTATGTTGCTTGAACATTGTAGAAGTAACAGCAAGCACTGACGTAGTACTGTTGACCTTATGGCTTATATACATTAATAATGGTGTGATAATTATTTCATTACGTGAAAAAGGTGCACTCATGACTCAATCAACAAAGTAAAATAAATTATCGAATTTTCTAATTCTAACCTGCCCATGCAAGATCGTTCATCATCAACCGTTTTGGTTAATTCTGTCGAATGATTTGTAATTAAAAACTGCATGACTGGTGATTCAGAGAGCTCAACGTACGACAAAAAGTCAAATTTGCCGATAAAGTCAATATACTAATTTACAAAAGGCAATTTAAGTAGTATTTAATAGTAAGTATTTAATTTATTAATATTGTAATCCTTCATGGGACGTGTTAGCTACAAACAGTCACGCGTATATTAGTACTTCGTGACCTCCCTAGAGTTCTACTTTTTAAATTTAGCTGCACAGGTGCTTCTGCATCATTTTCTCTTTATTATCTTGATATTCTTTATAATTATCAAATTTAATGATGCAGAAATAAAATTATTTTTAATAGTCTCATATGATCGGTTTTGGAATTGGATAAGTCATAAATTAACATATTAAACAACTGCTAACAATCTAAATTCTTCACAAACGAAAACTGTTTATTATAAACTATTGACATTTATTATAAGTACAAAGTACACGATGCCAAACAAGGGTTGTATAGATTAAGTAATTATGCATTATTACGATCATGGCTTCTTAAAATTGGTAAATGATGCGATGACTTGTGTAACTGTAAGCCTGTCCGTTGACTGTTCCTGTGGATTGTAATTGATTTCCTGTTGGAATACTTCTCCTAAGTAATTATACATTTGAATAACATTATGATTAACAGGATTTATTTGTCACTAGTCCGTTGTCAAGTTAAGTTTAGAACAGATTTAGTTGTTATGAACATGCCAAGTGCCAATCCGTCCAGTAAAACCGTGATTTGCTGCGGCCGAGTTTTGGGGAAAGAAAATCCGCTTTCAATCGGGGTATTGGCTGTTCACATATGTATTCATGCTAAGCCCCGAGGAATTAATGGCCAGGGTTAATCAGGGTTTTGCTGGATCTAGTGTTTATCTCAATGTACCTGAGTGTAACCAGATATGGAATAAATCGGAATCATATTCATAATAACATGTGACAGATATCATGCATTGAGATCAGCCCAATTTGTTTCATCTACTCAGTGCTCAAATTAACAATGTAATGTGTTCTCACTTTTTACGTTTACATTTTTTGACTATATTTCGTTATCTTCAAGTCATAGGAATTTTGTAGTATTCATTCTTTTACATTTTTAATAATTTTAATGGCTGTTCAAGTTTCTATTGAATTTGATCGATACAATTAAAGGTAAGATTAGCCACTGATCCTTGAGCAACCTTGACTGACAAAATCGAAATCTGAAAAAGTATGTTAACTCCATTTTTAAAGTTAAGCCACCCGGATCAATATGATAACCGATCTAATTATATTATCTACAGTATTTTAAACAATTTTGGCCGTACCAAATATTTTTTAAAGGCGGGGTTCCCTCTGAGTCTAAGTACGCCTTACATGTGACACAAAAGTATACTGATTCATTTTGTTGCTAGAACAAGTATAATCAGGTACCGTTAACCGTATATGTATTAATAATTGTGTAATAAGTATATCATTGTTTTAAGTTTAATAGGTGCACTCGATCAAAAGAGTAAAATAAATAATCGCATTATCTAAGCTGCTCATGGCATGCATGATCGTTTATCAACTTATCAACAACGGCTCTGGTTCATTCTGTCGAATGGTTTGTAATTAAAATCTGGTGATTCAAAGAGCTCAGCATGCAACACAAAGCCATATTCGTAGATAAAACCGATATCATAATTTATAAAAGGCAATTTAATAAGTAGTAGTACGTGATGGTACTGAATATGAAATCCTTGCAACCAGCGCACGAAATATGGCATCATACTGATAATACGCTGCAGTGAATTATCTTTTCTCTTTTGTTCAATCTTCCGGTTTGAGCATCAGCTGGCTGCAGGATATATATATTCTTTTCTTGGCTCCAACGTAGCGGGTCCCTAAACTTTAAGTCTGATACCTAGTCTGATATTAAATGACAGTACCAATTCAACTTCCACTTCACACTTCCATTCCATGTCGGAATTGGGGCTGATCTAATCGTTTCGCTGCAAGTGTAATTTGCGTTTTATTTTAATTTGCCGTCTGCTGAGAAGAGTGGTATCTTGGAGAGAAAGTTAGGGTGTCCTGGTCATGGACTGCTTAGTTGGACTGAAGGAAGCGTCAACTGCAGCCACTACAACTTATACCATAACTAATGTTAACAGCATGTGAGTGGAAATTTCAATACTATTTTTATACTTTTAAGGTATGAACGGAAGCAACTAAAAAACCACGTATTTAATTACACGTAAATATTTGTGGTAGAATCACGTTGTAGATATTGGTCATTGGATCGAATTGTTTGTCATCAAATGAATGACTGTCTGCAGTATCCTACTGGGTCTTGGAACGCCTGCATCCTTTCCTTGATGAGAACCACTATGCCATGGCTGATCATGTCAGTGATCACTGCATCAGGTATAAAAGCTGATGTAACTACTGATACTCTTCGCACCTATATCTACATTGCTCCTCACTGAGTCACCCCTACATGACTTCATCAGGAATCAAGACAAACAAGATTGAGACCTTTCTCCCCTGGGAATTGACCTACACGGTGGACTGGAGACGACACTTTTTTAAAACGGAGCTTTGCTAATGCTAATAGTAATAGAATTTGATAGCTAACTCTGAGACCATTTGATATGTCTTGTGCATTTAGTGCAATTACGAGAAATCCCGATCAATTTATAATCGATATCGGGATCTTTGCATCCCCTTCCCGATGATATATTTTATACAGAAATTTGGTGCAATAAGAGAATAAGGTAACATGTATCTTTAAATGAAGCTTAATTGGTGGTATACAACTTTTGGAACTTACGTACAAGTTGACACTTGACAATGACCTACACTTGCAGTCTTGGCAGTTGGCAGCGGCGACTATTTACAAAACTGCACTAGTTCCCCAAAACCCTTATAAAATAAACATGAGGTCCCCAGATAAACAGTTGTTAGACAGCTTGAGCTAGTTCAATACTAATAGGACTAGGAGGAGTTGTCGAACTTATGTGCGTGCATTAAATTCGAACTATATATTGTAATTTTATAATTATATATTTATTTTTATAATATTTATTTTTATAATATTTATTTTTATATATTTATTTTTATAAATTACTTCATTTAATACGTGTGAAAACATAGATTGCCGCCAATTGTGTCTCATCGTGCACAATGCGAATGGGTCACTAGAAGCGGAAGTCGATGCAGGTGAAACAAATGGCCAGTAAAATGTTTGTTTGTTAGTCGTGTAATTTTACTCCGGGCGGCGCTCAGCCTGTCATTCCGCCGAATCTCTTTACTAATACTATGTTATGTTTATTAACATAATAGCCTGGGGTCCGCAGGTAAGTCGTGTTTTTGTTTGTGTCCTGAACGATGTCACGTTGGTTATAATAAGATATAAATCTATAGCTTTAGATAAATATTTTGGTTCCTTAATCAGCTCTCTCAGTTTCTCCTTCATGGTCTGGTTCAAGGAGCGTTTGGGACTGATCACGAAACTAGACTTCAGCTCTCTAGAGTTAATGTGTCTAATAGTTAATTAGTTAATGTGTTTCAGTCTAATAGTTCTAGTTTTGGACAAGATGTGGACCAAAACTTTTGAAGTGGAAAAATGCACTTTTGTCACGAAATTGTAAACTTGGATATCAACATCAATCGTCACAATTACTCCAGTAGCAGGGAGGGGTTGAGTGTGCACTTCGATGTATAGAGTTTTTTTGCTACTGAATCGGGTTAAATAGGTCATTGGTAACTCAAATCACCGAGGGGCACATTTTGTATCGCTAGTCCCAGTCCTACAGGGCGAAATTTCTAAATTGCCCTCAGGCGCAAATTTGGGATTTTTATATCTCGGCTTCTAAAAGACGTAGAGACTTTAATATTGGCTTAAAATAACTGCAATAGCCTTATTTATATACAAGTTATGAAGCAATATAAGGTCTCAAGTGCCTAGTTTTAAAGATATTCACGAAAAACCGTTTTTTGCTCATCGCAGCCTGAATTACCAGATTATTTTTATATCTCGAGCTAGAAAGGTCGTAGAAACTTCTCTCATATTGAAAAATATTCGCAATGAGCACATTTATATAAGACTTATGAATCATTATATGCTCTAAAATGCTTGTTTGTAGAGGTATTAGCAAAAATCGGTCATTTTGGCAACACTGATACAAATTTGGTAATTCATTTTGTCTTTTTGTTGCAAATATTCAGGTTGCAATTTTCAGGATGCGGTTTGTGGCTATCGAAAGGGCTTTATGTGCTATTGCATGGTTTTGATACAATCCTTCAGCACCTGACATAGGCAACAGGGGTCACAAACCCTGAAATGTCAAGAACTGGGCAGTGGCCGAGATAAATATTTGATAATTACTTGGACTCTTGACTCACATACATCTTTTCAACGGTTAGTTAGACATCTTAAACCAGTTTTGAACGTTGAGTAAAACTTCTGATCTATTTGTAGCTCAGGTGATGTGCCCCAGAACCTCACGCCTGAGTGACAGTGGGCCTTATCGATCATGAGCCGCAACTCACAATGACTTTGGGCCTCAGAGACAAGGGCATTTGTACTCTTGGCTTAAATTGCCTCTTTGTTAGTATCATCAATCAGGTTTCTAACTTCTATATCATCTGCCTGTCCAGTGTCCATCCGTCTCTTTGAGATTCATTATTACTTCAAGTTCAGCCATTTCGCTTCTGTTCAGCTGTAGGCGTAATGAGGGACTTCAGTCCAGCAATAAAGTCAAATATCTCTAGATTTAGCAATATCTGGTTTCGCTACTTTTAAGGTAATTGTGTTCAGCAAGCAAGTTTGTAAGTTTTCAGTCGTACTGCCCCAAAGTATTGGCCCCCAGAGCACCAGTAATGCTGGAGCACTGGTAATGCACATGGTAATTATGCTGATTTTTTGCTTAACATAGCTCATTTTTAAGTTCCTTTTTCAGCTCCTTTATCTCTAAATATAATCTTATCGAATGTCCACCAACCTCGTGCCCCAATTATTGTCAGCCCCAGGACCTCTGGCACCTGCAACTTTGGGTCCCAGAACGTGAAGAACTTCGGGCCCAACGATACCTGTCCCTCAGTGACTCTGTGCCCCACATAATTCTAATTTATGACTCAACGTAAATTGTAAATGCTGAGATGGACATTCGATAACCTGTAGAGCCCAGGTTCAAGATTATACTTAGAGATAAAGGAGGTGAATCTGTTTTTATGCCAGTATGATAGGGAAGACTGCTAAAAAAGGAACTTAAAAATGAGCTATGTTAAGCAAAAAATCAGCATAATTACCATGTGCATTACCAGTGCTCCAGCATTACTGGTGCTCTGGGGGCCAATACTTTGGGGCAGTACGACTGAAAACTTACAAACTTGCTTGCTGAACACAATTACCTTAAAAGTAGCGAAACCAGATATTGCTAAATCTAGAGATATTTGACTTTATTGCTGGACTGAAGTCCCTCATTACGCCTACAGCTGAACAGAAGCGAAATGGCTGAACTTGAAGTAATAATGAATCTCAAAGAGACGGATGGACACTGGACAGGCAGATGATATAGAAGTTAGAAACCTGATTGATGATACTAACAAAGAGGCAATTTAAGCCAAGAGTACAAATGCCCTTGTCTCTGAGGCCCAAAGTCATTGTGAGTTGCGGCTCATGATCGATAAGGCCCACTGTCACTCAGGCGTGAGGTTCTGGGGCACATCACCTGAGCTACAAATGGATCAGAAGTTTTACTCAACGTTCAAAACTGGTTTAAGATGTCTAACTAACCGTTGAAAAGATGTATGTGAGTCAAGAGTCCAAGTAATTATCAAATATTTATCTCGGCCACTGCCCAGTTCTTGACATTTCAGGGTTTGTGACCCCTGTTGCCTATGTCAGGTGCTGAAGGATTGTATCAAAACCATGCAATAGCACATAAAGCCCTTTCGATAGCCACAAACCGCATCCTGAAAATTGCAACCTGAATATTTGCAACAAAAAGACAAAATGAATTACCAAATTTGTATTAGTGTTGCCAAAATGACCGATTTTTGCTAATATCTCTACAAACAAGCATTTTAGAGCATATAATGATTCATAAGTCTTATATAAATGTGCTCATTGCGAATATTTTTCAATATGAGAGAAGTTTCTACGACCTTTCTAGCTCGAGATATAAAAATAATCTGGTAATTCAGGCTGCGATGAGCAAAAAACGGTTTTTCGTGAATATCTTTAAAACTAGGCACTTGAGACCTTATATTGCTTCATAACTTGTATATAAATAAGGCTATTGCAGTTATTTTAAGCCAATATTCAAGTCTCTACGTCTTTTAGAAGCCGAGATACAAAAATCCCAAATTTGCGCCTGAGGGCAATTTAGAAATTTCGCCCTGTAGGACTGGGACTAGCGATACAAAATGTGCCCCTCGGTGATTTGAGTTACCAATGACCTATTTAACCCGATTCAGTAGCAAAAAAATCTATAAATCGAAGTGCACACTCAACCCCTCCCTGCTACTGGAGTAAATTTGGTAAAACTAAAATTAGAAACATGCAAATTGTATATAGTTTCAATCAATTACAAGTTTAAAATATCTTTATATCGCGCCCCGAGTAAACAGTTGCAACTACAAGCCGAAATTAAATAAATAAATTTGAAAATGTCTAAGCAGTAGTTTCAATTTCTTTTTAAATTATTCATTTCCAATTCAAAACAAAATTTGTAAAATAAGCAAAAACAATTTCGTTTCAAAAACCATTTCTTATTTTAATTTAAATTTGTAATTAACGGTTCTCGGTCGATGGAATTCTTGATCGATGGTCATAGCTTTGGATAAATCTTGTTCTGGCCTCTATCGCAGATTTTGGACGTGACGTGCCGTGGCAATATTGAAAATATGCAGCTCTGCAGGCTGCAGCATCTCAATAAACATATGTTTTCGGTATCTGACGAAGTCTAGTACGCTTTAGTATAAGTAGTAATAGTAATTATTGACGTCCAGCGTATCGGTACAATGCATATCCAGTATCCACGTCTGAATATCAAAATGTACTGACGTTGTAACTACCCCGAACCGCTACAATATGTCTAATTCTCGCTCCTGACTTACTGACTTAAGTCGGCTTCTTGGTCCGAGCAACTACAATTCCTCGCCACACGTCGCAGTCAAGCATAACAGATCTTATCTCTTCAACACAGGAAATGCTGGTGTCCTTCTTTAGCATGTCCAGAAACGTAAGGTGGGGCCTCCCCGGTCTCCTGTATCCATGCTGAGGGTCCCAGAACAGAAGTTGGTTTGCCAGAAGGTCGTCATGCCTGGCTACATGTCCAGCCAGTCTCATTCTTCTGGAGGCTATCATCGCTGATGGCTTGGGGATGTTGCCGTATAAATCACTGTTGTTGATGATTTGTGGCCAACGTATGTTCAAGGCCATCCGGAGCATTCTAGTGTAGCATCCATTGATCCGCTTAGTCATGGATTGGCTTATCGTCCAAGCTTCAGAGCCGTACAGGAGTACGGGCTCAACCGTTGCTCGAAAGACACAGATCTTTAAGTCCCTGCGCATTCCAGACTTCCAGGTTGTCTTTAACTGATGACAGGCCCCCCATGCCTTTGATTTCCTAACATCAAAGTCCTTCTCCGCACTCATTATTCTTGCTCCGCAACTAGTAATTCATAGATCAATCCATTTGTCTTATGTAAATTATTAGTATTACATCACCAAATATACTTTTCTCAGAATCCGAGATTCTTCGACTTAACTTCCACCTATGTGCAGTGATCTGAATTCTGATTTCTATGAATGCCGGCCGAATAAGATTATGTCATATTTCTGACGACGAAAGACACAAAGTTTATAAATGTTAATGCAGTTTTATCATTTTCCAGAGCATATAGTTTCTAATTTTGTCTTATTGTGAACGACCGTTATTGTAATTCATCATGGTTGATCTTCTACAAATGTTCCAGACTGCGTCACCGCTAGGAAGGTATAGTGAGTCACCTAATTTTCTACCTGTTTCTGTATTGAAGTATAGATCTGAATACTGGTATAGTGGACCATATTTATTATGACAGGCGAGGATGATTCTGTGTTTTGATTTGCCAATGCACTTAACCTTGATTGGTTAATCGATGTCACATGTCACAAATGTTACGGTTCACCTCCCCAGTATACAGATCTATTGGTATAAATAATATGACTTTATATGGGCCGAGGAATATATACCATACCTCATTGAAATTAATAAAAGGAGGCATAATTCTCTTATAAGTTCAAAGTTGAAAGTGGACCTTGGGAAGGTTATTAAGGAAACTTTTAAAGTAATCGGCTGATAAGCAGCCATGTTAATTGTCTAAAATGTCTGTGTTACAATGATAGGTGTTTACTAGCCGCCTGGGGCGTTACGAAAGTTTGGGGCGTAACGAAGGTGTTGAAATATGTTTTTAAACTTTAAAAACTTTAATTGTTTAGACAAACTTTAAATAAATTCCGATTCAAATTTGAATTAGATATGAATTTGTAAACGAAACAGCTGCTTGGCCACAGCCCACAGTCCGCTGTTATAAAAAGGTAAAATAATGCGTGAATAATGTAGAGTGAACGGCAAACAAGAAACTAAAAGAGTAAAGAAACAAACAGCTAACAATAACAATAAACACAAACAGCAAACGCCGATCAGATCAGCAAACCGACCGCACAACAAACCGTCAATAAATCGAACAAAACCGCGTGGTTTTACTTTTACTTTAAACACGTCACAACATACGAAATTATAAATTACCGTGCCATGAAGCCTTGATTTTGGCGTAATTATATGAATTAGTACATATTTGCCTGAGAGCTGTATACTTGTTTAACCCAATGTAGCTTGTAGTGACCAGTAACCCGTACTCCGTTCACCTGACATCCACCTAGAGTAGAGTAGTGTAGTTTTATCCGACCGTGGACCGTGGTCCGTGGTCGCGACCATTTGCATCTGGATCGTATTCGTCGTGAAACAGAGTAGTATAATAAGAGTCCGTCTCAAAGTTCTTTGCTTCGTTAAAGTTCTTCACTGCCTTTTCGAAATCTGAGAAAACTATACCGTGTCATAACAATACTATGGGAGGGAGGGGAGTTTAACCTTACTTTTTATTTATTCGATTCCTTGATCTTTTTTAGTTTTCTATAAGGTCCAGTTTTATCAATTGTCCCTCGGGTACTATAATAACCGTAACCTTGTAACCACTAACCCGCAACACTAGAGCTAGCAGTAGCTCTGATAAATACTGACTTAAAGGTAAAGTGTACAGCTGTACACAATAAATTTACAACGCTCATCATGGTTCGCCTTCCCAGCTAAAACACACTGTAATATAACAAACCCTTACAATAAACTTGAAACAGAGTTTACGTTAGAGGATTTATAGAGGAATGGATAATAAATTTCAATACTTCAAGTGCTGTAATGTACCCCATTCATCCACTGTAGGGAAAGACCATACGAATATTCCAAGATGGGAGAACTTGAAATAGGTCTGAAGCAGAAGCTGAAGGAGAAGACTAAGCTGGGGGTGATGCTGGTTGGGTTTATTTGCAGCTGTGGCCTCTACGAGTTTGGTGGAGTATTCTGGATGACTTACTTTAACCCTTATCTTCAGACTGCAGTAGGTAAGGTACTAGAAATTAGCAGGAAACTAGACATTTGGGTGGAATCATTTTAAGAGATGTTATTGATGTCCATTGCCAGTAATATTCTGATTTCGATTATTGCTCTTTTAGGTCCTGCTTCTAATCAGCATAACCATTCCAAAACTGGCAAATTTATGGCCGATCATTTAACCAGTATTGAAGAGAGTTCTCTATATTTTATTAATGTTGACCAATTTGTCTCTACTATTTCAGGACTATCAAGTGGTGATATTGGTACGATAGTGCTGGTTGCCCAGATAACTGATGCTATAGCTAACCCTTCAGTTGGTATTCTTATTGAGCATCTCAAGATTCCATTATTTGGGTTTGTGACTTTTAAAGTTCATTTCTTGTCCATTGTTAATGGACTGACCCAGCGTGCTGCTTCGCAGCGCTTTGTCTAGGGTATAAGAAGAATTTCGAAGACTTCAGAAGTGATTAATCATGATCCTGCATGCAGCATATTATACAGACTTAACATTGCACAAGAACATGATTATATTGTACGGTAGGACGGAACCACTAATACTTAAATATTAGAAAAGGCTTTATCCTTACTCAAATTTTAAACGTAAAAGTTTAAGCATGTATCCGTTCTCATGTAACACAACAAGAACAGTTTCAATTTCAGAAAGAAACGAGGATGTCATCTTATCGGATCGATCCTAATGACAACACTATTTCCACTGTTGTGGATGAACTGTTCATTCTGTAATACAGAATTATCCCGGGTTGTTTACTACGGTCAGTTTTAACTAGGAATTTATTTGTATCTTTAATTACCCAATCATTATGTTTTAATAATAGCTTTTGAGCATAAAATGGAAATGGACAATAGTAGTTAATTGACCATTTCATTGACAAATAATTGCTATAATGAATATTCAATTTCAGGCATAGTTGCAGCAGTATTGAACAGTATCACTCCTTTCATGTTCCTTCCTCATTTATCAATGATTGCTCTCCTGGCGAAGAACGAAAAGCAAAGACTTATCTTCGGAGGCATCAGCTCATTTGGCAAGCAGTTCTGGGGTATCTTGGCTTACTCGACAATGTGGCTCCTTATCGGTACTGATAAGAACGATGAGAACCTGGGACAGCTTCTTGGAGAGAAACTAAAGGTATTAACATTTGTTAGTCTTGACTGGGAAACCCAAGGGGTCGACAGAAGCTAATTGAGTGGTATTATCTCAGTCTCAGTGGTGCCAACGTGGATATTACTAGTGGAATCATTATGATCGTTTTAGTTTACCCTCACTCAAACCCATTATTTCAGATAGCTTCCTACGTCGTGAGTGGAATTGGAGTAATATGCACTATAGTCTTTCACGCTTCTGTCTGGAACTTAGACGAGAACAAAACAGATGCAATCACTGACACCGACGGTGGGGTTCCCTCTAAATCTTCTATGATCAGCGATTTAAAGACAGTTGCCAAGAACCCTAACTTCTATATTGTGAGTAGCAATTCAGCAAATGGGCAGATTAGATTTTAAATGGAGGACCAAGCAACAACAAAAAAACGAAACAAAAAATAGCTAATTATGTTGATGTTTAAAATGAAGAACACAGGAAACTTGATGGATTGCAATGATTTGCGTTACAGGTACATGCTGCAAGGTATAATTATTGAACATATTATATATTCTAAAGTAATTACCATTACTCTATTTTACTTTATTTTCAGTTAGGATTACTCTATTTCGTCTGCAGATCAGAACTAAGTCTCTACAACGTTTACCAAGTGTTTTTCTTCGAGCAGACTCTAGGACTACCCAAGGTTTGTTGTTCGTATTTGAAAGTGCTGATGCCAGGTGTTTTCAATTAGTGGTCATTTTGAAAATCCGTATCTCATCTGGTAGTAGTTCTGGAAATTGTTTTCATCGTTTTAATTGTGATTATATCTTCTATTTTGAAATGTCACAATTATATTGTCACCGCAGGAAGCTGTCGCCTATTTACCTTTCATATACCTCTCATTTGCTGGCATTGGCAGTATCGCAGTGAAGCCTATTGTCAAGAAGCTCAAGCCGATGGTAGGATAACTTATTTAATAAGATTAAGAATAAAAGTGCTTTTGTGTTATAGAAATTAGAATTAAGTGTTTTAGAGTAAAAGTCTTACTTGTAAACTAAACCACATATTTTGTCGATCTGAAATGTGATAAACAAGGTGTAAGTTCGAGCATTTATCCATGAATTCTAAAGGAGACAAATTCAGTTTACTCCTAGTCACCCGTTTAAAAGATAAGTGGGATAACAACTTAACTCAATGAAAATTTGGTCATCAAAAAATCATGACCCGTTACAGTTGAATTCTGGATTTGTATGAGAAGTCAGACTTCCGAAGTTTGATAAGAGAAATTCAAAAACTCTATCCACGTACTGCACTTCTTTAGGCTGTTAATTGTATCATTTAGAGAAAACCCTAATGAGATTGAGAGGATTCTTGGAATTTTTATCAGAACATGCCATGATGTTTATCATTATGATTTGGTTCCGGAATCTTCCCTAGCATGTACAACCGATTTGACAATATTTATAATTTACTTTCGGGTGATTTCTATTTAATAGTACATGAACTTTCAGCCAACATTTGGACTTGCGATTCTGGCGGTAATAATTGCAGGGTAAGTTTTTTTATTCCAATATACTTTCTACGTATTGATGATTTTCAATCACAACTGAACTCAAAATCTCATATTGTTGGCAAACATTATTTTCAACAATATTATCGTCCATTTGGCGAGCATTTACGTCTAAAAGCTTAAAAGTTTATTTAAAATGAGTCTGAGGATATTTGTTGCTAGTCATTAAAACGGTTCCCAAATACAGGATAGCAATTATGCTGCAACCGAAACAGTACGGTAACGTTGTAATCCTACCGGTGATATTTGTGAGCGTTGGATCAGCGATTATGTACACTCTTTCACTGTCACTGACTTCAAGCCTTATCGTCCGATTGAGGGTAATCACATTTTGTTTTAGAGCTTGATGTTTTTTATATTTTTTGAATGAATTACAACCTTTAAAGTTAATGATAAAATTAACAATTATAAACCAAGAAAAATGAAACAAAGAAAACTTTAGGTTTCCTAATTTTTAATTTGATCATGCGAGATTCCGGCCATTAATAATCATAACACCCAGGTAAGCGATGTGGCGGTTTGGGGTGCCTTCAACTTGATAGATAGAATACTGTTTGGAGTTCTGTTCGTTGTCGTCCAAGAGTTCAGACCTTGTCCCACTTCAAAGTATGCAAACTATTTATCTTGATGGCTTCAGAACAAATTAAACCGGATTTAATATATCTATCTACTACATCATTCAGTAATGAAATTCGTTTTTGAGAATCCGTTGAACATTTTTTTTCGTAACAGTCTTCAAGTTCAAAGCATGCTAACGAAACAAACATCATTACTGAAATTGAATGACGTAGATCTATAAATTTAATACAGGTAATTCGGCTTGATAATATTTTTGATTTGACAAACCTTACATGTGCGCATTATCAAGAAACAAATGACGTATATATAAAATACTAACACACTCCACCTGCACCTCCACAGATCATGCTGCGAAGCCTGCTCAGATTTCTACCGTTATGTGTTTGGAGGAGGTCTGGTTCTGTTCGCACTTCTGGCAGCAGCTCTCATCCTCTCCACCAGATTCACAGGAGACGTATTTGCTACAAGCAGAGGAGAGGATTATCAGACCAAGGACAGTGATAAGAATCAGCTGAAACTGGAAGAGGTTGTAGAAAACCCTATAGTGGATAAAAGCTGATACAGTTCCATTTATTTTCACCAGAGAGGGTTTTTACTCGGCCCTGCAGCAGTAGTAAAAGCGCACCAGCCCACTTTCTGACTTTGAGTTTGATAGTTTGCTGTATAAACAGTATAACTTACAGATCATGTTAATCAATCTAGGAGCATTATATTAGGTCTACAAAACGGTACTTGATTGTTTGTGACGAGTTCAAAGACGGACAGTCAGGGAATATTCAGTGAGATGCTCTTACTGAAGAATTTGAGTCTCTTCATCACTTCTTGTCTCAATATGACCTCAAAATATCAGTTGCTACCGCTCGCAATTGGGTTGCGAGAATAACAAAGAAGGTAATATAGCTCTATTCTATAGTGCGCGTCAAAACTACCATAAGGATTATATAAAAAGGCTCTGAAAAGATTGTATTGCAGATTGCTCCTTGATTAATCAGCCGTTAAGATAATATGAAGAACAACATACAAGTCAATTACAGCTTGCATTTAATAATTAATTGATGAAATTGTCTGAGTATTGAGAGTCGAACTCTCATTGACTTTGAACTTGAGTCAGAGCAATCGAGCATTTGTCCATAATTAAATTATTAACAAATAAGACAATTCAGATGATTGGTGACTGAATTCAAAGGATTGTCAATGCGTATTCTGTACATAACTAATTTATTATTTTCACAGAACATTACTTTAATTGTAAACTACTACACAGGATGGTCCAGATTAAGCTACTTGTAATCGTTTGATCATTCAAATAACGTAAGCCAAGGGGAGCGGGTTTAGAGGAGCTTAAGTTTGTTTAATTCCTCAGAATATCATTGTGTTAAGTGACATACGAGAGGGGGTATGAAATGGAAGAAATCTGGCCACGTAATTCGCGAACGATCCCTTTTAGGATCATTTTGCAGTGCGATACCCACTAATTTTTCTGCCAGTTCAATCAGTTTTTCTTCAAACCCACAAAAAACATGTACCCGATTTTGGACCACCCTGGAATTAATAAAATCAAAAAAAAGACTCAAGATGGTCACATTCAAAATTCATAACTAATAAGATTATGCAAATGATAGGTGGCTAAATTCTAAGAATCACCATTTCATGTCCGGAAATATGAAGGCACTAGATTGTCCACTTTCCTAGAAAATTATCAAAAGTCTTTTTAAACACATACATTGCTTATAATTTATGATAGCATTTAAAATTTAAAACATCAAATACTAAAATAGTAAATTCCAAACAACACGAAATATTAAGATTATGATCTGAATTAAAATATAAATGGTATTCCGTAACAAAATTTACAAAAACGACCTATCTGTACAATATACCAAATATTAATCATGAACATAAATACTAAATAAGTAAATAAGAAAATGACTGTATAGAATTATTCACATTTTATTATCTTTGGTTATCAATCATAATCAAATAGCTTAATGCTTATAATGTATTTGCAGACCTATAGAATAAATAATAGCCATTATATTGATACAGTCGAGGCTGTAATGTGATTACAGTAGAATTTCGAACGCAAGTCAAGTTTCTCCTCTAATAGGGATTTTATTCTTATTTGGTGAAAGCTAACTGAACTCTATAAAGCTTAAGTAGCCTGACATCTGATGGTCTTCCTCTTCACTACCTGTAGCCTGACATCCGATGGTCTTCACTACCTAGAGTTGGTCCTGTGTCTGGTGCTGGTTTTCAGTTCCTGTGACACATACTCCAGCAGGGGTTTCAGGGAATTGAACAGTTTGGCGGAGGTTGAGCTGGTTTGTTGGTGTTGTTCTAAGGGAAAATAGATCACGTGTTCATCATGTTGCCTCTTATTTTGTGTAAGATAGAACAATAATGATTAATGAAGGGCCAATCAATATGTAAATAATTAGATATTCAATGTTATTGCTAAAATGTTGAATATTTACTTTCATTAGGGGTCGTTCACATGTTATGAACCTGCACATGCAACAATGGGCCAAGTTACATGGCCCATTTCTTCATTCTGTGGCTAGAATCTAAGTCATCAGGATGCAAAAACACATCTACGTGTGAAATTTAATTTTAAACAAAATTTAAGGATTATTTTGAAAAATCGGCCCACTTATTGTAACCTGACCCATTATTTCATGTGCAGGTCAATGAGATGAAATCACTGAGGGGGTTCAATATTTAAATAATTGGTCTTAAAAAGCGTAATATGTGGCGGACCCCTTCTCCCAGCACGTACCCTGAATCTGATCCCGCCACTCGGTGTACCACTCTAAATACTGGTTCTGAAGTTCAGGTCTGTTGTCTGTCACCCTCAGTAAACCTCTGTAACACATCTCAATGAAATCATCCACTCCTACACCTGCAAAACAACCCGTTATAAGGAAACAAGGCAAGATAAATGGTAAAAAGAAACTTTTGTTACCTTCACTTACTTGAACTGTTAAACAGTTTATTTCGAAAGTTTACCTCTGATTTCACGAAGAGACCGGAGGCATTTGAGGAAAAGACGTTCAGCGTACGTTTTCTTGTCCAGATCGAACGCGTAAAGAGTAGCTATATGAACCTGAAGAGAGAATTGTCATCCACAAATGAATATACTGATTTAAATTCAAGCACTTTTACTTTTACATTTTTCCACTTATGAAAATTGAAAAAAGACATCGAACGTGCTTTTACCATATTTCAAACCCATTTAACATTCTTCTTAATTCTAGATTAAACTTCACACCGTAAATTTACCAGATCGAGGTTTTTGACAATTTACATAAAATGTAAATTATTCCTTTATTCTTATAATTATAACCCAACAATTAAAGCTGCAAATAGCACTTTAATCACACACTCACAGTGACTCCTAGACTCTCGTGACTCCCCTCTTCCAGGACGTGGTTCATGATAAACTCAGCCCTAAGTAAACAATCCTCTGCTTTGTGAGGTTTACCCAACACTCGATATACTTTACCCACGTGCTCGTAGTACCTGAGTGTGGTGTTAATAATTAGCGTAATTAGTTAATTAATATTTGATTAGTTATCTCCCTAAATTATACGAAATCGTAAATAGATTAAAAACAATGATTATAGAATGAAATAGTCTCTTATAATAACTCTTATAATAACTGATGTGACAAAGTAAACATGTCTTGCCCCTTTTTTGAAGATCTATATTCTATACCTCTATTAGAATATTGTCCAGAACATCAGAGCTTAAGTTTAACAATTTTAGGTTAAATTTGTCAAAATCACTAAAAAGGTGACAAAATTAACTTTTCATGCCCCAACAATTTCAAGTTAGTGTGTAAAAATTAGCATAGGCTGCTTTATTACCTATATAAATCAATCCAAACTACAAAAAATATTTTATGTTTATGTGATGACGATTACCTAACACTTATAATAACTGATGTGACAAAGTAAACATGTCTTGCCCCTATTTTGAAGATCTATAACTCTATTAGAATTCAACATTCTTTCAGAAACGATTGGAAGAATATTGTCCAGAACATAAGAACTCAATTTTTAAAATTTAGATTAATTTGTCAAAGACATTGAAAATGTGACAAAATTAACTTTCCCTGCCCCAACAGTATCAAGATAGTGTGTTAAAATTGGCATAGGATTTATTACAGTAATCATAACGTTACAACCTGACTAATGATATATTCTTGTTGCATTGATGCTGATCGACCATTTTAAATTTAAACTTTGTAATTTCTATTCTTGGCCTAGATTATGAACGGAAATCAAATCAATATACTAAATATTGTTTATTTTCATCGAATTTGATATTATTGTTATTACTTGTCCCACAGCGCTCACAAATATATAATGTGTCATGTAGATATAACTTTTATTCATTGCGTATTTATCATTCTAGCATGTATTTACACCGGATTAAATGTTTTTATCGGAGTGAGTCAATATTACTCAAACTTCGATGTGCTTATTATCCTTCTGTCGTATAATCATAAAGGTGTTTAATGCGATTAACATTTTACTGAGTGCGCAATTTACAAAGTAGCAATCAGGGATTAGGTGCACAAAAATATTCTACGCGCCCTTTTTTGTTGTTCCAAAGGTCAAATAACTACCAACAAAATTTGAAGCTTCAACTCGATTCTCGACCTCGCTCCGGCAATGCCCATATTTTTCAACAATTTTTAACAGGTAGATGTAAAATAGTGCTTTTTAGAAACATTCGCCAGCCTATGTTATGGAAATAATGTTGTCCATTGTTAATGCCAATGGACTTTCGAGAAGAAAGCGGCGCGCGCTACTTCGAAAAAATTTAGACGAGTAACATTGTGTGCTGTATGCCCGCACTTTTACTTTTTAGAGACTGAAAATTAAAAGTAAAAGTCTGAGGACAGACCCAGACAGACTCATCTGGGGATGCTGATTTTTAGTTACCCTTTTTGACCTAAATGTTTTGCGGAAAACATTTAATCTTTTAGCATTGGTCGGTTGGGAAGTACAGGTAAGTTTTCACTCGGTAGATATTTACTGCATTTATTGTGGCCATCTCAATACAGATTAATCATGGGTCCTGGCCCAGGGGTCTATGAAACAGTATAAGTATAACAGCTCTCAATTTCATATTACATATTCACGAACTCAACTGCAGCACTCCAAATAAAACTGGGGCCGTGACCCCTTTAATAACTTAGCAGTTATACTTATAATTACTGCAAGACCAAGCACAGTCGCGGTTCCAATATGAAATGAAATGAACTAAAATGAAATGAAAATAGTACTTCAATCTCGTTTATGCTTTTATACATATCATATCACATTCGACATTCGATGTTGAATTTGCCTACGAATTTATGAACGCGATCGGTCACCAAGTTCGGTTGATTAATTCGGGTTTGAGATTTAATCATTGATGACCATACCTTTGTTCATGGTCTAATGTTAATGACCCATAACCCGTTTAGACCCATTTAGACCCCTCTAGTTCTATGACTTAATTAAAACCAGACGTGAATCGTGATCAATAAAAGACCCCTACATTATGGGCCTATATAAAGACCAGCAGGAACGAAATGATCTCAAACCTTGAGAGTAGGCTACAGTAAGTTACACCATTATAGTTGGTATACACCACCCCCATCGTAGCAATTTGTTTGTTTCAACAACACCAAATAGTGTGCAATTGACTTTGAGGGCTATAACAATAACGTAACATTACTGTAACTAAAACTTATAATTTATTTAATTGAGCTCATGGTGTTGATATATTCATCAGAATTTTCAAATTATTATGCATTGAACAAAATTGATAATATGCATATTATCAATTTATATATATTATGATCATTGGTAAGTGGTCACTGGTCATAGCCCCACTTAGTGACCCTCGTTTTGTGTGTGAAAGCTACGTCAAACTTACGGCTTTTGAGTTTATTATGCTTTTTAATGAAACTAAATTGTGAATCAAGACATTATCTTAGTAATAGTACAGGCTGAATTGATCTAGATTTGTTTTTATCTGTTGTTATCATGCTGACAACTATAAAGGTCTGTTCGGTAGGATCGAAATGACTTAATAAAAACCAACTTTTTGAAAGGGCGTGAATTGGAGACCACGTCAATCATGATGACTAGGACAGTTATAGGACTATCAGTGAGTAAAACTTTTACTTGTCTTTATCATATTGACGCAAATAGTGGACAACTTTTACTGTAAAAGTTGTCCACTATTTGCGTCAATATGATAAAGACAAGCACCAACGGTGGGACCTTAGAATCTGTCATGCATATGTTACAAATTCAAACTACTGTGATATGTATCAAAGTATAATTTTAAGTTGAGACACACAATCTTGTTATAATACCGTAATAACGTAACTAAGCAGCTTCTTATCAAATTACACAATATGCGTGCCCCTACCCATTCTCCAAAATGGACCACTGTAATATATTATATATATATTTTGCAGCATTTGCTATAGCAAATGCTGCAAAAGCCTCCAGAAAAGATAGAGTTTGTTATTATATTGGAGACATATTTCATTGAAAATTACGCTTTCTACTCTTTCTGTTTGCTGTCATTGACAAGTGTCAAGTGTATACCGCCTCAGAATAAAAAGCAGCACGATGATTGATTATTTCTAGTCTACTAATTGAGTAATACTAATTGAAAAGCCTTTGGTTTCCTATATTTTTGTTGGTGTTGATGTTTCCCCCAAATTAGATCAGTATACTGTTTCTCTCTCTCTTTTATAAAGTAAGGCCACTAACTCGTCACAAAATGCTAGAAAATGAAGCATGACTTTCGCGGGGTAATTGTTGCACAACATTTACAAAACATCCCTTCAATTTCATCGATACACGTTATTGCTTTGATTATTCAGCAGTCTCTTTTCTAGAAGATGTCAATCAACACATTTGTTTGACATCTGTTTAGGACAGATATTTGGAAAGTCGTCTTCCACCGAGTTCAAAATAGAAAATACCTCCCTTTTTTAAACTTATAAATGATGGGAATACGTTTGCTTGAGCTATTTTGAGCTATTAAGTAATAAAACAATAGTTCGTAAAAAGCATTAAGATCGGAGAGTTCCAAGCCCAGTGCCACCAATTGAAGATCAATTAGCGGCACTGGGCATGGAGCTCTCCGATCTTAATGCTTTTTACGAACAATTTGATCAAGGTGCAAAACAGCTTTTTGTAGATTGGTCATTAAAACCAACAGCACCGTCCAGGCTAACAGCTTCATGATAATCAGAAAATCTGGAAAAAGGTAGTTCACAATCCCCCACTTTGATATAATGGTTCGTAAAAAGGTAAGATTGGAGCGTTCCACTTAGGGTTCAAGGTGCAAGACAGCTTCAACTGCTTTTCTGGGAAAAAAGTAGTTTTTCACGAGCATCCACTTTGACAAACGTGGTCGGTTAAGTAAGTAGGGTCATTAAAACTCGAATAGTGAGGGCTATTTAAAGTCTTCCAAATAATCTAGCTATAAATACAAAGGGACCGATTGCAGTTACGCGTCATTCTATAAGTTTCCAAACATCATGCTCCTTTTTTAAAATTAAACTTTAAGTTTTCATGATGTTTTATATTACCACCAACCAGAATAGTCCAATAATTCTTCTCTCTTTCTATAAAGCACGTACTTATAGTACTCGAGTTTTCCATAGAGCTGATAATAAAGTACTGAAGAATAATATATTATATATTTATTTATAAATAAAATTCAGCTAGAAGTATTTTGTAAATGATCATATAACATTATGTGTAAGTGAGTCCAAATATCCCCTTGACTGGTTGGTTAGAAATTCTCTGACCGATTCATGGTTGAAAATATCCATTTACATGTATATTTACTTTATCTCCGACAACTTGAAATTGATAGCAATATGTTCTGTTGACGTTGTTCTATTTTTAGGCATCGACATCATGGTCCGTTAACGTACTAAGATTGGAAGGTTCCAGTTCTACTTAGTGATCAAAGGGTAAGACAGCTTCACAATCATAAGATAAATAGTATGATTATTAGACTGCGCTTTGACACAGATAGTCATATAAACATATGGTAGATTACGTACAGTCTAGCAAGGGTCATTAAAAACGCTTTTTTGGAGCCTTAAATAATTACTGATCCGTCATAGGTTTAACTATAATTCAGTCCACCATTGTAGATTACAGTTGTTTTCCAACAGTTGTTTTTTTATGGCCCTCCCTCAGAAGTTATAGTCTTCCGGATAATTTAGCTATTTAAATACAATAAAGCAGATTGTAGTCACGACCATGAATAATAGTCACGCGTCACTCTATGAGTTTTTAGACGTGCTCCTTTTTAATCGATTTTATGATTTGAATTTCTTTTATTACCACCAACCAGGATAGGGTGATTCTTTTCTCTTTCCACGAAGCACGAACTCAAATTTCCCATATAGAGCTGATAATAAAGTACTAAAGATAATAAAATATCATCTATTTATTAGATGTTCACATTGTTACACCGTTGATCAACGAACCATGAAGATAAACCCAGCAGATTTAATTTACATAACACCGCTGTTCCCGGAACCGTTCACACTTTTATAGTATCATCTTGTGAAATTCTTACCGTGCGTTAAAGTTTCTCAAACAACTTATTAGCTGCTCAGTTGTCCAGCATTGTTGCTATAAACGATCTGAATTAAAATTCCTTGCGGGTGATTCCTTAATACTGTCTACAGAAATGGTCTTTGTAGACAATGCTATTGATCCTCAAGACAACCTCAGCTGCAAAGTGTCAACACCTTGCGGACACACGCCAGCCATTGCGACACAAGTCTCAAAAGCCTCTTAGAATAAGGCACTGTGCTCGTTTTTACGAAAGTTTTAATGTGTCGGCTATATTATCGACCCTGCTTAATTCTTGGATCGAGAAATTACAGATATCATATTGATTGTCAATCACTTTAGTTGATACCCTAAATCGTAACATCTCCGTGCTATAAAATGTTATGACTAAAGCAGTCCCTAGTCACTCTTTAGCTATACTTGAGACATACTTATAGTCCTTAGAAAAGTCCATATTTTCAGCGGCTTATTGATAGAATTTACAAGCTGGTAATACAAATTTACTATTGCGTCTACCACCTGCAAATTTACCTAATAATCATAATTAGATTCACATTTAATCAATGATTCATATTTCTTCGATTTGGGATTAATAACCTGACAACTATATAGATTATCAGGATAAATTCAGGTTTTATTTTTACTTAAATCACGACTAACGGGATCACTTGTATCATGACGATTGACGCCTGAATTGGCTCAACTCGAATTAAAATGTTCTTTGGCCACGCATCGTGTGGTCACTTAACGGCAAGTTACTTAGTTACCGCAAATGAGATTTTCTGATTGCCGTAATTAGAGTCGCTAATTGAGCGGTTATAAGGCACTTTTCTTGAAAATGCACCGTTTATAAATGTTTACTAACTGTTTGTGGTGGTTTTAAAAATAGTCTATTATAAAGCATTTAATTAGTGATTATAAGCGACTCAATTAGTGATTATAAGCGACTATCAGAAAATCCCATTTGTGGTAACTTTCCCACTTTAACACTAGTGTTATAGTGTTAATGTTGTCACTTGTTATGTTGTTAATTTCGACGCGTTTACTTTAACAAAGTTTCAATTCCACACTAGAACACCATGGCTTTACAGACTACAGCTGGATACCAGATCGCCCGCGATGTGTACCGATGCGTGATACTAGATGATTAGATTTAACAGACATAATTAATGATAATTACTATTGTTATTCAACCTAAATATACTCAATAAATTCGTTACCTGGCAGTCTGCACCGTCATCTCTCCGACGATTTCTCTTGACATTTTTACGCACGACCAATACAGTTTCTTCGCTTGTCTCAGGTTCGTAACGGCGACCTGACGTGATTTGAGCGTCACTTTCGGTTAAGTCATTATTCTCTTTGGTAATCGTTATCAATGTCATTTATGCGAAATCATTTAAATTACATAACTTATATAACTATTGCTAGTTTGGTGGCGAGACTCGAGAGCTTTGCTAGTATGATATGCCGTTCTAAAGTCAATTAATATAACATTATATTTGAATATTTTAATCTTGCAGCGATTTATGGTTGACTTTATCATGAAACATATTTCCTCGACCCACTGAATGTACGCGTACGGGCATTTATTCAATTCTTTCATTATTTGGTTAATTGACAATGCTTGATATTAAGTCACTATCAGCGCACTTATATGTCTGGCAAACAAAAGTAGTAAGTACTGTGTAAAATCAAATTTTATTTTGTCATTGTCTTGACACGAATTTTCAATTTTCATTCAATCATATCCAATTTCAATTGATATTATATGGCTGCGTGACTCCAAGTTCTGCCAGTACCACTCATTTGGAGGTATATTTGCCAATCGTGATCTCTAAACTACAGAACCATTTCGGCGGAACTGCACGAGCGTGCTGTACGGCTCCTATATATTACCATAGAGTTGCATATGGGTTAAATCACAACTTTAGCCAGCAACAGACCCTAAAGTTTACAGAAAGTAAAACCTGTGTTACTGTCGACTTTACAATTTACGACCAGGTGCACTTTAAATCAGGCGCTGGGCATTGAGCAAGTGCCAACCAATCGTATCTCTATTCTCCATTGCAGTTTGAACCACGAAAGGCACTTAATCTGCGGAGAGTCAGGACCTACAAACCTTAGCTAATCGAGACCTGTTTTGAAATAAATCATATTGCTTATTAATTCTCAGGTCGCACCCAAAGTTTATTAAATTTTGTATAGATGTAATACTGACCGAATATATTTGGTGATCAATATTATGCTCCTCCGTGTTAGAGGTACTAGCAGGAACCCGTATAACCCTAAAATGGTGTCAAGACTCAAGAGACCAAAATAATTATTACCTATTTAATTCGCGTTTTTGACACCACTTGGGGTACCAAATTTTGGGCTCTAAAACTCCTATTTCTTGGCCAATCTTTTATTTTTCAATGCTGATTAGTGATTTGGAGGCCATTAAAGCATTTGACCCAGTCAAAAAAGTTTCAGTTGTATATATTTTTCGGTTTTGCGTTAAAGTTGATGCCGTGGTGTCAGTAAAATGGCATATATATATATATATATATATGGTGATAATGGATGTAAAGGTACTTCAACCGAATTAACAATCCAACCGTGTGTATGACGTGTCCCAGTAGCCAATCATAATATATATATATATATATATCGTCTCGCTTTATGTATAGTAAGATATTAACCTTCACGCTCCTATAATCACGTTTATCACGTTTATGTTGAACTTGAAGCAGATACAATGATATGAGCTCTTATATCAGCCTCAAAAGGGTGTCACGTATTTACTATGACTATATGATATGTACCGTCTGCATCCGCGCCTTTTTCTCTACTGTCAAAATGAAAACACCAATTCTCAAAACCAAGATCACGAAAGAGCTGAAGCGAACACATGCATTGAATTTTGGACACTCCGCGCAAAGTCCGTCCGTAATATTTTGGTTGCTATCAGAGTATGAAAGCTCAAAGTATAGGTATTATCATGTATTAAAAAAATTTACTTCGAATTCGATATGTCCAACAGCCATATGGTTACATTGTAACTGCAGCCAATTACAGGAGCAGCGAAGGTCCAGTTGCAATTAAGCCAGCGACGGTTAAGGAGGTGTATTGCATACGCCCGAGGCTTCAGCCTTCGCTGCAATGGATACGAACCATCAGTGGGAGTTCCATCTTTCAGATTCAAAGTCAAACGTGTTAACCAGTGAGCCACTAAAGCGATTAGCGAAGTTCTTGTCGGGAATAATATGGTGACTATAAAGCTGTGATCATAATTCTAGGCATCACTAAAAGCATTTTTCCAGATAAACGGATATTTAATGTGGTACTGGTACGGTATGAAGATTGATCGGGTTACTGTGCGTAATGCCGAAATTTTCTGTCCTAAATTACGCAGCACTGTAGGTTGACCACCTGCGATTCCCCAAATCTATTCGCACTCACACTATATAGCTAATCTTTATCTACTGAGTCGCCGCAACTTTATCATCATATTATATAGTGACATGATATTTCTAAATGCATGTTCTGAGGATCGTACCTCGTTTAAAGGTTTAACATCATACCAACCCGGTTGGTAAAATAGTGTAAAAAAGTGAAGTGAACCCCCCCCCCCCCACCTATTAACTAACCTGTTCGTTCTCAGTGTTGGCTGCAAGACCCTCTAACAGTAGCGCCTTCAGCCTCCAGCTGGCTGCAATAAAAACATGCTTAGAGTTGAGCAGATTCTCCAGAATTTGAGTTGACTTCTCTATCTGCCACAGCGCTTCCGGGAAATTGTATTGATTGTAACCCTGGTAGAAATATAGTTTTACACGGCAACTGCCTGTATGATCATAATCGTTACAGAGGTATTTGCGGTGATATGCATTGTGCAGTACCAGTGATAATTTTAAAGAATGCAAGAGCATCTCCCAAGAATGCGATCATTTAGTAGAGCTATTTAAATTGGATACTTGAATTGTTTCAGTTGCGTAGCCAGTCTACTGGATTCCACAGTAAAGCGTACAAATGGTCTGGGAACAGGATTTGCACCGGAATTTCAGTTTTACTCAAAATCGAATACATACAAAGTAGACAAGTTCATTGCAATCAATTTGACACAGTCCTGATAACAGCTATTGCCAATATACTATATTGCTATATTATATAGCTACAGAGTTATTTACGATCCTAGACTATTTGTGTTGACTGTTGACAACACAATCAATACATGTTACCGTTCTAGAACTTCTTTTCGTCTCATTTTAGAGCGCTAATTTCTTAATTTCGAGAAGCGAGTTAAGCACGTACCAGACATGGAGGTTACGGCTGATTTTTTTGTAAATTCAATGTAACATTTTATATGAAAAATGCATAGATTCTTCAATTTTTAATTTGTTTTTCACTTTCAGTCTTGCTTATTTTCTTGGCGGTTCATTTATTGCCCCGCCCCCCCCCCCCCCCCCCCCTACTCGATATTTTACATTTATATATAAAATCGGCATACGTCATAATGATAAAGAATATAGGACTCCACGAGAAAACATTTTATAGGTCAATCATAAGCTTATATTTGTACATATGACTTAGACAGGAAGTTTATTGAGGAATTTGATGTTTTCATCCGTGTCTATAACTAAATAAAAACCTAACATTTTAAAAATGAATATCGAATATTTCGAGGATTTTTAAAAATCTTCGACCTTGACGTGTCAAAATTTAAAAAAATGTTTCAATATTTCTGGACTGTCAGAAATGAGAAACTCAAAGGAATGGGATGAATTTGAGTTGTAACATTCCTGATCCCCAATCACGTACAATCTTGTCTGACTTGGCGAATTGATAAATATAGGTGTTTCAATCCCATCTAATCGTGAAAGAGCGCCAAATATGCTTCACGTCCTACGCACCATGGTTATAACTAGAGATTAATCGAATCTAGAATAAGCACACATTAGACATGATTGATATAAATATCCGTGTACTTGATTATTGGTCAACTCACAAATCGAAGCTTACAGCTGTAACAGCCAGTATAAGCCAAATCAGTAATCATAACTGGTCGCGAATATTCTGATCAGCTTTATTAATACGGATCGTTCAAGAGTGCAATTAATCTTGTTTCGATCGGAAGGTATCTTGTTTATAAATATCAGTATAACGTAAATGTCGATGGAAGTCTTGGAACTTCTCGTTCATCATATTATGTTCCCCGAAGCCAATTTCAGGTATTGGCCCCAAATTCTCTATGTTGCAGGTTATATTTATTGAAAGTAGAACTAATTGTCATTTTAAAGTCAGCTATTTTGTTGCTCTGCTGCAACATTTAGGATTTCAATTGTAGACACTCAAGACAGCGATATAGGTATACAGTGTATATAATATAGAGATAAAGGTCGCGGCTGTAAGATTGGCAATGAAGCTTACCATACCATGTTGGTGGGGTACAAAGCTAAAAGTTAGTTCATTAATTTATTTATGAGTTCTGTCTTGGAATCTCTGTATGTCCTGCCACGTGGTGACAGTAAAATGCAGCCAATGGTCGAATCAACCTTTATAGCTACTAGGCGTAACAGTAAAGTGAATAGCTCTGCATATCTAAGTATCTAGCAAAGGCTCTGCCGACAAGACAGATTTAAGATTATTATAAACACTCTGAAATGCTCACCTGAATAAATAGAGCAAGACCAAGTGCCTGTCGAGCACAAGCTGTCTTCAGATTCACGTCTCCTAGAGTATTGAGGAATATGTCAAGACATTGTCTGTATACTTGGACACTTTCGTCAATGTCACCTGAGATAAGATTAGAGATAAGATTGGAGATAAGATTTAGGTGTTCTATGTTTGTGTATCTATTGCCTAAACTTGAATTATCAATACTAGTCATGCAAAAGGTATGTAAGTGTAACAAGTTCAAGGTCCCAACTCTCAAACATACTAAAGTTTTGGAATGGCCGTCGCTGTTAGTTAACAATGTTAATTGGACACGTTGACTCAAGTTTTGGCACTGCAATAAAATCCCGATTTACCGCGGCCATTTCCTTCCCCAAATATGGCTTAACATGCACAATGTATACTGATAAAACCCCGGTTTACCGCAAACCCCGATTTACCGCGGCTGTTTCCTTTCCCCCAAACTCCGCGGTAAATCGGGGTTTTACTGTACTTTACAGAAACTTTATTCAATTTTTCAAAAATAACTAGACAGTATTATAAACTCATGTTTAGCAAGTAAAATCCATAAATCAGCAAGGTCTGAGCGTGGCAGGGATGGCTGGCCCCGTGCGTCTCCTCGCTTAGTTTCAGAGAGTAAACCACCAGAGCTTTGGCTTCAGTGAAGAGCTTACTGGCTACACATATCTTACAACACTGTCTGAACACCTCGATCTAAGAGGAAGGAGAAATTGAGTTTTATATTTGTTATATTTAAATTAATATCATATAATTAATATAATAAGGTTATAACCCATTTGGTAATTATATAAAATAATGCGTTTTTTTTTAATTTAAAACAGGCAAAGTTATGCGCTTCCTTTATTGTTTGCTTTAATTTTGAAAATTGATAATTTATTTAATTTTAAGGTCGTATTATTAAATATAGATCACTCAAAAAACAGCATACTGCATAATTTGAATAAATTAACAGCCGAAATTGTGGATATCTTATCGGTTCGGTAATCAAAAATTCCCGCTTCGGTTGTTTCATAGCTGGAATATTTTCAGCTGCTCTAAGAAATTAATCACTTTTTAATAACCAACCCAAGCTTTTTTTACTCTTACTGTCATCTCCCGTCATTAATTTCACATTAGCAATAGTATGCACAAATTCCAGACTCGTTATGAAAATTCAAACTTAATGAAATGAATATCATATGACATAATTAAAGTAAAAATAGCCAGCATACAATTCATTACAACTTGATGGGTTTGTTTTCTTTTAAAGGGCTCAACTATAATAACTTGGAGCATAAAGTAATGGGAGACTAGAGGATTGCCCTTGTCACAAAAATTTAAGTTTAGTGTTATTGTTAAATTTTTGGCCTCGTTAAATTTCGTCGATTCTCACAAATTGGATAAAGGAAATATCATTTTAGGATGATGAGTTATGATTAGCAATTAATTATTTCGAATATAAGTATAACCGGCCTCCGTGGTTTAATAATTCGAAAATTTCAGCAGTTATAGGATTTGATTTCTGCTACATAAGTTGATGCTTCTTATCTTCATTTGCGTTCATCTGAACATATTGTCTTGTCGAATCGAATCTTTTATTGAACTATTGGAATTGTTTGTTGAAATAGTCTTCGAATCTCTATTGAAATTCAAATTTGAATTCTTGGCTTTATCGCTGATCAGTCGTTAAAACTTTAAAATCAATATATTAGTATTACTCTAGCAGACAGATTTGAGACTGCAGATAGCTTTTAGTAGGATTTCGGCTGGTGCAGCCCCCAAATATGCAGGTTGTAGAATTCAACAAACAATGAAACACCTGAAGAAGAAACAATACCTAGTATGCATGTCGTGAACAGTTTACGATGATAAGTATAACGACGAAGATCAAAGTAAAAGCTTTCTTTGATGTCGAAAATTCGTGCCTCTAGTATTAATTCCTAAATGGAACGGTACCAGTATATAACCGTTCCTCCAATAAGAATTGGGTCGAAGGCTCAAAGATTATCACTGGACAGTATTCAATCTATGCAGGTTGGGAATAAAGTATCACGTGATTGCCTACTGTCTAGGCTTCTATGATAATGCTCGTGGGAAATCATCCCTATTTAAACATAAGATCTCATATTACAGCACATATATTATTGTATTATAGCAAATATATATATATATATAATATATGTATTATGTTTGATGAGTCCCATGCAGCAGCAATCAAAATATATACTATAAATTGGAACTGGCACTACCACCAAATCAGCTCCAGCTACAGACATGAACACCAAGGCTCCCCGTCACCACACTCCACTAACTGCTGCCTCATCAGGTTGCTACTCATTACTTCTCATTAATTCTCCTCCTCCATGACAGAATATTTCATCGCCCCCCTTTTTAACACCCCATTCCCCCTTGCTCCAACACCACCAGAATTTCCAGTACCCAAGGTTAGTGGGTTTAGTCATATGACTGTAAGGTTTCGCGAGTTATGGGCACGATGCATCACTGGGTGACACAGGACGCGTACCTGTTGGAGCCGCGTGGTTGGGGGAGATATGCGGTTTTTACTACTTCTTTGCGGGGAGCCAGACTAATTGGCAGCGAGTGAGGCTTTCATTGGCACGTTCGGAGAGGGAAGGAGATGAAAATTGAAATGATTGTTGATGAGTTTCTTGAAAGTTCCAACTTGACACCTTGGGTATTTTTTTTGGAATATGTCTGTTGGTCTGAGGATCTCACTGTAACACAGATCGGCTCTTTTGTTAGTGCAGTTATATTCTCCGCAATCAAACCTAGTAGCTATACATATATAGTAGTACTCATAGTATATGTATAGAGCTTGTTAATTAAGGAAATATATTAACATACGTCTAGCTGGATTTAAACACATCTGTTAACTTCGCTCCTCGAGTCATTAGCGCTCAAGCGCTGTGTACTTAATAAATCCTAGGCTGCCAGACTGCCATTGTTGCAATCTACACAAGCTTTGAAGCTGTGAGGCTCCCAAATTCTGCGAACTTTTTATCATTATGCCCACCTGGCAACATGGTAACATTTTATTGTTATAATCATCTCTCCTTTAATGTTTGCATTGAGTGTTCTTTCAGTTTAGAAAGGAAGGTTGATTGCCTTTTTTATGTGATCAATCGACGTTGTGTGAAATTTAGGGCAGACTTTTGTGTTGCCGGCGACATTTTGGTATGTTTTAACATTTTTTGTTTTGTTGACTTTTTTAGGAATTTCTTTTAAGGAATTTGGATTTGAGATTTCATTAAAAAATGCCATTCAATTATTTCTATCTATTGTCCCATGTTACGGCAAATAAATCAAATAGTAACTCATTCGAAATTCTTCAATGGTGTTTTCCATCTGATCATGTGTGTTAAGGAATAAGGTTATTGACAAATGTGGCAGATGTCCTTCGACGACTAAATTTTTTTCAATACTGTCGCGATATACATTAAACTTCTGAATGCTCGAATTCCGCCGACAGAAACGACCGCCAGTATATTAATCATCATCATTAAAATAAAATGAATCTGTCGGTATCATATTGGCCTGTGTCGGGTCCATCGGTCCACTACAAATAGTATGAATTACTAAACTTATTATGATATTACGTTATTGTCTTATCGCGGAGTCATTCATGCGCAAACACCACCCACAATATCATTAACCAAGTTGAATGATTGAGCGATTCGCTTACAAGACCCATAAACTTGAACGACTTTATGGTTAACTTAAATATAAAGATGTTTGTTACAATTTGATCAGCTTGAATAGGTTAAACTATCAGAGTATCAGGGCCGTCGTGAGTGACTTTGAAGGAGCTGCCAAGCTACCATGAATCACAGTACAGAGAGGTTAACTCGAAGAATTGCTGTTATTTGGGTGACATATTTTTAGCGGGTTCTTTATCATACTTAATTTTAGAGCAAAATAAGTCTATTTTAAAAAACAAATGCGCTGATATACTTGAGTAGGTCTCATGATAATTTCTCTATTTATAATAGCGTACGTGTTTCTCGGAAAGTTTACATCTTATCAGATGATATTAGTATCAGAGTTTCGACTGTGTCCGTGAATGATCGCAGAGTTGATGGTGATCACTGGTTAGGGCAGTATATTATTTCATTAGTACCAGTGGCGTAACGTTGCCTGTTGGCGCCCCCCTGCCGAAAAGGCGCCCCCCTGTTGGCGCCCCTCCCCTTTTGGTGCCCCTCCCTAAAATTGAACAAATTAGGTGATTTAAGAGGATACGCCGGTAAAATCTCTAAAAAAGTGTGTATCTAGAGCAAAACGCGCAGTTTTGCTAGTACTTTAGTTAAGTTTTCGAAATTGTCCCACATTCAAACGACGATTTGGCGCCCCCTCTAAGACGGCGCCCCCCTGCACAGCGGGGTCAGCAGGGCCCTTCGTTACGCCACTGATTAGTACACTACTTGATACTTGAGCAAGCGGTCTATTTTAGGTCTTCTATGCCGACTTTGCTGCATTATAATTTGATGAGTTTGAATGAAAGGGTCCTCGATAGTTTGTGGATGGACCGTCCGACTGAAATCTAAATTTTAAAATGCCACTCTATTAAGTGGAATAACCTGAGGTAGGTTGGAGGTATGGCCTAATTAGTAACTTGTCAGACTTATAATAACTGTTATTGACAGTTGTTTCATTGCTGATTATCGAACAAGTCTAATTTAGAGTCTAAGTTGGGATAATCGCTTGAGTTTGTTTCCGAATATTCATGATGATTGTTCGCAGCCGTTGACTTATGTTAGCATTCAATTTCAACTGTTCAAAAATATATTGCTTTGGGCTTTATACATAAGATTCATCTATAATATGGTCACTAGTAACACAAAAAAGTAGTTTCCATCAAAAATTCTCTGTATATAGATGGACCCATAATTATTTTTAAAAATTTCCATATATTAGTACATCTCGGTCTGATCAGCTATGCTGATAGATATTATAAAAACTAATCGGTGACCACTTGTGATACTATGCCACATCTTTGACCTTTTCAGTTAAGCAGATGTTTGGAATTAGAACTAGTAACTACTGACAGGTCATTTGAATTCGTTATATGAGTTTAAGCATCGTTTGTAAATTCTTGACAACAATTTAAAATCGTTGTCAAAATAAAATTACGTCGTTTCAACTTTTAGTACTTTAACTATGCTCGTGATCAATAAACTGAATATTTAAGCAATGTCAAATTTCTTACAAATGTAAGTAAACCTTTTCGATCAATTGTATTAATCAAATACTGCGTTTAAAACGTCCAAATATTATCACTATAATTATACAGAGCGTGAAAACCTGGGGGACACTCAAATGAGTCTACCTAATTCATTTGAGTTGCAATAAAGCAATAATCGAGTAACGAAGTGGAACAATTCAACTCACCGTAAGAGAGGCTGGTAGGTCCGGTTTTATATGTTTGATCGCTCTTTGAACCCACGTTATCGCTGATTTGTGCTTGCAGAGCGCCATCATTCTAGACGCTTCCTCGCCGTAGAGTAGTGCCAACAGGTGTCGACCGTAAAGGGAGGATTTCAACCGGGCTCTGGTTCTTATGAAGATCTGGTAACCCTGGAAACAGTTTGAATCAGTAAATGTGAATCAATGAAACTAATAAATCAATGAAACTAAAACAGAAACCACAAACTTTTTCTTATTTGTGGTTTCTTAAAAGCTTTCATAAAGCTTTAATGCGTTTATAATAAAAAGGGAGCATTCTGAGTTTAATTTGTAATTTGCTCAGAATTCAAAACTTCGATAATTTTACTTCAGTTGATAAAACAAATAACAATTGCCAACAATTTAGTAAGATTAGTATCGCATTTCTTTGCATTTAACTCGACTAACTGTTAGACCATCTTGCAGCATCTTCCTTTAAGATTTATCAATTCGAAGTAGTCTTTGAATTAGTCATAGATTTAAATTTTCACGTGACTTTGGCCAGTTTGTGTCCAAAACTTTGTTAATTTTCATTACCTCATTATATTTATAGACGCTCATGAATTTTTAAGGCCACTCCATGGAAGGACTTGAACTTAGAAGTTTATCAGCTATCACGACGTGTAAATACTCACTATTTGGGTTATGATTATGAACGAAAAGTAATAAATTCAGGGGCAGCAATAAATCGCCTCCCCAGTCCCCATACATGTCAAATCTTCTGTTATTAATTTGGGGTGCATTTTGTCGAGATTCAACTCAACTAAATTCACAGCAGAGAAATTAATCTTAAAAGAGTACATATTTTGACATATGCAGTCCGTGAGTTGCCTTTCCTCGCAAAGTCTGTGGTTCTCATGGATTGAAGTGTCACACTCGCGGACAGCAGCTCAATTCAGGATCACAACGCATGTGGGTCACAGTATAAAGCATTATGTTGTTTCTGGTTATAAGGAAATTCTCGTGAAGATGTTGCAAAGTAAGGATGAACCGTGGACGCCTTCCAAATTTCACCGCAAAGTCTTTTGTCATTAAACTAACTACGAAGGTATCTCATTAATAAAGTAAAGTAATTGCTCATGTTTTCCTTGCTAATTTAATCAGCAACTAAAAACCTATTTAAAAGCCTCCTCAAATTAAATGCCGTCTTCAAGTGTAGCCAAAATCAGGAAAAAACATTTCCTGGTATACATTTTACAATGTATTTATAGTTATAGATTATTTATTGACTTACCGACTAATTCACTAATTATTTACTGACTTCTAATTCGGTTCCTTAGCCCGAGCAATAAGAATATTTAACACATGAAAAAGTTCAGATAATCACATCACATCTACGCTTATTCGGGAATGTGTAAAACAACTATAAATAAGCCATTACTTAAGCACTTATCATGATAAGTACTGCAAATTATTAGTCTATGATGAGACGAGTTAGTCGCTCGAGATTGCTATTAGTCACTACTTTTACTGATTAGTCTTCTTTTTGGCTTGTGTTATCGTAATGTTTACTAATACTACGACATGGTGCCTCCAAAAAGAATGTTTAAGATTTTGTTTAGGTTAATTCGGCTCGTGCTATTGGTTGATTTATATCTAAATAGTTAATAGCTCAGTTGTTTTCTATCAGAAGTCTCATTTATCGACCCAAAACAGACGTTTTCCACGTGTAAACATCGTCAATTGGTCGATAATTATTCAGTAATTCTCTCGTTCCATCGATGGAATATTCCGCGCCTCAAATCGACGTGAAAACGTTTCCGAGCGGAATCGGTTCCGCCGTGAAATCTGTTCCGCAAAGTAATATGTTTACGTCGAGGAATACTTTGTGGAATTCTCGATGATTGAACTCATGGATCTAAAGTATTGCAAATTTGCAATGTAAACAGATTGAAAGTCTGCAGACTCGATGCAATTTTATTATTTTTGCACTGCAGAATCAAAATTTTGTCTCAAATATTAGTTAAATTGATTCGATTTTCAGTATATTTGCTGATGGGGAATTGCAGTGGGGTCATTATGTTTTATGTTTGACATTTTGCACGTGCAGATATTCAGGCGTCAGCCCTGGCAGGCCTTCGAGTTAAATCTCAAGTTGTTCCTTTTATATCTTGCTTCTTTGCGATGTCTAGAGTTCCTACCACGACCAATTAATCACCCAATTAATAATTCCGCAACGATTGCGGAATGTCCACTCTGTTTTGGGTCTCCATTCAAGCGTGATACTGATCACTCAGCAGTGCTCGATATTACGGTTTGGTTTATTATTAGTGCTTTTCAATTTTCATGCAACAAGTAAAACAAATCCTTTATGTCATGTTTCCAGGGTTTGGACTGGAATTTCCCGCTTAAAGAACCTCCATCACGTTACATTACATAATTTTCTCAATAAATGTAATAGATTTGTAGTGTTGTAATTAGTTTAAACTAATTATGTTTGACAGGTGCAGCTTGAGCTTCACTTACTTACCGCTGGTTTATGAGCACTGCTGAACATTTAGTGGAATTTAAGTTAACCAATATAGCTCCAAAGATAGTAATGATTTGCTTTAACCATGCATAGTGTGATTGATTTAAACGTTTATCTTCTATCAAGCATGATTTCAGATTTGTGGTCAGTTTAACTCAAACTGTCGAGTCAAAACTCCCACTGCAGGCAGATATAGTCGGGTGATTTAATTTTCTTATCAATGTCAAGTGATACGATCGAATTCTCTTATTTGATTACTCTATAACAGCTCGTTCAATCCGATTGAATACTAGTATAGTAGTATAAGGGATCAAATTTTTGTAAACTGTGGAAGATATTTAACTTAATGTCTCGACACCCTTTGAAATCAAATGACACGTTCGTCGTTAAGCGCTCTTAAATCCTTCAATCTTTATCGCAAAGTCAAATACCATGAACCGTAGAATATATCTCTTAAATCAGCCCACCCTTCTAAATTAAAATACCAACCATTATAGTACCCAACGTCTCTACAACTTCTCTCTCGAGTTCCACCTGGTTGTGTAATTCATGGCACGAGATACCAACTGTGGTCGAGTTACCGTACCTATAACTGAAGATAACTACTCTAACTTTAACATGACTGAACTATTTAAGTATTTACTTGATTAGAGGATTAGAGGATTCCTGTATTGTCGTAATTTTACAGTCCGTGTGGTCATTCGTGTCAAGACAAATTTTCATTGGCTTTGTATTTTTTTTGCTTTTGGTAGTATCTCCATATAAGGTTTTCAGGGGAGGATCATCAACTTGGTAAAATTTCAAAATTATGTTTCGATCATAAATTTATTTTGAAAATCCCAACTTTAAATCTTGGTCATAAATCTTATCTTAAGTATAATTAATTGTGATCATAATATATGTTTTCCCGATCCATGACTCATGGTTTTTTTGGTATATGATAGCTCGTGTCCGTCGCCCGTCGTCGCGTCGTACGTGCCCGCTCGCACAGTTGTCGCTTTCGTTACTAACTACGCAAAGTTATTTTGCACGATATTCTGAATTAAATTATTGTTGGTGCGCTGAACTGATCATGGATTAGATCAAGTAAATTGTTAATTTCACCATAAACGTATACATGAACATCCCACTAGGCACTAATTGTTAGCATATTATTTCAAGTTAATATTACTATTATGCACAGATCCGTGTCAGGTTGCATATTGCATAAACAATAAACATATGGTACCATTAAAATACACACGATTTTCAAATGCAATATGGAATTAACTGGGAGGCGCTCGGCCTGTCACTCTGCCAGTGACAGCCCAACTAATGCCACAGTGGGTACGCCTCAGACAACAGCCCAGTTATGGTCAGAGGTTGCTAAAAAAGACGACAACAAAAGATTCACCGTAGCAAACAAGCATAACACCAAGAATCACCGTGAACAGGACAGACTTGGTAACAATGGCCATCGCAACCACGTACTGCTGCGGGAGAACAACAGCAATACAAGCTCCTCCATCAATGACAGGAAAAGCTACAGGCGACACACGGTACTCCTGATCCACGATGAGAACTTTGATGAGTTCGATCCAAGACGCTTTAACAGTCAGTTCAATGTTCACTGCTTTAAAGCAACTAGCTACTCTGACTTGGGAAAGAACTCAAAACAACTTAACAAAACCTTAAAGCGACTCAAACCAGAGTGCATATATATCCACACGGGGATTAATGACTTTCTCTACAAGAAAACGGGTCTTGTAGGCCACGTGAAGGAACTTTACTTACATCTGCTTAACACCACAGCAGCACAGATATGCTTCTCAGCGCTGATACCCTCCTCTAATGACTCTTATATCAATGACAGGTTACGTATCATCAACGAGGAGATCAGAAACCATATAACTTGGCTCCACAACCACAAGCCGGAAGTCAAAGATAGGATCTTCACCTTCACAAATGAGAAGATTGGCGACCAAAGCACTTATTCGCCCAGCACAGGCTTCAAACTCAGTCAGAGAGGCCAAAACATGCTCTGGCTTCGCCTCAGGGAAGGTCTGAGGAAGACATTACGCCTCCCCCGATTAAGTTACCACGAGGGCAACAAAGCAAGACGCAGCACTAACAGGTATAGCGATGACTAAATCTACATCAAAGAGGTCCCGGCACTCCCTTAGGTTCCTGTGTTGGAACATCAACCACTCTCGGGACAAAACTGAAGGACCTAAAGTCGACATACCCGAAATCCAAGATCTCTTCAAAAGCCACGATATCTTTGCACTGCAAGAAACTAAAGGGGAGATTAACTTTAGTAACTACTGCTGCTTTAACTCAAACCGAAAGGGGTCAAATTCTGGTGGTGTCTGTATTGGAGTCCATAAAAGCCTACAAGCCGGTGTAACTCATGTCCAGATGAACGCCTCGGAGGACATCGTTGTAGTTAAGCTGAAAGCCAACTATTTTGATCTTGAGAGGAACACCTATTTAGTTAATGTATACGACTCTCCAACCAATGGTTCTTTCAAGAAGCGGAGAAGAGATATAGAAACTGAAGTCAGCAACTCAACTCTAGAACACCTCCAAGAATTCCTGGCAGATATACCGCTCAGCGAGGATGTCATTCTTCTCGGTGACTTTAACGCTAGAACTGGCACAATGGATGACATGATGTCTGACAATAGACACCTGAAAGACTACGAACTTAACGCCCATTACTGCAAACAGCTGACGAAACGCAACAACTCGGACCTTAAGCTGAACACAAACGGGCGACCCTTCATCGAACTCCTGCAAACAACTGGTCTAGTCATTCTCAATGGTAGGACCCTGGGTGACATTTTTGGTGCACCCACTTGTATTCAACGCCACGGTGTTAGCACTGTTGACTATATCTGCGTATCCACGAGTCTCCACGATAAAATTCGCCAACTCAAAATCGAGAGCATATCCCAGTACTCCGATCACAGGCCACTCT